ATTTTGAGAAGCCACCAATTGTGCAGCTACTCAAGATTCCCAGCATTTTATGGAACCCAAAGGTTCATTACCATGTTCACAAGAGCCCTCCGCTGGTCCCTATTCCCAGCCAGATCACTCCAATCCATACCATCCTATCTTTGTAGGACCCATTTTAATATTGCCCACCCACCTCAGTGCCAAAGAGAACTATTGAAAACAATTCCGAACCAATTAAATTCAGTTCACATCCTTGCACCCCTATTTTCCCTATGACCCATCTTAATATAATTCTTCCCTTACCTCAATCTTCATGTATCCCAAGATTCTGTACAAATTTCTTTTTTTCCCCAAGTGAATCAAACCTTGATTTCAATTACTCATAAAGTTGCCCACTGTATGTCCATTCTCCAGTTACTTCATGTGCTTTGGGTATAAAATATCTGGGCCATTGAATTGGAGAGAACTTCCCTTCTGCTGTAACTTCACAGCACAGAAGAAAAGGAACTGGAACAAGGGACAAAGAAGAGCAATCCAGTGGCCTACAGGGTCCCTCACAAAGCTAACTGCAGTCACTAAACCAATCCAGTGATTGAGGTTAGCTCTTTCTAACAGACCCAAAAGAGGTGTCTCCCATCCTTTCACCTGAGGACAGAAACAGATCCAGTTTCTGAAACATCGTGTGTTTTAGAAAGTTAGAGGATGGAGAAAGACCAAAAACTCAATAACAACAACTTTTTAACCGTTGTAGTATATCCATTTCCTACCGAGAAATTTAGCAGTCTAAATAAACATTCAACATATTCCACATGTCTCTATGAGCTCATGTCTGGTAATGGTTCCACCTGTCCACGACTATCCGTGACTTTTCTCTGTATAACAGCACATTTCTAAAATTCACAATGCATTTTTTTAAATGCATGCTTTCAATTCTCACATTCAGACAACCAGAATGATACAAAATGAACATTATTTATATCAACCACCAACATATTCTGACACATAATAATAGTATAAGTCCAAGAACAAGCATAGTTAAAAACGTCTAAACTATCTGAGTAATATAAAAACCTTTTCAGCTTCTTTTCATCTATAGTTGGTCCATTTGCAAAAATGAAGCTGACAATTTCAGCTTAAATGTCCACATCGAAGTCCAATCATACATACATGGAACAAATGACAATCTTCCCTGCTTGCTCCCCTTTACAATAGTCAGCAGTACAAGGGATGTGAGAAACATTCAACATCTCTTGTCGAACAGAGCCCTGAAGTTCTGCAAGTGATTCTCTGGTGTTTCATGATTAAAGTTTAATATTTGTCAGTAATCACATAAGAAACAACACTTGTTTTATTTGTATGGGTTAATTTGTGATTATACCAAGAGCTAGTTTGTATAATATCAAATGTCAGGATAGATGAAGACTGAATTGGAAAGGGTCTGGAAGAAAAGTCATGTCCTAATGGAGGTATTACTGCACTTTTTGTATGGCGGGACTGAAGGAAAAAAGAAAACAACTTAGGATAGCTGGTGGCCCAAATGAGATTTGAACTGGGCAAGCATACGACTCACGACTGTTACTGCTATGCCAACGAATTTGGTCATATTGTGTCATCAGCATGAAAACCTCAAATCATATCTACAAATGTGATGTTTCTTTTTAACATGATTCTGTCTCTGAAACATTGTGTTTTAAATAAAAAAAACAGGACGATGGATATGTCAATAAACACAATAACCATATTGTCGCGTATTGGGTGTATAACGCAACAAATAACTTCACGCCGTATTTGATATAGCGAATTTTATTCCACATTCGCACTTACAATCACCCAAATTACAGATGCACAATTACTGCTATCTGAAGTATCACAAATACTACACTCCAAATGCCAGAATACAACTGACTGGTTGCTGGCTAACTCGGAACTAACTCGGAGGTAGCTCGAGGACTAACTGTGAATAGCCTTCGCTGCTCCTCATGTAGCCTCGATCGGACAATACAGAAAACGGCCACGTAATAAGCACCCTTGTTGCCTGGCGCTGTGTTGCTAGCAACGCTAGCGGTAGTAACCGCTGTTACTACCGTCGTCTCTCGCAATCCTGTTTACCCGCGCTGCCTAGCANTATATTATCGTCACAAACTTTTAGATCTTATTGGCAGAAGTTTTCTCACATCCATCATACAATATTCATCTCCCTTGAAAGACAAAATCATGACATTTCACATCTTTGTGCTTCAAATACACACACAACCTTTGAATCCTAGTGTTTTAAAATAACCTTCCTCTTCACCTACAGTATTAAAATATGTTGGAAAACATCAGTCATTTCAAATATCATTGGCATAAATCAAAATAAGAAACCAGGATTATTTTATTTCAAAATGGAATGCATGCCTGGTTTCAAAATATCACCTTAGTGTTCCACTTTTGTTGTTCTCTGCATTACAAGACAGTAAACTATACAAGTTCTTACATTCTGATATCAAGACACAGAGATAAAACTTCAAAGTTTTCAGCACACATTTGGCAAAGATTCTGCATCTCTTACTCCTAGCCACATTAAATACATCTCATAAAACAAGTGACAAACATTCTTTACTTTCTTTATTTAAATTACTTCTTCAGGTGAATATACTGCATATAACACCAAATCTTCACTAAAAATCTTAACATAAATGAAATAAGATCAGAGGCACTTGTAGATGGTGACTATGAAAATTACTGTCTTCTGTGACATACGAGTAATGCCATCTAGTCTGGTGGACATATACTGACATTTCAGAGGAACAAACTGCCTTCAGCTTCAGTACAGAAGAGATTTCTACCCTGATGAAGTAAGGAACACATTCCTCCAAAACATCAGTAAATACCTACCAGACTACACACTATCACATCCCATAAGACAGACAAATAAAACCCTTACAATGACACTGTTCTGCATGAGATATCTTTTTAATCCAGTACTGTGAAATGGTTCTGATTCACTAAAAGTTCATGCCAATTCATTGCATGACAGTTATATTGGACATGTCCACTGTCAGATGTACAATTAATGTGTTCACTGTGGTGATCCAGTACACATTGCAACTTTGGTAATCAGAACCCACATTAACTCCAAAATACAGACACCTCCAAAAATTACAAATGTAATCTAATTACTTTACTTCCTTAAAGTAAAAACGAATTCTTGTGAAATGATATTATGTGTTAATGTACCTGCCGCTATAGGTGGTGAAAAGTATAACACAGTTATTGCTTGCCCCACGCCCAGTGTGTAGTCAAATGCTCATGGCTTCCATCAGAAAGCTGGGTCACCTTGGGTCAGGGAATTTGGTATGAGTTCAAGTTCTAAACCTCTTGAATAAACAATTTTACTAAAATATTCGAATTCTCATTTGAATTCCAGCAATCTGAACGAATTAGTGTTTTAATTAGTTCACATTATCAATGCTGCACTGTACTTGATTTTCATTATATCTTCCTCACTTCCTGTGTTAAATGTCCTATGTGAATTGTATTTATTGTTTATACATCAGAAATCACTATTCCACTTCAAATCATGCATGCTTTCTTAGTCAGAATCTTAATGGTACCATTGATTTTCAGAAATCATCCGTTTTGCTTTTCATATCAACCCCAGCTGCAATCTCATATCACCTGCGATGAAGTTAAGTAAAGCGTGCACGGTCAGTACACCATCTTCATCACATCCTGAAGTTAGATGTAGTTAAATGTGCAGAAATAAACCATAAGAGACCAATACAAAGCAAGCTGAGCATCAGTGAAACAATTATGAGATAAGAGACCTACCAGAAACCTCTCAACAAAACAAGTATGTCTAAATGATCATTTGGAGGCTTGGAAGATGAAAACTGTTGCAAGTCCAACGAGCCCTTGTCAGTTATAAAGCACAAATGAAGCATGCAAAATCCTAAGATCTGAGTTCAAAGCCAGCCAGGAAAACTTGTACCAAGCCTTCATCTGCAACACATATTTTTTTCTCAGACATACTATGCTCCTATGGCATCTCATATTGTGTTAATATAATGTTTATGTGTTTCTGATAAAATCTCATATTACAGCAAATAATGCCTATGCTTCCATACGGATTAGTAGAATTTACTCCAGTCTACCACTGATGAGATGAGAAAGAACAGATATTTCTGGTAGAACAAGCTTTTGCAATATTTCAAATACTTAAAATTCACTTTTCAAATGTACTATTTTTTGTATCAACTTGTTAATTAGCTCATATATGTTACAATGCCTCTGTGTAAATACCACATACCTTCAGCAATTAATTATACACTACTGGTATAGGAATACTTTTGTGAAATGGTGCATTCTGCAAATATGTTTGGGTTTTGATTAATAACTCTACCTTCAATTTCTTTTTAAATATTTCTTCATGTTTTTATCAACATAGTTTACATCTGACACTTCACAAGCTGAAAATCTGTTTACAAGAGATACAGCGTGATTGTACTGATTACCACATGTAGTTGGCCTGACAAAGAACACATCTATTTTCCAGTATTTCATGTATGAAAACAAATGATCTCCATATAAGTTACACTTCTACTTTTGGATTAGCTCTTTACAATAAAAAGTGTGGTCTGTACACACACACAAATATGGTATACTTCAGACAATGGACTATGTCAAACATAATTATGCTACAATACATAATTCTATAGAATTTTGATATTTCAGTTAACCCCTCACGGTGGAATGAAGAGTGCCCCTCATGACGCAATCACCACCCATCATGGAGTGCAAAGCAGTGTTGCATACTGCACTGCCTGACTTCCTTCCCGTCTATCAAATATAAAAAAGTAAAGCTATCCCTGTAACAGGCCGTGAGGGCCCATAGGGTTGTGAGACATTGAAGGTCCCACATTATCTAGACAATAGGCTCAAAGATGGCAGTAAGGATGTCAGCCTTACGTGCCGGCCGCACTTTACTCCCCAGGAAAATTATTTCATTAATTCCTGGTACTCGTTTCTGTTAGAGGCTGAGTCGACCCCTGGGAAATAGTGCGGCTGGAAGGATTAGGTCAAATATGTGAAGCTATTATATTTTGACTGAAGGAGCCTTGTCAATAAAGCTGCAAACTTTAATGCTGACTACGTCATGATGAGCAGTGCTCGGCACTTCCTGCTGTGGCGTTATAGAAGCTTGAATAACACCAATAAGAAATCAGAAAGCAACATTTATAGGACTGTACGAAAGTTTTAATATTATGCTCTTTGCAATATTTGTGTTAATAATTCTGGTGGAGATATGGTGTTAAAATAATTGTTACCTTTGACAGTACAAACAATTTGCCTTAGAGATAAAAAAAATCTCCAAGGGAAGATAAAACAATTAAAAGATTTTCTCTAAAATCACATGATACTTTGAACTTTGATACTTTACTCAAAAATGTATCAGATCAAAACTGAGAAATCCAGTTTTATGTTGTCATAAGTGAACAAAATGCCTGAAGCTGCACAGCACTGTCATGTTCCAACAACTGATGCATCTTCTCTTACACAAAATCCAAATCTGTCAGAGCTGATTCACATTCAGTCCCACACACAAAACATAGAATAAAAATAAGACACTGTCGCTTTTTGGTCTTTTCAATACTGATACTGATGTTAAACTAGAACAGATGCTGTGATGACACTCCAGATGAATATTTTGCCACTGTATGTTCCAGAAGAAGTGTGACTATATTAGTACTGGTTATACTGACCTACCTCACATTAACATGCTCATCCGAGACGGTAGGCGATGTTTCATGTGATCCACCTTGATTTCTGAAGTTCAATTTGTCCTTCTAATGTTTTTGCCAGGTATATTACAAACAGCTGGAATAAATGATGAACAGAGAGATTTGTATGTTTCTGATCAGTAAACTTCAGTACCTTGAACTGTATCTCATTACTTCACGACCCAAATAGGAAGTACTATAATCTTCTTTTCTGGATAGTTCTTGTTCCAGAAAATGTTTGACAGAGCTAGAGTACTCTGGAGACTTACCTCCTGTATGAAGCACTGCCTTTCACCATACAAAGAGTAATCTCACCAATCAATACACCTGAGTGATTTAAGGGAAGGCTGCATTTCCTATTCTCACATAATTCTTCTAACCACAAGCTGTACAGTTACAAAATTTTACACATGCTTGAGGATTCTCTGTACCTTCTTTGTTCTTTATAGCTATTTTCTTGTAAACATATTTTTTGTAATTTCTTCTAAAAGGCTATTAGAAAGGAGAAACCCTCAACTGCGTGCCAAATTTTGTAAGTGTAAAAGCTTATGACTGCTTAGAAAACCATGACATCATCTCTAATTTGATCACCATAAGAATTCATGATGGTATCACTATTAACTTCAGCTTACCTGTGACAAGGCAGTGCCAAGTGCCACGCCTGCTATAGTATACAGATTTCTCTCAGCCCAAGACCTAACAATCTCTATGCAGCCACTGGTCCACACCTTCTTGGCAGCCTCGGCAACCTAAAAAATCATGATCAACATTTTATCAGCTCTGTATCGTATGTTATCCACCAGTACTGGGCCATTTAACAAAGAGAGTCTGCACCACTCAAACATTCACAAAGTAACAGATTCAAACAGAGTTAATATGGTTAACTGTAAATAAATAACATCTCATATCTGGAAAGGAGGATTCCCAAATGATGAATAGAGGATCACTGAACAAAGAAGAACACAGACATAATCTTAACATTACCACTTATAACTAACTTTCACTTTCAGATCCCACAACCAAATTCCTATTAAAGATTTTTTTTGTGGTAGTGTAGTTGGATGATGTCACCGGATTTTTCACTTGACCTAATCCTTCCAGCTGCACTATGGCCCTGGGGTCGACTCAGCCTCTAATAGAAATGAGTACCAGGAATCTTCTTGAGGGTAAAGGGTGGATGGCCGGCACGTAAGGCTGACAACCTCACTGCCATCTATGAGCAGACTGTCTACAAAATGTGGAAGCCTCAACATTCCACAATCCTATGGGCCTCCACAGCTGTTACAGGGATAACTTTACCTTTTTTCACCTTTATGTCTGTGTCATACTGGTGGTGAGATAAAAGCACACTTCATTGTAAAACAATTAAAGAATATTCTGAAAAAAAAAAAGTAAGAACAACCAGAGACATATTTATATAACTTGCTACCCACTTGACTATGGCGTTTCCTTAGATAAAGGATGGTGGTCAAATTCATGCTTGGCCACAGAAAGATTCTTCCACACACAGTGGCTAGGAAACAGGGTGATTCTCTAAGCTATTCTCAACATACTCAAATCTTGGCTAACAATTGTGCACCTAATTACATTATTTGTTGGCTTATACATTTCCAGTAACACTGAGAAAGTGTTTCAAGATGCTGAACAGAGTGATAGCTTTACTTCAGTACTTACTGGCAACTCCTGCGCTCCATAACCACACATGATGTTAATTAAACCACTCTGAAACAACAATGCATGGAAAATTTATATATTTCTTTGCAGAAACGATTTTTCAGATCTTTCTTAAACTTATTACATGCAGCCTAAACAGAGAAACATACTGAAATTTGGCTACAGTAAGCAGAACAATGTTCAAGTCTGTTAACCTATCTGCTAACATGTAAGATTCGAGATTTTCATGGCAGTGACTATGAAGAATGCCGTCTCCTTGGATGTGGCACCATGTAGATCTGCAGCCACCTGCTTATGCTGGTTCCTCGCTCACAGATTTTTGTATCCTGAAGAGGGAGGCAATACATTCCTCCGAAACATCAGTTCACACATGATTTACATGGTGCCACATCCCAGAAGACGAAATTCTTCTTATCTGTTAACATGTTAAGGAGAAACAATGTAAATCTGAATAATGTCAACAGAACACAACCAGTATGTTGAAAAATCAAATGTCTATCATATGCAAATGCATATGCAAAACAAATTGTAGCCACTTACAGAAATATCAGTTGCATTCATGCAGCATGAGAATGGCACACCACATCTTTCCACACTTGGTGAACTACAGTTGAAATATTCATTCTTTGACCAATCCATATACCCTTCAGAACTGAGTCCACAGCATCGAAACTAAAAATAAGTACAATAAACAATCACTTCCATATCAGAGAAGTCCTTCAAATACACACTGATAATTTTGTAGAAAATATGTTTCTTCTGCTATAACATAAAATCTACTTTAAATGCATGAAATAGAAACCAATTAATGTATTTGTAATGACAATTTTGTTGTCATTATCTGCTAAATTAAAAGAAGTTTAATCATTGTAACCTTGTTAAAAATATGTAAGAGACTAAGTGATGAAAGTGTCAAAAATGAGGAAAAACGAACGAGACTTGGGGGTTTTACAGTGATCTATGTGCAGTATAAAGTCTTCTAGGTGTCACATCAAACTGAAAAGTTACATATCACTAATGTCTAAGGGGAACCAAAGCTGACATTGAAGGACCAATTTCTTCTGAAAGACCGATAATTTAAACGGCACTGTAGGACAGGAAGAAGAAAAAGAAAAAGGTTCTTCTGATTCTTGAATAGACAAGGATGGAGTTCATTTTGTGTTTATTACTGCACCTTCATTCTTTTGTAAAACTTCAGAATACATTTCTATAATTACTTAAACTACAGTAACAAGGATCAGCCTAAATCAGGTCTGACTATCTACATTGGGTTTGCTCTGAATGCTGCTTGCTTCTTGCTGATTTCTTGCTTGGTGTATTATTTGGTACCAAAGATGGAGGCAACTTGTTCCTCTGAAACATCAGGCTTTCTTCAAAGTGCACAGTAATGCAACCCCAGAAGAATATTCACCATAATCACTAAGACGAACAGTGAAGTGGAGGTATAAATCCACCATTCTTGACCTTGGCACTAGATTTAGGTGAGTGGTCAGCTTTACACACCAAGGAAAGGGCATCCAGTGCCCACTGGATCTGGCCCCTGAAAAGGATCAAACCCTGGCCCTCCAGCACATAGCTTGCAGCTATACTGAGTTATCCTGACTCCTCACATTGAACACAGTAATGGGATTTTTCCTTCAAGATATTTACTTCTTGGGTGGTGGCGGTAGCAGTGACGGCAGCAGCAGTAAGAGTAGTAGGAGGAGGAGTAATAGTAAGCCAGGCTTGTGCACACGATGAAAGGTCAAAGAGCAACTGAAGTCTCAATCATTAACCTTTTCTAGATAAATTTATCCTTCTGGCAATTTAAATTGAGTTCCAAGCAGGGCCCAAAGGGTCATATTTTGTTACCTTGAAATACTGGTAATAATTAGAATAATTATTTTAACCAAATTATTTAGGTTACAGAAAAAAATTGGTAACACTTATAGGATGCAGAGACAGACACATGATGTTATTCATCAAGTACAAACTGAATGAAAGAAAGAAAGACAGAGGAACAGTTGCACAGCCTACTATAAAACTTAATCTGTAAAGTGGTCAATATAAACAAAGAAAAAATTAACATTAACTTCAAAGTAATTCTTAAAAATTTGAAATTTCTTACCTCTTGCTGAACAAAGTCTATTAAATTCTGGAGATCTACATCTTCTCTGTATGTGTGTATTATCTTATCAGTAAATTGTTCCTCAAGTACAGACTGCATAGCATGTGGGAAAACAAAACCCATGATGGCAATTGCCATTTCCAGGAGAAAAAATATTAGTAGGCACAGGGAATACTGTGAACAAAGAACACAATTTTACATTAATCTTACATGACTTTTCACCAATCTTATACAAAACTTGAAAAATTCATATCAGCATCGTTTGTCTGAAGTCAGAGCAAATAAAAAGTCTTTTTCTCAGCACAGCCATGTTACATTACAGAAGCTGGAACACTGCAGTTCAGTTTATGTGTGAGTAAACTCTGGGGATTATTTCAACGTTATAGTCTCATGAATACCATGTTACTTTCAGTTTCCCATAGATCAAATGATAAGTAAGAATCAGTGTTCAGTCTACTCCTGCTTTATTAAGACACAGAAATTTGTCAAAGTCAAAGTCAAATTGCGACTGATGGTCAGTCAGTAGGTCTTGGTGTTGAGCCCCATTTGGTGCTCATGACCAGATATTAATTATTACCGTTTGACAGTTATGGTCTTGTTTCTGAGGGGTGCCTTCTCTGACGAGAGGATGGGTCTGTCTTTTATATATGCTGCTGGCTCTTGCCAGCGCAGTCTTACTCAGGTCCGAGTCCCTTGGGACTCACGACTCTATTTTACTGTCTCAGAATTGAGACCTCCCTTTTCGTCACCTCCTATGACTTGCAGGGTCACGGTGGAGGTATTCGACCCCACCTCCACATGGGAACAGAAATTTGACACAGAAGTATGCCTTATATACATACAAACTTATAACCATAGTAACACATAACAATATAAAGATACTGTTGTTACGCATAAGAGTAAACATCACTTAGGTAACAAGAAATAACCTAAATTGTTTACTATGATGTTGCCAACTCTAACATTGTATTTCAGTATTTGAGAGTTGCCAACATAACATACCAAATAATACTTGAGAACTTCACAGCCATGTTGGAAACAGGAGAGCACTGTTCTTATGTTCATACCTCGCCAATGCATTTTCAATTACACAGGAAGGAAAATAATATTAGAAAATTTATATCTTGTCTGTTAAGGTAGTATCTCAGCATCTTCCTGGAGACACAAAGGAAAACCACAAATAACCGAAATTAGGACAGCTAGTATTTGGGTTATAGTTTGGATCTATGCTCTTCACATATGAATGTGTGTTAACCACAAGCTGTGGAGGAAACATGCAAACCAGGGGCATATTGCAGACATAACTGAAAAGTAGGCTACAAACATGAAGGGCAAGCTGCTGGAACAAAACACCTGGGACAGGCATATATTTATGAACAATGGACGTCACCGCTTGTGAGGTGAAATAGAATGCACAAAAATAACGTGGGTTTCTTAGAAATTTTAATGGATTTTATCTTGTTTTACCTTGAAAAGAGAACTAAAGTGTGTGATTTTAACACAGACTAACACAGTGTTGCAGATTTAACATAATTTAATATAATATTTGTTACATATCAAGACACCTGAATATGGCCGTTTGGGGTCGAAACATGTTGTCAAATTGTAGAATGTTAAACTAAGATTAAGATTAATTGGTGAATAAACAAGTGTTGCAATACTGACAGACGATAAATACATGCACGTTAAGTTAAACGATTGCAACAGGATGCTGAAATACAGAACTTTACGCATACTCATATTAACCACATCAGTAGTAACATGTAGCATACAGTAATAATTACAACAGAAAATTGTCATGACTCTTTAGTGTTTAAATCTTAAACTTTCTCCATCAGACCTACATCATGGGAAGCAAGAAGAAACACCAGATGGCACTACAACATCTACATTATTGTTACATGAGGCAGCAATACTAGAGACTACAAAGAAAGACTATTATAAATAACTTACGAACTTCAGTAGACAAGTGTTCTCCCTAAGGGCACCAACACATCCTGCAAAACTCACAATAAAGATGACTCCTCCAGCAATCACCATCACAAGTGAAATGTTCAGGATTACATCGTACACGGTTTCCACTTTCACTAAACCTGTTGCTTGCCACTTATCAACAAATGCATATAGTCCCACACCAATAAGAAGACCGCCAAAGAGCTGCAAAATTATAAAACTGTATTAGGAATGTGAACATTAACCTAACCTTGACGAATTGTTTACAGCTAATCACATATTACCTTGTATAGAGACGTCACCTTCGTCTTTGACTTACCCAAAATATAAAATTGAGAAGGAATATCATATATTTAACGCACGAACTAACATATGTAAAATTATTTGGTGTCCGTCGTCGATGCATCTTTCTTCTATAAATTTCAAAGCGTCAGAGCCACTCCCATCCCTTTGTGGCCACACACATTTACATTCTAATGCTCCTTATGCATCATCACATTACTCACTAATTTGCAGCACAGTATCCGGAATAATAGCAAATAAAATGCTAGCTATATTAAACCACTGTATAAACAACTTATATGACAGAAGCATAACTTTGATAACGTGAAAGTTCTTCTTCTTCTTTAACCTCATTCAATCCATTGATACTGCTCACAGACGACACATCAGTAACGTAAGTGTTGGCACCATTGTGCAGATTTGAGTTCGGAGCCCAATTCCCAAAATGACCACGGATCATGTAATATAATACTGATAAGAGCCCAATCCCATGCGATTCCTACATTGTTGAGTTTCGCGAAGCTGGATGCAACTAAGAAAATATGCACTAACGCTGATGTCTTTGAAAAAGTTATGTATAATAGACTACTTGAACACTTAAATTCTAACAACATATTAGTCAAAGAGCAATTTGGATTTAGGAAAGACCTAACAACAGAAAAAGCAACCTATGAACTAACTAAATTTTAAGTGCTCCCAATGACAGATTAATTGTGGGAGGGATTTTCTGTGATCTAGCAAAAGCTTTCGATTGTGTTAATCATGATATCTTACTATCGAAATTAAATTTCTATGGAATAACTGGCAAAGCTAATGAATGGATCAAATCATACCTCAAAAACAGGTATCAAAGAGTTGAAATAAATAATAAAAACTCCAGTCATAATGCATTTTCAAACTGGGGAATTATAAAGCACGGTGTTCCACAAGGATCAATTTTAGGTCCCTTACTTTTTCTTCTCTACATAAATGATCTATCTAAAACCATCAACAATAAATCTAAACCAATTCTATATGCAGATGACACTAGTATAATATTTAAGAACTCTAAATTTGAAAACTTTAAAAATGACATAAATATTGTATTTGAAGCCTTAAACAGATGGTTCGAAGCCAATTTACTCTCATTAAATTTTGATAAAACCCATTACATATCATTCACAACTAAAAACAACCACCAAATTGATCTGGACATCAGTTATGCCAACAAATTAATCTGTAAAGTACTTGATACAAAATTCCTTGGAATACATGTAGACAGTACACTGTCTTGGAAAATACATATTGAACAAATTATACCTAAATTAAATGCAGCTTGCTATGCGATGAGATCAATTAAGCCTTTTATGTCACAGGAAACATTGAAGATGGTTTACCATGCCTACTTTCATTCTATTATGAACTATGGATTAATATTTTGGGGGAACTCTTCACATAGTGTAATAATTTTTAAAATACAAAAGAATATAATTAGAATCATTACAGGATGTAGAAGTAGAGATTCATGTAGAGAATTATTTAAGAAATTAAAAATTCTACCTCTTCAATCGCAATACATATTATCGCTTCTCTTATTTGTTGTTTACAACAAAGATAAATTCAAATTAAATTCTGATGTCTATAACATGAATACTAGACAAAAATATAACTTCCACCTACCCTCATCAACTTTATCAGTATATCAAAAAGGAGTCTACTTTACTGGCATAAAAGTGTTCAACAATCTGCCACAAAGTATTAAAAACTTGGGCAATGATACTAAAAAGTTTAAATCAGAGTTAAAGAATTATCTACATGCTCATTCCTTCTACTCTTTAGATGAATACTTCAATGTAAATAGAGAATGATGTAAAATTAAGTTATATTAATTTTTAAGCTAAAATTGCCTGTACTTATGTATGTAACCTTTTGACTTGTTCTGTATCCAAAGGTACTAACCTACTTAGGATTTATAGAATGTAAATAAATTCAATTCAATTCAACAACACTCATAAAAATGTATTTTATTTATTTATTTCGTCTCTATAGATCATTGTTACATGATATAGGACAAGTCAGTTACTGTACATTGGCTGATTACAATAAGAGACTAAAGTTACAATACTTATAACTGTTTACAATAGATTACAATAGTTTAGAGTTCATATAGTGTCAGGTGGAATCCATATTAGGTCCCCTCGGCATGTCAGCTTCCATATGTCCTATTGTACCTGTACCGGTGATAATGCTTATGNTAGCAGTGGGAAGCCAGCGACTAACCGCTTAAGCTATGGCACGCCCCCTGTGCTTTGCTATCATCCAATGAGTTACACATTATGCCATGAAGGCGTATGGGCACTTTTTCTTGACCTTGGACCTACCTGGAGGTGATCAGCTTCATACCCCAGCCACTTTACACTCACTACCCATTGGATACGAGGCTGGGTAGTTCCCAGAGACAGTCTGGAAGATGTGGAGAAAATTCTTAACCTTACCAAGTCTCAAACTCTGACCCCTCAGTCTTTCAGCCCATAGGCAGTCAGTATACTGACTGCACAATCCCAGCCCCCCATAAGGCTGAAATTGACGATGCCATCCATTGTTATTCAAGATTAGTTTGTAATGAATGTGCTTACAATGAAAAAAACACGATTTTGACATTTCCTGCACACGAAATGAATTTCATGGAGTATAATTATTTCCATGCAAACCAGTGAATGCACTTTGAGATTCTCTTATACCACAACTTAAGAACTGGAGACCACCTGTTCTCATCTAGCTCAGACTTTATTATTTGCAGTGTTACCATGTCAGTATCAAGTTAACTCCATCCTTCTAGAATAACTGAAGTATTAGCAATTTACGTACATAACATAAAGATTCCTTAAAAAAATTAATCAGAATTTATTTTCACAAGTTCTATCATCTCAGATAATGCTGTGTAGTCTGTTGCAAGTCAACCACATTTTGAAGGAGTATGTCACCTCCAACTTCAGTATGAAGGTGTCAGCCACGCATGCATATAGCATTAACCTAGCACTTTTGCTTGTAATATCCTCCTCTTAAAAAAAGTAAAAGTATCCTTCTATCAGGCCATGGAGACCCATAGGGTTGTGAGATGTTGAGGTTCCCACATTTTCTAAACAATAGGTTCATAGATTGTGGCAAAGTTTACAGCCCTACGCACCGGCCACCCTTTAGCCCAAAGAATATTCCTGGCACTCATTTCTGTTAGAGGCTGAGTTGACCCCAGGGCCATACTGCGGCTGAAAGGATTAGGTCAACTGAAAGAGAATCCAAGCTGTAGTCAATTTTCAACACACTATTAGCATTATATCTCAGATGACAGAACTTTCATATCCACTGCTGTAAGAGCCTCAAGTCCTTTAAACTAAATATTTTAAGACAAAATGTTCACATATTTTACAAACATGCATGCTAGTATAAAAGCAAAGTTGTATACATACCTTCTTCCTTCAAAAAATAACTTCGGAAACAGAATTTCTCATATATACTACAAATTACTGAGAATAGCAATCACATGTCAACTTGGGGAAGGGGAGGTTCTGTTCCTTAACACTTTGCGGACCGCGCACCCTTTAAAAGGTTTTTTGCTTTTAAACATGGCAGACCGTTCGCATGTTAACAGGCTTTTAGAACACGGTAAGTTGCAACACACTATACATTGCTCTGGCACCACCTACATTGCACGCAACCGCCTGCAGATGCATGATAAGACTCTGGAATGTTTAGTTAGCAGTCAGTAACTTGACCTCGCTGTTTACTTAACCAACTATAAAGGATAATGCTTTGCCTTCTTCAAGCTGTGTGTATCAGCCAGCAGCTAGTGGGGAGAATGGATCAAGGACAAATTCTCCTCCGATGACCTAGCTGACCTGCCTTGTGAGACGCGTAGTAATGGATTGTCATTCAGACAGCGACAGTGATGGGGGACAACAAAAAATTGTGGCCACAGACAGTAAAAGTGACAGTAGCTCTGACGATAATGCAGGTAATAACATGTGGGGACAGCAAAAAATCTAAACCCTGATTCAAAATTGAAATACAAAGCATTTCTGATGAATGTGGCAAAGGCCTGGGCTACAGTCCAGATGGTGGCGGCAGAACCAGGGTCACACAAAGACTTAGTACGACCGGACCCATCAGCTCCCACCCCACGAAGGCCTCCTGTGGACTCTCCAGGGCATAGGATAGTATGTTTAAAAATGCTGGTCCCCAGGGTGATTTAAATATTTAAATCACCGGTCCGTGAAGTGTTAAAAACAATGTGCCTGGAAAGACCAAGGCCTTGCAGAAGCCACATATTGTTTTCATCTGCATACACATTAAAAACTATAGATACATATAATAAAATAACTTGGCTGGCATGGTACTGCAGTATTAAAAAGGTGAACAAGATTGGATATCAAAATAACAAAATATAATGGCAACAATACAAAATAATTCACAACAAAATTAAGTTGAAATTAGACAGACAATACAAAAGTGTTCATTCTGACCCTTCTTCTGCACGAACCCTGACTACTCCCAAAGACACAGTCATTCCAGCCACTCCTCTCTCCCTGTCTGTACCACTATTTTCCATACATGGCTTCCTTTTCTACACCGAAGATGGAGGCAGCAGGTTCCTTCAAAATGTTGGTAAACATACATGATATAAACTCCATCCTAAGTGCAACAATTTATTGTAGGTCTTACGTCTTGCTTTCTTCTACACTACATGTTTCGGCCGCAAACGGCCATCATCAGGTGTATACACTCACGTAGCTGTTACACTGCACTTAGTTTAAAATTTAAAAACACAGGTCTTCCCAATTGTTCCCTTCGTCATTGATAACAGAATCTACTTCGCTGATATTTGTCTGATTCGTACATTATCTTTGTTACCTACACGCGTCAGTTTTGACGTTCATGAACTGACATTTTAAAATTTGGAAAAAATTTTAAAGGAATTTTTTAAAATTTGAACTGAAGATTTTAAAAGTGTCAGTTCATGAAAGTCAAAATTGACGCGTGTAGCTAACAAAGATAATGTACGAATCAGACAAATATCAGCGAAGTAGGTTCTGTTAGCAATGACGAAGGGAACAATTTGGAAGACCTGTGTTTTTAAATTTTAAACTAAGTGCAGTGTAACAGCTACGTGAGTGTATACACCTGATGATGGCCGTTTGAGGCCGAAACATGTAGTGTAGAAGAAAGCAAGACGTAAGACCTGCAATAAATTGTTGCACTTAGGATGGAGTTTATACCATATATCGTATAGAGTGCAACAGGATGCTTAAATATAGTATTGTTGGTAAACATCTATGAGACTATATGGCATTGCAACCTGGAAGAATGTAATCTTTGTTGTCACTGCTGTGAAAACATTAAATCTCACACACCATACATCAGATGGCACTGCAGGTAGGAATCATTTGTAATACAACCTGTGGTCAGAGTTGGGGATGATATAAAATACGCAAATAAGTTACAAAACTTATGAGCTTTATGTTGTGGAAATTACATCTTTAGCTACATACAAGACACACATACATTATAACTTTAAAGCTGCAATAATTTCTGGAAAAATATGACTTTCAAACACGATCCAGTGACTCCAACATGACAATACTGTTTCCCCGAATGACCTGAAAACAAAATTAAATAAAATTATGCCAAAAACATGAACACAATCTTCCAGCATTACACAATACATGGTACCTTTATTTTCTTGCATGTTGCTATTTAAAGCTTAATGTATCGAGTTTGTAATGGTTCACATTTGCAGCTTTAAAAGTTTGTTACTGTTACTGCTGTCAGAAAACTGAAACATTCTAACTAAAGAAGACAGCTGGTGATGTTAACTCCCCATTCTGGATCCCTGCTATACTAGTAGGAAATAATGATAGTCAACTGCTGCACTGCAACAAAGAAACATGTTTCATTTGTATATTGGGACAGATTATATGCAATGTGGTTTTGATACCCATTCTACAGGATCCTTAATAGACCCCAAAGCTGATTTGAATAGTGCAGCAAAGATATTAACATTCACTCTATCAGGAATCAATCCCCAATCACCAAGCCCATAAACAGTCTCTTTACTGACTGAAGTATCTTGGATAAACTACATACATGTTTACTAGAACATGAGAAAATATTTTCATCAATTCACCTGTGTCAGAGATTACTCACCACCATGCCAATATTATTTTTACTGCCGTCCTTCCGTTCTTCCACTGTTTCATCCACAACAAGATTCATAAATGGATCAAAGCCACGAAGAATACCCACTACATGTCGTCCTCCATTCAGCTTCACTATTTTAAAAAATCACTACAAGTTAATTATAAAATATGGTGCAACAATTAAACATAAAACCATATGCCTTATTATTATAGGGCTAAGTAAAGTTTCATTTGACAATAAATAACTTTCAAAGCTGCGGCTATAATCTTCTGGGTTATGACACTATGTAGGCTTATGCCTTCCAGACAGATAATTTTTCAGAACATTATTATTGTTTATTATTATTTGTTTATTGCAACATCATTTAAACGTATATGAAATGGATGGTACTCATATACCTAATTACAAATTTGGTGCCAGTTATTGTAGGAAGAAGCACAAAAAAGATGGTGTCTGTATATTCGCTTACGAGGATTATAATTTCACTGTTCTTAATTTGCAAAAAATTTCTAAAGAAAAGGATACTGAAATTGCAGGTATTAAATTAGAACTCAATAAAGTAAGGATAATTTTTCTGTGTATACATAGATCTCCAGTAGGTGATTTTGACTTCTTTTTAAACAGAGTGGATTTTATTCTCAACTCTCTACATAAATTTAACTCAGAATTCATAATATGTGGCGATTTTAACATCAACTACTTGGAAAATAACAGGAAATCTAAACTATGAGGCCCTGTTAAGTACTTATAACCTTAAGGATACTGTTAACTTTCCTACAAGAATTACTAATATGTCAGCCTCACTAACAGATAATATATTTAGGCCATGTATTAATGGGTTATCTGATCACGATGCACAGCTTGTTACTTTCAGGAATGTTACTGTGCCTAATGATGTTTGTGGCCCTACTTTTATAAGAAATCTCAACAAGAATAATACTGAAGATTAAAGTTATTAAGTTGGGAATGCTGGGGAAACATATTTGAGAATAATAATGCTAATACTATGTTTAACAATTTTCATAATACGTATCTAAGATGTTTTTATACCTGCTTTCCAAAAAAAGAAGTCAAGCATAATGTTTATAAAAACAAATGGATTATTACACAAGGGATTAGGAGTTCATGCAAAAGAAAGAGAGTTCTCTTATTGCTAAGCAGGCATTGTGAAAAATGAAATCTTAAAATATATTATAAATTATATTGTAAAGTATTATCAAAAGTGATTATTGCCGCCAAGAAATTATATTACAATATAATTATTTCCAAATCCAATAATAAAATGAAAAGCACATGGGAAATTATAAATGAGGAAAAAGGGAAAACAAAAAAGGATAATTGTATTCACTCTATAATGGTAGATAACAAATCAATAAAGAATCAGAATAAAATTGCAAACGTCTTTAATAAGTTCTTTCTATCTATAGCAGATTCAATCATTCCAAACAAGAATATATATTCAAACCAAGAACTGCCCACTCCAATAGATTACTTGGGAAACTCATTTAGCGGACCTTTCACCAAGATGAAATGGCAATATGCTTCCACTCAGGAAATCACAAGAATTATTAAATCGTTAAAGACGAAGAACTCGAGTGGATATGATGAAATTTCTAATAGAATTATAAAAGTCAGCCTCCCATTTATAATTTCCCCATTGACTTACATTTGTAATGCAATTCTTAGTACTGGCGTTTTCCCTGATAGATTGAACTTTGCTATAATCAGACCATTATTTAAAAAAGGGGAAAATCAAAACGTTGCTAACTATAGGCCTATATCACTGCTAACTTCCTTTTATAAGATAATCGAAAAAATTATGTATGCAAGACTCATTAAGCACATCGAGACAAATAATATGCTGGCCCAGGAATATGGTTTCAGGTCTCATTCTTCGAGTGAGTAGGCGGCCTTTTCACTGACAGATAGCATCCTACACGCTATGAATAAAAAGTTAATGGTAGGAGGCATATTTTGTGATCTTCAGAAAGCGCTTGACTGTGTCAATCACAAAATATTATTGGACAAGTTAATATTTTATGGAATAGAAGGAAAATTTAAAACACTCATAGAATCTTATCTAACGGATAGATATCAAAAAGTTGTAATTGGCAACAGATCTGATTGCAGAAGATCTTCTGAATGGGAAGTAATTAAATGAGGTGTTCCTCAAGGAAGAATCCTTGACCCGCATTTTTTTCCTATTTTATATTAATGATTTACCTTCAATAATCAACAAAAACAATAATATAGTACTTTTTGCAGATGACACGAGTATTATAGTAACTGACACAAACAAGCTAGATTTTGAAACTAATCTTAATCAAACTCTTAAACACACTGTTGCATGGTTTAGTGCTAATTTGCTCACTTTGCATTTTAACAAATCCCAATATGTTGAATTTCCCTCTATGGATTATTATAACATTACTTCCAAAATTGCAGATGATCAAATTAAATTAATCAAGGCATCAGAAACAAAATTTTTAGGTTTAATCATTGATGACACCCTCACATGGAAACAACATATTGACTATGTCATCAATAAAATTTCAAGGTCATGTTACGCATTGAGAAATATAAAGCATTTTATTCCATTAGATTCATTAAAGTCAATTTATTTTGCCCACATACATTCGATTTTAAGCTATGGCATAATTTTTTGGGGTGGCGCTTCCTGTGCTGGCAATGTTTTTATACTACAAAAGAAGGCTATTAGAATAATCACAAATTCTGGTTCAAGAGTGTCTTGTAGACACTCTTGAAGAAGCTTGATATAATAACATTCTATTCTCAATTCATATACCCATTAATTTTATTAACGATTAATAATAACCATCTTTTCAATCCTATTAATGAGATTCACAAGTATAACACCAGATCTCTTAAGAATCTCTATTTACCTTTTAAAAAAAATACAGTAAGGGTGCATATATAGCAGATATTAAAGCCTTTAATCATTCACCTCAAGCTTTAAAAGGGTTGACTTCTGACATGCTAACTGAAGAGATTTTTACTTCATCACTCTTTTTATTCTATGAAAGAATATTATCAACATAAGTGTTTATTATAATATGCAATTGTATTATAGCTTCACAATTGTAACATACTTTTAATCTAGAAATCTGCAGCAGTCCTATTTAAGACATTAGGAGTAACTATTGGATTGGATTAATGAATTTGAATATAGAAATTAGAATTTTAATAATTTTAAATGTGTTCTGAAGTATATACTGTGTGGATCTATGGGAGTTAAATATGATGATGATATTATAAACATAATGGGTCATAGGTGTGTAATTATGTGACTGTATTTGATTTAGTTAATACAGGTATTTTATATGAAATGGTGTAAATACAAGTTTTATAGTAAGTTAATTTTTAAGTATGTCTATTAACTGAAATCTTATTAAGTTCTTTTACCTTATAATATTATTTATGTTTATAGATTGACGTGACTTTGGTTGACTGACTTGCGCAATTTTGTATATGCATGTTGATGTATCTGTATTCAAAAGGGCCATTTCCACAACCTGGTTTGTTAACCTGTATGGATATATATATCTCATCTCATTTATTTACACTCCATAAATCCACTACATATAGGATAAGGAATTAGTCATTGATAGTACAAATAACACTACATATAAATAACAATATAAGATTCATTAGATTATTCAATACCATAATAGATCACAGTTAATTATTGGAGTCAAATTTACAATCAAAGTATTCTTCCAAGGAATAAAACGAGTTCGTAAACAAAAATCTTCTTAAAACAATTTTAAATTGTTTAACATCTTGAGCCAGGTTCCTTATATTAGGAGGAAGCCAATTAAAAACCTTAATTCCATGGTAGTACACTCCTTTCTGAAATACAGTCAACTTACATATAGGATAATGTAATTTATTATTATATCTTGTATTCCTATTATATAACTCAGAATTTAACTTAAATTGATCTTTATTATTAACCACGAACATTGCAAGAGAAAATATATACTGAGATTGAAGGGGTAAAATTTCCAGTTCCCTGAACAATTCCCTACATGAATCTCTGTTCCCAGAGTTCATTATAATTCTAATCGCCCTTTTTTGCAACCTAAAGATATGTATACTATAAGGGGAATTTCCCCAAAAAACCAAACCATAGGTCATAACTGAATGGAAGTAAGAAAAGTAAATCATTCTTAATGTACCCTGAGACATGTAAGATTTTAGGGCTCTAATCACACAACATGTGCAGACCAATCTAGACATTAACCAATCCACATGTCCATTTCAAGACAATGTGTTATCAATAATAAGCCCCAGAAACTTAGTATTTGTAGTGTTAACAATCCGATCATCATCATCAATATGAATATCCATCGGCTGGTGGTTCTTAATAAAAAATTCAATAAAATGTGTCTTCTCAAAATTTAATGTCAATAAATTATCTTGGAATCAATCATTTATGTTTTTAAATATTAAAGAAGCCTTGAATTCATAATCAGCAGACCTAGGGTTAGTAATGACTATGCTAGTGTCATCAGCAAAAATAATGGGTTTGGACTTGTTCGATATGGTATAGGGCAAGTCATTTATATACAACAAAAACAACAAAGGACCCAGAATCGAACCTTGGGGAACTCAGTTTTTAATTTTCCCCCATTCTGAGTACCTCAAACCGTTATTCACAACAACTCTCTGATGCCTATCAGCAAGGTATGACTTAATCAAAGCACCAACCTTATCAGCCACGCTGTAAAATTCCAATTTCGATAGTAATATATTGTGATTGACACAATCAAAGGCCTTTTTGAGATCACAAAAGATACCACCAACAAACATACCATTGTTCAAAGCATTTAACACTTCATTAACTAGTTCATACGTGGCTATTTCAGTCAATGATTTACTCCTAAAACCATACTGATCTTTAGCTACTATATTATTATTCATTACATATCTGTGCATTCTTTTACAAATAATCTTTTCAAAAACTTTGGAGAAAGATGTCATTAATGATATCGGTCTGTAATTAGACATATTGGGTTTATCTCCATTTTTGAATAACGGCTTTATTACTGAATATTTTAATCTAGTGGGGAAAACACCAGTTACAAATGGAAAATAAAAATAAAAAAAAAATACAACTGCTCTGTCTTCTGGGTCAAACTGAGTATTATCAGAATCTAGTTAGGTTACACTGCGAGGCTGCAAGCAGGTGATCCCTTTGATCCACGAGAAAGGGACAAGAAACAGACACTGGTCTGTGGGTTAACTTAACCAATCATTACTAAAGAAATGAATTGAGTAACAATGCATTCAAATGGCATATTCTGATATTGTGGGATTTCGTGGTGAACAAATGCATGACCTGGTCACAGGTATACTTGAAAAATCATTTATTTCCGTACTTACATGATAGTTTCTTATCCATGAACCTGTAAGAATAAAAAACAATTACCATAAGACATGAACTTCAAAACTTGGAGGCACATATTCATTCATAATTATAGTACTTACTTTTTAAGTTCTGGCGGATGTGCTTTACTCATTTCGTTTTGTAAGTATATCTGATACTATTACAATGCTGGAATTAAATATGAACGTTATTACGGGCTTTAAAACAAAAGTAAAAATACAACACCAAAATTTAATCCCCTTACTTCCGGGCGGCTAAATAACAACCACAGAAAATAGAACCGAACATGGGTATGAACGGAAACGGATATATAAATAATATCTTTGTAGACTATCGAGTTAGCAACGTCGCTGGTCACCTTTTGGATACGTAGTTTGAAAGTTCATTGGTTTTACTGTGGTTGTAGTAACTTACGGAAGTGGAGGGGATTTTTAAGTTTATTGTTATGTTACAATAACAGTGATGTTATTGATTTCGATATTATGATTTGATATTACTGGATCTGTGTATTCAGATAACACTGATTCCTATAAAGTTTATAAAATGTATAAAGTAAAAATCTGAAGATGCATTGATCCTTTTTTATGTATAAAATATAAGTAACCTAACTAGGGAGAGGTTATGTTGTGACAAAATATGTTGTGGAGAATGCGTGGTAGAACGCAAGTAACTGTCATTGCATTGACGGTTGCTACCTTAATCTTAATTTTGTATAGAATGTCGACAAATGATATTGGAGCATCCATTATTACGAGGGAAAGGCATGGCCGTTTGATCAACGTGGATGGCTTTAATGAACTGTCAGCAATGACACAGAAGCTAGAACAAATTTCAAAGCATCAAGAATATGAAGCCCGCATAATGGCTGATATTGAAGGACGAGGAGGATCCGAAGATGACAGGCAGGGCAGGAGGCTTATGTTCCCAAACAGTCACATTCTGCATTCTAATGAAAATCATGCAGACAACATGAAAGAAGATTCAGGCAGTTCATGGAACAGTGGTATACACCCATTCAGAGGCTACCGAATAGTCCACTTGGATCTTAAAGGGGCACCCCCAAGAATCTCCTACTATGAAGACTTCTTTCCTTTGATACATAACTTGGGTGCAACAGGCATTCTTATAGAATATGAAGACATGTTCCCATTCAGTGGACCACAACTGCAGGATTTACCTGCATATAATGCATATTCAAAGTCAGACATTCAACATATTTTGCAACTAGCAGCAGACAATGGATTGGAAGTAATTCCACTGATTCAGACTTTTGGCCATCTGGAATTTTTGCTGAAACTACAAAAATATAATGAACTCCGTGAAGTGCAAAAGTACCCACAGGTAACTTATTATAAACAACTGAAAGTTATCTGTATCGAGCCTTGAAGGCAAAGGGCAACCAAACTTCACTGTGCAACAGAATGATGATTTATTTAGTTGGTGATTAGCAGCTAGTGCTCAGTGTCTTAGATCTTTTCCTTTCACCATTTTCATCATAATAATATTTGTGAATTGATGTCTATGTTGATTGTAGTGGTGGCTTGATGCTGAAATAAATGATCTCTGTCCTCTGGGTTGATCATGTTTAACACATTCAGAATTGTGACAATTTTGATGAAATTCCAAATGGTTTTCAGTGTGGTATAATAGGTAAAAGCTAGTGAAGGTACAAAACTCTTTTCCTGAATGGAAGTATGTTATTTAAGTGCGAGATTATGAAGCCATATTGAGTGGAAATGCGCAGTGGAATTAAACATGAGCCCAATTCTTACTTTCGTATGCCAAATCTATCGTAACACTTCCTGACTGTGTACCCTGACACCAACTTTGTGACTTTATATTGTGAAAATTTTTAGTTAGTTTTCCATCATTGGTTAACACTAAGGTGATATGAAATAGAACTGTTCTTTTATATTAATGTACAAGGGCAAACTGAAAAGTCTTTGCCCCTATTTTTTTCAGCCACAATAATACACATACAGGGAAATCAAAATACAGTCAGTGTTCTAAGTACCTTTGACTGTTTTTCCACATAGTCACCACCCCGGTTCAGGCATTTGTCCCATTGCACCACTAGTTTGGAGATGCCGCTGTTGTAGAATTCAGCCAGTTGAGCGCGGAACCACCGCCGAAAAGCGGTTTTTGCATTGTCGTTGGAAATGAACCTCTGGCCTGCCAGGAACTTCTTCAGTGGACCGAACGCATGGTAATCACTGGGGGCAAGGTCTGGACTATACGGTGCATGCTCCATAATCACCCATCCGAATGATTGCAGTCAGGCGGCAGTCCTGTTTGCCACATGAGGCCTGGTGTTGTCATGGAGGAGAACCACATCGTCCACGAGAATCGCCGGGCGCGACTCTCCGGTGGTGGTTCCGCACTCAACCGGCCGAATTCTACAACAGCGGCATCTCCAAACTAGTGGTGCGTTGGGACAAATACCTGAACTTGGGTGGTGACTATATGGAAAAATAGTCAGAGGTACTTAGAACACTGCCTGTATTTTGATTTCCCTGTATGTGTATTATTGTGGCTGAAAAAAATAGGGGCAAAGACTTTTCAATTTGCCTTCGTATGAAGACTCATGTTTTGTGACATTTTACATGAGCTATATCTGTATAATAGAGTGACCAGATAAGCTCTACATGCATGATGCTTTCATATGGTTATGCTATTTACCAACAACTAGGATAGCATAATAGGGGGTGGGTATTATAGTACTGTGACAAGTTATGATCTGTTGTGTATCCCCAACTGTTATCCCATCATTAACTCTGCACTTTGAATAAACTGTAATAGTTTATGGATTTTGACCTAATGATAGTAGGATTTGGCAGGTGGGCTTAAAAGTGACCTAACGCAAAAATTAAGTTAAATCAAATTAATGTAATCCATCGTTTCAGCAAGTTTGAGTTTGTCAGAGAAATATAAAATTATGCCCAAATACAAGAAGAAAATATATTTGTTTCAACTCTGCTAGCACGTAACTACAAAATATCTGTCAGTAAAAAGGTATAATTGTCCTTGAGCTTAATTATTTAAGTACTGTGCCATGAAAACATGGTGTTGTGGAGGTATACCTCCACCATTCTTGATCTCACCACTAAATGGAGGTGAGTGGTCACCTTCACGTTACCCCTTTGGAAGTCACCCCCTGGTACCCTTTGGCTAGGAGGCTTGGTGTGCCCCAGAACCAGTCTGTACACTGTGGAGAAGAGAAAATTCTTACCCCTGCTGGGAATCAAACCTAAGCTGTCCAGTCTATAGACCCTTGATATACTGACATCTGTATTGACTCCTGTCTGTCAGTAAATAGTGTAACTATGTTGAAGCATTATGTACTCAAGACACAGAGGTACTGATAGTGTGTGGCCCAGTTACTGTTAATTTATTGTTTCAGGTGATATGCCCAACTCATAATTCTACGTTTGAATTACTGACAGCCATGATTGACCAAGTAGTGGCTCTGCATCCTGATATTAAATACCTTCACATTGGTTGTGATGAAGTTTATTATCTTGGAGAATGTGTCCGTTGTGGCTTGTCTATGGTGGACCACCAGTGGAGCAAAAAACAGCTGTTTCTACATCATGTCAGTCGACTGGCAAAGTAAGAAGGCGTAATTGTTATTTTAATACTGTTTATATAGTATTGTATATTATGTATTAAGTGACTGAATTTTATCGTTCTGTGAGTAGCAACCATGCTGTGTATTCACAAAGTCAGTCATGCCCATTATTGCAAAATATTTTTGTTATTTTCTTCAGCCCATCCAGGAATGCTGACATAGTACCTTAAAATGTGATATGGCATCTTTCTTCATTATTTTTACAGTTTCATAATTCATAATTTTTCTTCCATGCTACGTACCAAATCTAGTTTAGTTTAATAAAGGCGGCCTCCGTAGTCTAGGGGTAACGTTCCCACCTCATGACTCAAGGTACGTGGGTTCAAACCTGGCGGAGGTCATGGAATTTTTAAGGGCAGAAAAATTCAAGGAACAAGTCCTCCGGGACTTTAAGCCGTGTGTCCCATGTCGTAGAATTGTGGCACATAAAAGATCCTCATGTCTCTAGGAGACCTCTGAGCAAAATTAGGCAAAGTTTCCCGCCCAAGTAGTTTCCAATTCTTCCGGTAGATGGGGAAGCCACTGCCAGAGAGGGCCGACCTCACTGGCAGAATGGGGCTGATAGCGAGCACCAGTATGGTGACTGGTAGAATATTAAAGGGGGACGCACAATAGATTAACAACTAGTCACAGTGCATGGGGAAACCCATAATAATAATAATAATAATAATAATAATTAGTTTAATAATAACAGTCTGCAGGAATCAGCAGATGTTGGCTCATTTAAACATTCAGAGAAAAAACCAAATACCACATACAGGAAATACAAGGAATCAGCGCACCTGGCTCTGGTAGATCATCCTATCAATAAACCTAGCTTGGACATCTCGCCCATATGGACTTCCATTATCGCAGCAGAAGTCAGAAGAATACAACTCTGTCCAGTGTAGATTATGTGTGAAAATTGTGTTTTTATGTTGGTACCATACAGAGAATTTCTCTCTCTAGTGATGACTTTTATTCTGATAGTACTCTGATTTTAACAATAGTAGCTGTGAACTAGTGCATGGACATAGGTGCTAGACCTCATGTATGGAGTTTTTTAATGTTTTTAATGTTTGTCTTTACTTTGCAGATGGTTTGTGGCATGTTTTGTTTATGTATCCTCTCTTATGTTGGTGCTGGTTTCTGGAGACAGGGACTAGCTCTATCAATTGGGCCCTACTGAGTAGGTTCCACCTGATGGAGACAGAATCCAGTCTCCAAAACGTGTATTTTAAATAAGAACAAGACAGTGGACAATATCCAGAAACACAAGAATTTTCGCACTTTTTCCCACACGAGGTAGTGTGCTGACCAACACTGGTGTAATTGCTGTGCACCAGCCTACTTACCATCACATAACATGCAAGACCTATAAAGTATTGTCCCTTATTCTGAAGAGTCATGACAGTGGTATATTATACTTGGGATCAGTGACATTCTGGACTTTAACCATCATATATCCTGCAAAGACACGTTTCTTTAAACTGGATCTGTTCCCATCCTCAGGTGAGAAGATGGGGAGGCACTTGCTCAGTTGGGTCTGTTGGAAAGAGCACGTTTCAAGCACTAGACCAGGACACATATCCAATTTCTGATTGTGTTCTTTCACCGATCCAACCTATTTTTTTGTATTATATATTGTGTTTATGGGCAATGAGTACTGACATGGAGGGGACATCCCCCCCCCCACACCAAACACCTAGAAATCTGATTTGTATATGTGTTATTTTTTGACATCTGTGGAGAAATGGAAAGGAGACAGGAATTAATTTTAATGAATAAATTCAAAGTTTTTCCACTTGTTGGCCTTAATTTTTTGTCAGAGATGAACATATGAGTGAATTTGTTGGATTTGAGTTCTCATGGTAGTGATGGAGTGTATGGTCTTGTGGTCTATCATGCCATGTAATGCAAAGAAATCTTAACTTTTGGAGGAACATGTCACCTGTCTCTTCAGGGTTGAAGGGTAAACCAGGCAAGAAACCAGCAGAAGGCAACATGCTCACCTTTGCTTACTCTTTGAGACTGAAGGTTAGGGTGATATGTTGCTCCAAAATGTTGGGCTTTCTCTGACCTCTACTGTGTTACAACCCAGAAGATCAGAATCCTCTCAGATGAGTGGATTTATTAATATTGAGCAAAGACTGTTTGTTTGACAGGTATGTGCGGGATAGATATCCAAGAGTAACACCACTAACATGGGATGATGAATTCCGAGAACTGACTGCACCAGAACTAGTGGAGTGGGGCATTGCCAAATTGCTGGAACCTGTGATATGGAAATATACGCCGGATGTTACTAGTTACATTCCACCTGAGGTGTGTTGTTCTCAGTATTCAACACTTGAATAACTTTGTACCTGCTTTCAGGCATTTCAGAGTAGCTGTTTAATGCCACAAAGTGGAATCCTTTTTCAGAAGCTGATAGTAGTCACACAGATGGTTAAAACTTGTCCACCTCTTGCAGAATGCAAAGGTTCTTTACCTCAGGGTGACTTCATAAAGAAGTGAAGAAAATTACATAATGAGGATGTTGTAATTTTTTCTCATTACCTGAGATTGTTAGGGTGAGTAAATCAAGGTGGATGTGATGGGTAGGACATGTAGCACATATGAAGGGAATGTGAAATCATAGAATTTTTGTCTGTAAAGTTCAAAACAAGAAATTTCTTGCAAGATGTATACATGGATAAGCAGTATTATTAAAACAGATGTTGTAGAAATAGGGTGTGAACTGGATTCATCTGGCTCAGGACAGGATGCAGTGGCAGGTTATTACGAACATGGTGACGAACGTTTGGGTACCATGAATGCATGCAGTTCTTGATGAGCAGAGCAACTATCAACTGGAAGACACTGTACCATAGTGCTGGTTGGATTTCTAGAATTTTGTATAAAATGATAAGTTACTTCAGGTTTTTAGAGTTACTTTTGATTAAAAATGTTATTATTAATTTTTATTTACACGGAGAAAATCAGGAACATCAGACACAAGAAATTGTATGTGTATGTTCATGGTTTCTATGTTTCCAACAGGTGTGGGACAAGTATGCTGCTGTATTTCCAGCTGTATGGATTGCAAGTGCTTTCAAAGGGGCTACAGGATCAGATAAATATATTACTGATATCAGTAAGTATGAACTGCTTATCCAGTTGGCTAGAGGTTTTCAGGTGACCACTTTATGTCATCTAGATTATCTTACAGACAGAGAGACATAGATGTTGACACACCTTTAAATCCCCACACTTATGCAAGCACACTTACATATCCTCAGCAGTAACGTATTAGATAAGATCTAAAAGTTTGTGATGATGGTAAATTGTTACAATTAATATGTTGCTGGACATTATCCACCATCTTGTCTGTTCTTAAAAAACCGTCTAGTTTCTATTAAAAACACAACGTTTCGGGAACTGGAATCTGTCCCCGTCTTCAGGTAAAACCTACTAAGTTGGGTCCAATAGACAGAGCTAGCCCCTATCTCCGGTCCGTCTAGTTTCTATTAAAAACACAAAGTTTCGGGAACTGGAATCTGTCCCCGTCTTCAGATTCCAGTTCCCGAAACGTTGTGTTTTTAATATAAACTAGACGGTTTTTTAAGAACAGACAAGATGATGGATAATGTCCAGCAACATATTAATTATAAGTAACGTATTAGATTTTAATGTAATCTATAAACAAAACATTTTAATACAGAGCAGTGTTAGGTACATACTGTGCCTTCAAGAGGCTTAGGTGTAAATAAGAAGATAAGAGGACCATCAGTTTGAAGTAGGATACGAGGAATTTGTCTTTGGATGTGGTCCAGTTATGGGCTTTTGTGAACATGATAGTAAACCTTCAGGTGCTTTAAAAGCAAGAAATTTCCTGACTAGCTAAATGGTTACCAGCATAAATCCATGGAGTTAGTTAACTATAAAAATCATCACCTGGAACTGTTGCCTTGTCATATATTTGGGGCTTTCCTGTACTCTTGTGCTATATTTACTCTATCAGGAATGTGAATCTTGCCTTAATGCATCACCTATGATGCAAATGTTACATTTTTTAGTGTTCCATCTCATAAGATTTCAGTGTTTGAGTGGCAGTATCATGCTGCATTATGAGAACCTCTAGATATAGGTCATTTAGTCCACGAACCCACATTCTGTTAGTTTATACTTATTCAAGGCTTCTACTTGTTGTACAGGATTGTTTATACCAAATCTATGAGTCCACATTCTTTCAGTCTAAGGAAAAGTATGAAGAAAGCAGTCTTCTGGGATTTGGCACCGTGTATATNCAGGTCTTATATTTTTTCTTCTACCCTGAAGATGGAGGCGATACGTTCCTCCGAAACGTCGGTTAACACCACATATACACGGTGCCAAATCCCAGAAGACTGCTTTCTTCATAGTCACCGCCGTGAAAGCCTCAAATCTTACATAAGGAGAAGTAATTTGTCATAATATTATCATATTGTAACGTGTCTTGTTACAGAAGACGCCGTAGAGATGGTTAATTGGTTTATTTAACAATCTACAAATAACGGCTACAATTACTTATCACACAGTTGCGGGGTTTCACACTTTATAACCCTAATCGCATTAATCTGTTAACACTGTTGCGGGGTTTCACGATTTATAACCCTATGCGCAAATCAGGTCACTTTGTGTTCAGTAGTCTACACGTTGACAGTAGGGGAGCGAGGTATCACTGTATCACACGCTCCCAATTACACAATCACACACACGTCTGGTTCTTCTATCCGCGACGGCTGCTATACTCCAACTGTAGTCGGCTGACTGGAGAACTGTTGATAACACACTCGCTCGTAGGCTTGCTCGAAACTATCTTCAGCGATGGCCAGGTTATAACTCGACTCGGCGACTGTTGCTATATGTCAACTCGGCTCGGCGACTATTACTTTATAACTCAGCGGCTGTCACAGTACAACTCGACTCGGCGACTGCTACAGTAGAACTGACTGGTACCAGCTGTGCAGCTCACTTATATAGCTGCAGCGCTTGCCGGTTGCGTAATGAGTGCCACGTCACAGTAGGAAGTTGATTACGGGTACGTAGCGTTGCGCGTTACGTCACCGCGGAGGGGAGTGGTGGGGCGGGAACTCGCCTATTACCGTAGTAACGCGAGCGTTACGTTACCGCCACGTACCGCTGGGGAGGTAGGGGTGATCCATAGCTCAACATGTCACAATATTTATAATAAAGTCCAGAAACATAATATTTACATGTGTATACAAGTCGGAAGGTTGCGGGTTCAAATACCGATGAGGTCATTGGATTTTTTCAGTTGACCTAATCCTTCAGGCCGCTCTATGGTCCTGGGGTTCACTCAGCCTCTAACAGAAATGAGTACCAGGAATTAAATAAATAATTTTCCTAAGGAGTAAAGCGTGGCCGGTGAATAAGGCTGACAACCTTACCGCCGATTGTATAGATAATGTGGGACCCTCAACGTCTCACAACCCTATGGGCCTTCATGGCCTGTTACAGGGATAGCTTTACTTTACTTTTACTAGCATTATAACAATAAACCTGTATCAGGAGGAAACAGATGTGAATGCCAATGTATGTTGCAAAGATTTGAAGTTCTTGCAGCCGTTGTTATGAAGAGTTCTGTCTTCTGGGATATAATGCAGTACAGTCCGCTGAAAGTCAGCTGACGTTTTGGAGGAACATGTCACCTCCATCTTCAGAGTTAAAGAATAAGCCAAGCAAGAAACCAGTGTGAAAGCAGGTGTTATATCATGCCAAGATTGTATTTGGGAAATGTGTGTAGTCCATTGGAATGCTACCTTTCCATTGCATAGACTTTATAGTATTGAATACTTGGCTGACTCTGAATGATGAATTGAAAGGAATATGGAAGGAAATAGTTGTGTCCTTGTGTAAGGTTTGCAGTTGCTTAGAGGTGTTAAGGAAACCCACAGAAAATCTCAGTATAGTTGATTTTCAGATTAAGATTTTAAGTCAGGATCTTTCAGATATGAAGCAGGAATGATAACCACTTGATCTTAACATTAGTTCTTCCATTCAAATGATTTATGTTCATGTTATGATGTGGGTTTTTAGTTAAAAATTTGATTGTTTTTGATCTACAGGTTATCATTTGGAAAATCATCAGTCTTGGATGGATATCGTTTCTTCATATTCAAGTCAACTGAAATTTAAAGGAATTTTTATTACTGGGTGGCAGCGATATGACCACTTTTCGGTGTTGTGTGAGTTGCTACCTGTTGGAATCCCGTCTTTAGCAGTGAACCTGGCTTTCATCCAGTCTGAAAGCAGAGGTAACATTACATCACTGTGTGACTTCCCTTGCAGTATTTATACTGTAGTTTTGCAGCCCATTTGAAGGAACATGACCTAAATAGCTACATTCTTCATATCTCATTGTTGCATATTTTCAGACATTTTATATACTTTGTATATAAACACAAACTGGTAGGATAAAACAATTGTCATGTAAATATTATGGTCTCCTGCGATGTGATGCTATGTGGTCTGGTAGACAGGTACCAACATTTTGGAGGAACCTGTTGCCTCTATTTTCAGGTTTCCATCCCTACCCCTTACTCCTTTACCCTGAAGCATCATGTTCCTTCAAAACGGTACCGATCTACCACACTACACAGTATCGCAACTCAGAAGTCTATAGTCTTGGCACCCATCGCTGTGAGAAATTTGTATCTCAAAAATTGGCATGTATATTTTATTTACTGACAGTAAAAAGGTAAAGTTGTTCATGACCTTAATTAGTTAAGCATTATGCCATGAAGATATATGGGGGAGTGGAGGTATTTCTCCATCTTCCTTGACCTTAACACTAGATGGAGATGAGTGGTCAGCTTCACATTTCTACAGCTTTACTCCCTGGGAGAAAGAGCCCCTGGTACCCAGTGGATAGGAGGCTGGGCGTTAACCCCAGAGTTGGTCTGGACACTGTGGAGAAGAAAAGAGCTTGCACTGCAAGGAATCGAACACAGACCATCCAACCCATAGCCTGTCACTATACCGACTTGGCTATCCTGACTGTGATTACTGACCGTACACCTCATTTATATAGTTGTGCTCGTAGCTTGATAAAATATGCACAGATTATGTAGAGATGTACATAGTGTGTGATGTGAACTGGTCATATTTTGTAGGTACAGCATTAATACCACAACGAGTACTAGACATACTGAAATGTGATGGATCAGTACCAATGAGCCCAGGTGCCGGACGAACCAGATGCAGTTTTCCTGGTGCTGCAATTCTAGAGGCTGTAGAACGTCTGTATATGCTACACCTCAATGTGGAACGGATGCTGGGAGATTCAACAGTGAAAGGCTGGATGACTTCCTACAACATAGATCATGGTTTCTCAAGCCCATCTCATGTATGTACCATGTTAAGTTTTATTGCACCAAGGCTGTATTTTAGATTAGATTGAATTAAATGGGTGGGCATTAAATAACCCTTGCTCCATGGTCATCTGCAATCTATTATGGATCCTTGTTGTTAGATTAGCCCTGTAGCAGCCCTGCACTTCAAACAAAATGCAGTACTTTGCGTAATGGTGTCCTTTAAGAGCCACAAACACAGATCCAGCAGTACAACGCATGCAGTAATAGGAGCAAAACACAACACAGAACATGATACACAAATATATGTAGGAAGAATGCTCACATAAAAGAGGATTGGCATAATTCGCGTGTTTGAGTGTGATGTAGGAAGAATCCTGAAAAGTTTTATTATTTAGAATTAATCGTCCTATATGACGAATACAGATTTTAGTCATTTTAGAATGAAAACATCATGGCATGAAATACAATAGTTTAACGTGCATAAAGACACCTGAGGATGGCACATTAGTGCTGAAACATGTAGTGTGTAAGTGAAGAATAAGGTGAAAAAGTGTATACACTGTAAGATGGCCAGCATAAACCATGGACTATAAGAGCCACTTGACATTTTGAAATTAAATCTTAGATGACGAAGTCTTATTTCATCTGGAACCTCACAGTCACATAGAACATGTGAAGCTGTTTCACCTTTGTCATGGTACCTTTATACAGGGTGTCCCAGGAGGAATGTGCCAAACTTCGGGAGGGTGTTCCTTATGTTAAAGTATGCCGATATAACCCAAAACACCTATGTCCAAAGTTGAACGGTTACGGAGATAATGGCCCGAGAAAAGTGTGGTCTTCTTGCAGGTCCACGCACTATACCTACCTGTCAGCTGAGATCCTTATCTGTTTGTCCTTGAGTGCCGCGAGTCACACTAGCGTAAGCTCATGCGCTGCCTACAGATTACGTTGCGGTGGGGTCGTGAATGGGTGGTAAATTAGTTGTGTGATGAGTTGCTGAAATGCCTTTTGTGTTTTCACACGTCGAGTATTGTGATATGCATTTTGTGTATGGATTTTGCGGTGGCAATGCACGTGCTGCTGTTGAAGAGTACCAAAGGCGTTTTCCCGATCGAAGGATTCCATCTCGAAGTGTATTTACGCGAATTCACCAGACATTGCGTGAGACTGGTTCTCTTCCGAGTGTTTCTGTGCAGTCGGAAAGGGAGGATGTACAAATGAGAAACACACGAGAGAACATTCTTCGCATGATTGATAGAAGTCCGCGTCTCTCCACTCGTAGAATGGCCTCTCGCATCGGCGTATCACGTATGCAGGTGTGGCGAACTTTACATGACGAAGACCTGTATCCTTACCATGATCAAAGGGTACAACATCTGGAACCAGGCGACCATGCTCAGCGTATGGATTTCTGCCACTGGATAAAAGCTCATCCCGAACTGTTAAGCGTCATTTTATTCAGTGATGAGGCGTCGTTTACCCGGGACGGTGTAAATAATTTACGAAATATTCATACGTGGTCCCATAATAATCCACATGAGATAATGGAAACGAAATTCCAAAAGAGATTTTCTGTGAATGTATGGTGTGGTGTGCTTGGGAACAGGTTGATCGGACCTTTTGTGTTTCACAACAATTTAACTGGAAACACGTATGGAGCCTTCCTAAGGAATGAGTTACCATGTTTGTTGGAAGACATCCCGTTAACGATAAGGAGGAAAATGTACTTCCAACATGATGGGGCTCCTCCACATTATACTCAGCACGTGAGACACTACTTAGATGAATCCTTCCCTAACCGCTGGATAGGTCGTGGTGGTCCCATTGCATGGCCACCGAGGTCGCCAGATCTTACGCCTCTAGATTATTACCTCTGGGGCCACATGAAGACCTTAGTCTACGAAACTAAGGTCGATTCCCGAGAAGCACTGCGGAATCGTATTTTTGCAGCGGCAGAGCACATACGTCACCATTCAGGCAACATTGCTTCTGCTACCCAATCCCTCATGATGCGTGCCGAAAACTGCATTGCAGCTGGCGGAGGACACTTTGAACAATTACTATAAAGCAGGTACTGTATTTTAATACTTATGTAGTTGGCTTATAGCAGAATATGCAGTCAGTCATGTTACACCAGCGCTTGCCATTCATGTGTCATGTGTAGTGATGAGGCGTCTTTTACCCTGGACGGTGTAAATAATTTACGAAATGTGCATACGTGGTCCCATAATAATCCACATGAGATAATGGAAACGAAATTCCAAAAGAGATTATCCGTGAATGTAGGTATAATAAGAGTTATGTGGTCGGCTCATAGCGCAGCCATATTACGTCATCGCACGCCAGTCATGTGTTATGTATACTGCTTGGAAACCTAAGGACAATTATGACATGGCGAGCGAGTATTTTGTACTTCAATTTTATGGCTTTCCGTCACTCACAAGTTGGTTTGATGTTACGTACATTATTAACATTACAGAATCCACATATTCCTGCCAGTTTTAATATCTATTTTGTAATCAACAAGTGTGTAACCCCGGTCAAAGTTTGACACTTCTCTGGCCATTATCTCCGTAACCGTTCAACTTTGGACATAGGTGTTTTGGGTTATATCGGCATACTTTAACATAAGGAACACCCTCCCGAAGTTTGGCACATTCCTCCTGGGACACCCTGTATATATTGGACTATACACTCAAGTGCCAAAAGTCATGGGATAGCAGTATGTAAATTTATTTTTAAGTGGTGCCACCGTCCCTTGATGGCTTGGGAACGCCCAGAGCAGTATCAGTTGTGAGGTGTTCTCCCGTGAGTCAGGTTGAACACCGGCCAGTCTGCTCATGGCAAGCCGACGTGAATTATCGGAGTTTGAACAGGGCATGATATTGGGTGCCAGGCGGATGGGACATTCCATTTCGGAAGTTGTGTGGTCATTCAACATTCCTCGATCCTTGGTGTCACGTGTGTACCAGGAATACCTTGTGAAAGGCATTTCCACCCACCGTGGACAGCACAGTGGCCGACCACGGGTGCTTAATGATCGTGACCAGCGGCGTCTAGCTAGAATTGTCCATGGTAACAGACAAGCGACACTGGCTGAAATCACATCCACATTCAATGCAGGAGGGACCAGACGCATATCCAGCAGGTCAGTTGCAGCATTCTTTAGCTTCCATGGGATATGGGAGCAGAAGACCGACCAGAGTAGCTCTGTTAACACCATGACACTGGACACAGCACCTCACCTGGGCTTGTGACATCGCTATTTGGACCCTGGAGGATTGGCAACATGTGGTGTGGTCCGATGAGTCATGGTACAAGTTGTTTCGGGTGGATGGTAGGGTTCGGGTGTGGCACAGACCCCAGTTGTCAACAAGGCACCGTGCAGGCTGGTGGTGGTTCTACACTGGTGTGGGGTGTGTTCACGTGGCATGAGTTGGGTCGGCTCGTCCACCTAAACACATCATTGACCGGTGACCGCTATGTTGCACTGCTTGGTGACCATTTGCAGCCCTTTATGGACTTCATGTACCCCCACAACGATGGGATATTCCAGCAGGACAATGCACCGTGTCATCGGGCCGGAGTTGTCCAGAATTGGTTCAAGGAGCATTCTGGAGAGTTCCGACGAATGGTGTGGCCACCACATTTGCCGAACATGAACCCAATTGAGCATTTATGGGATGTGGTGGAGAGGTCCATGCACACCCAAAATCCTGCACCTACAAATACCAGGGAGCTGTGGGCGGCTATCCAGACAGCATTGCTCAACATCTCTCCAGAGGTCTTCTGTCCACTTGTGGAATCGATGCCACATCGAGTTACTGCACTTCGCTGGGCTAGAGGGGATTCTACATGATACTAGGTACCTATCCTATGACTTTTGGCACTACAGTGTATAAGTTCATTGCTTTTAGATAGGAGCAAATGGCCATGATGCTGTCTTGCCTCTAAACACACTCATTGAGTCACATTTGGGAGTAATTACTGTTCCCAGATTAATAGGTGTCCTTTTAAGTGACAGTGTCCAGCCAGTAGTCTTATCTAGTGTCTCAAGTGGTTGCTGTTTATCTCTTATAATACGGAAGTTTTTTTTTTTGTAGGAGAGTTCCTGAGGGAGGCCCTTCAAATGTTTTTTCCTGATGTGGACTTCCAGTATTGTATTCTTTGCTACACCACAGTTATGTTTGATGCTGTACATATGTTCCTTCTAGCATTTGAATGAAAGTAGACATCATAAGTTCTTCCCAGAAATTATTCTCAGTTTTAAATATAATTCTTCTTCCAATAGGTAGAACATGCAACAGGAGAGCTGGACCGATGCAAAATGGAATTGACATACGTAGAACGGGATATGCGATCAGCAATGTCTGACGTATATGATAGATACACAATTGCTGAATGGATATCCACATTCCTGCAGCCATTGGATACACAGCTTCAGTCATTATGGGATGCTCGGGAAAAGCTTCTGTCACGTACGCACTGGCCAAAGCGTCCTCTTGAGATCTTAAAGCCATCTGTTGCCCAAAATGTATAGCTGTACATTATCAGGTAAGTTGGAGAAATTTAAGATGAAACAGAAATCAAATGAACCTCAGTGTGAAAGAGGCCATGACCCACAGATTCTAAACTTCTGTGACTTGATTTATCTTAGTCATTCCTTATTTAAAATATACAAATCAGGAGTTCAGTTAGTGTAGTAAGGGCTATGGGCCATATGGTCAGGATTCAATTCCCAGTAGAGGCAGAGGTCTTGCTTTTTTTCAATGCACCCAGATTAGCTCTGAGGCCCTGTCATTGTCCTATTAATGTGTACTGGGAGATTTTTCCCTGGGTGGTGGGGCAGAGTCAGTGGAACATGAAACTGACCATACACCTAGTGCCAAGGTCTCAGATACATGGCACCTCTCTTTCACACCTGCATGCATCTTCATGGCATAATGTTTAGGCACAGGGAACTTTACTGTTTACTCTGAATATATATAATCTCAAAGTATTTTAATGTGTTAGCTGCCACAGTGGACACCAATGTATACTACAGATCCTTTACATTACTACAACAAAGGACACCAGTGTCTGCTGTGTAACGCTTCACCCCCTATTATCTGAATGAAAGTTTTAAGGGATTCCATTCAATATGGCTTCTGGGTAGGGCACCACTTGCAGCATCTTTGACAGTTTGATTTAGTGTAAAAATGATATGCCTCAACATGATGGCCTGGGACAAAACACATCGAATATTGCAGTGACAGTCAAAGAGTTACAGCAGTCTCTGATTAATCTTGTTTCAGCATCTCAGGTCCTCGATTTCACATAATAAGGACGAGTCATGGTAAATGTTATACAGGATTGTGACATACCAGTTTTTTTTAATGATGGCATTATCTGAATTTAAAAAGAGGAATTAGCAAGAAAATTGAGAGGTGTATCTAATGAAGATTTTTGTAATTTGTAAGTTACTTAATATTGCTGTGAGTAATGAATCATGAGGATCAATTAAATCAGAAAAGAGCATAAGATATGCAGGACATGTAGCACGCATGAAGGAAATAAATAATGCATGCAGAATTTTTTTAAGAAAACCTCAGGAGACAAGATCTCTTGGGAATAATAATAATAAATATAATAATATTAAAATATGTCTTCTAGGAATAAAGCATAGAATTTGGAACTGGATTTAGCTGCCTTAAGGTACAGTCTTCTGGTGAGCTTTTGTGAACAATGTAATGATCTTCAGGTACCATAAAGCAAGGAATTTATTGACAAGCTGATTATCACTTTGTGAAGAAATTCCTGTACCATTAACTTCATTGTTTTAACACCTTGTATGGGCACTTAAATGGCCTCTGGCTGTGTATGGAGCACTCTTTCAAATACCCATTCTGGCTCTTACAGTCAGCTGTTTTCATAGACAGTTACACTTGCACTTGGAAATCTAATAATATGAACCCAAAGAAATGATATTGATAGTGGGCAGTTGCCACAAACTAGCCAAATGACACAGAAAGGCTACCTTCCTGTAATCTATGGCTGCAGGTGAAGATAAAATGCATGGCATAACTGGAAACTGTTACAAATGAGATGTTATTCCCAAGTACTACCACTCACCTGTGAGAAGTCTCACTAAATTCTGATACAATAGGTTAATCTAAAAGACTGTAAACACCTATAGCATTAAAATGTGTTTCAGAATTCAAGTCACTGTCATTCACTTCAATTTCTTTCAGGAAAAGAAATGGAGATTGTCCATATTGTCATTAACAGTATCATCGTCATCATAATCATGGAACACACCAGTCATGGGCATCAGGGTGTTATTATATGACTGGTCATCAATTTTATTTCAACGCGACTCGCTTACAAGTAAACATGGATCTTTATACAGAAGAACTGCTTCTGTTTTAGTGAGCTGTAATGTGATTCTGAAGGATCCGTATGTATGGGATGGGTGAAGTTTGTGTTATTTCCTTCAAATAATGTCAACTAGAAATGTGGATTGCTGGATTATGTTATGCAGCAAAAAAGAAAAAGATGATTACACAGCTTGTCATCGAATAGGTTGTTCTAGTAATGTCTGGGACTTGTGTTTGGGGGATACTTGGTTTGAATCTCAGCCAAGACATTGACTGTCCTGACTGAAGTTTTCTGTGATTTTCATCAGTCTCCAGGGAAAGGCCTTAATTAAGTCACTTCTGCTTCCTTTCAAATATTGGCACTGTTGTGAAAGAACCCACAAAAAGAATACACAGCATAAACACATACAAGGAGACTATAAATCTTCATATTCACCACTGTGAGAACATCAGATCTAAGCCAGCATTAGACACAGTGTGACCATTTACCTGTTATGCAACTGGATGCATTGTTCAGTACCAGTATATTCAACTTAGAACTTATTTCTTGTCATTTTTATTGCTTTTTACATTAAATCTGGAGAAAAAGTCTTAGATCTATGTTTTACATTATTTTTTCTGGGATGCTGCATAAATAATGGTATGGCTGTATGCATATTATTGGTAATTAAAATACCTTTGTCAAAAAATGCTGTACAAAGTTAAATAAGACATGTTTCTAGTTGACAGGATTTGGATGTCACTTGTGTTATTAGTGATATTAGCAGATGTATATTGTTCTATACTAGGGTGTTGTGGAATTCTTATTTGGAATTATGTGTGGTTGTATTTTAAAATATATATATATACTCACTGGTTCATTTTTTCAAGGGTTACACCTGGAAAGATGGTGATTTATTTTTGAGATTAATGTCTTCTGGTATGTGATTATATGTAGGTCACTAGATAGTTTCCTAAAAACAATGGTACCTATCTATCAAATAATACAATGTCACATTCTAGAAAACAGAATCCTGATAGTCACTGCTGTGATAACCTCAGATCATGTGGTTTCCTTTTAGAAGATGTAGTGTCTCTTTATTGGGAATGTTTAGCTGTACACAGAAATGGTAACTTGCAGTAGTTTCCACAACATCTTATTGTAACTTAAGAGGTTGCACAAAAATCTTACAAAACTGTAGGATGGCAAAGTAATGTTGTGTTCTGTTTTCAATTTACCAGTAGATATGAATTTGAATTGTGATAACGTGTGGGTTGAAAACAGATTTTTATGTTGATTTGATTTTATATTAATACAGTTACTGCCAAAGAGTGGTAGTTTTTAAATGATTCTGTATGTACTAAATTTTTGTAACATATTCTAGTATTATCTAACTATGTTTAGTTTTTACTACAGGCATGTTGTTATGAATTTGACTCAGATGCATGTGAGGCAAATATTTGAATGAGTATCAGAACTTTATTCAGTGTCAAAATGTTTCCATGAAACCCCAGATTCCACAGCAGTTATATATTATGTAATATATGTTAAAAGTACAAACACTCTAACATACTTTTCATGTTATTTAGACTGGCAGAGAAAAGAGGAAGCTGAATAAGAATGAAAATGCAAACAACCCAAAATTATGTTATTTTTATATTCTCAGTGATTACAGGTACAATAATATCACAGTATAGTATCATGTGGAACAGGAAAAGATGTTCGCTTTACTTTCCTGTGTAACTTGTCACATTCTGCTGCAAGAGGTCATAATATGTGGATGATGCCATGATAGAAATAGGTAAGGCAGGGGAGAGATAAAAGTCGAGTATGTGCGCCAACATACCTTTCTGTAATCTTTCAGTTAATTTAACAAGCAGTGTAAAATAAGAGAGAAAATATATATGAATGAATGCTTCTTCCCCTCCCCTCCCAGATGTAACAGAGGGGAAGCAATATCTTCTTTAAAATATTATGCTTCCAACATTTTGTCAGGCAGATAAGCTTTTAAAATGTCAAAAGTCACCAGTACAGCTGAAGTTTGACTCTACCAATTATTTTTATTCATGTTTTACGGAGAAATGGTATGATAGTGTGATGTACCACTATATACTGCCAGTAATAAGGCCTGAATGTAGGTAGTTTTGAAACAAATTAATCTGCACACTGATAATCAAGGGTACAGTGTGACCCCCTGTTTAAGATTTCTCTGGGGAGCAATGGACATGAACACTACAATTAAAGAAAATCCTAAATGTAGGAAATTTAACACTGGTAGAGACTTGGGATCCTTAAACATTAAATTATGGAAAACCTTAAATTGAGGAACATTAAATGGGGGTTCTGCTGTGTAAATAACAAAAGAAATTTCAAATTACTATGCATATTTCTGTAAAAAAAAATTAAATGTAATTTCATGCCTGTATTATATTTTGTATATCAGAGAAGGTAGAAGTGAGGTTATAAGTATCTCTAGAAGCAACAAGCCAAGAAACCAAAGATGCATCACATACCACACCCAGTTTCTTCTTCAAGTATAGACATTAGTACAGTGGACTGAGTTATGTAACCACAGACTAATGTAATAATATCTCTTAGTTAATTATTTTTGTGCTTAGCTGTGAATGACGAGGAAGAGAAAAATGCAATAGCTATATCATAAGGGATTGAGTAATGTATGGAAGAAACAGATACTGTGTCAAGCAACAGTCAGTGTTGCCTGTTGCTTACTTGGTTTACTCTTTGAACCTAAAGATGGAACCGATGCATTCTCCTGAGATGTCAGTAAACAGACTATACTGAATCCCATCCCAGAAAACAGTACTGTTTATAGTCATTGCTACAAGAATCTCAAATCTCACATATTGAAGAGAACTTTTACAAAAAGAATTAGGTTACACTTCACTGAGGTATCTTACAGAAATGTAATTGTATCTATGAAACTGAGGTGCACTGTACAGTGATTCCCAAACTCTGTTCCTGGAACTCATTCCACAGTTATTCAGAATTTCTATGAACTGTGACTGAAAACTACTTTCCATAAGAAATAAATAGCAGAAAACTACAGAAACAAGCGAAATTGATATCACAGAAATGTGATCAAGCTGTTCTTGTTGGAAATGTTCAAAATTTCTGCCATTATAAATTAATACTTCACCAAACATAATCTACAACATTGAACGACAGAAATGAAAATACTTTCACAGTGGTAAAATTATTCTTTGAAATTTTGTATTATACAGAGTTACAGAATTATTTATACAGAATGGCCCATGAAATGTCTGCCAAACTTCAGGAGTTTAATTAGCAAATTTTATGCAAACATGGATCAAATTCTCAACTGTTATGGAGCTGTTGCTGAAATTTCAGTAAAAATAAAATTGCTGAATGAGCGAAACAATTTTATTTGGTTATCTTATCACATGTATCATTTACTAAAGATCTTCACAAGGTTACTAGGTAGGAATATAATTTTTATCTTGTATGAGGCATATTTCCTGACTTAAAAAGAGTTTCAAGGTATTGTCACTGGTAGATGGTTTGCACAATTACTTTAAAATACTCTGTTTTGCAATGGTTCATTGACATTTCAAAGGAACAAGACTCCTCCCTGTCACATCAAAAAGAAAATAGTACTTTCATACTCACTGCTGTGAGAACCTTAAATCCAGAACCATTTTCTGTTTCAGATACTTCTCATTTCTCGTGATTTTCTGTTTTAATATAGGCGTCCATCATTACTTTTAGAGCTGAAAAGGGTTTTTGGAACAGTGGCATTTGGGAAACACTATCATAGACCATTAAAAGAAAAGTAAGAATGGACAATAAGTACTGAATACATCATCATTGACAGTTCTTTTATACCTGAAGAGATTTATGATTTATATCATGTATGAAATAGTATAGTGTACAGGTTTTCTTTTGTAAATGACAATTCAGTCATGCATTCAGTTTTACTGCATGATGTAAAGTAAAACAATACATTTATTATGTAAAGGGCATAAGAATGGTTGTGGACCATACAGTGTACATTTAGCAATTAATCACAAAGACGATCAATGTTTTATGAAGTATAACGAATACTCATTGATGCACAAATTAGTCTTCTCATAAATTATGTTTTTTATAAGTGTAGCTTTATGGATACCAGACACAGTAAGCATTTAAGACTGTTATATTAATCTTGTTTCTTTAGAATTTTACCCTGAAGTCATATTCCTCCACTTTATTTTAGGTTAACATTTTTACATAAAGTAATTCCTAAATATCCAACTTTTTAATAATCGGGATATTATGGTATTTGACATGGCAGAAAAAAGTAGTAGTGGTTGTTGTTGTAGTAGTAATAGTAATTATTTTAATATTTTTCATCATCCCTATATATACCTAGAGACTAAGTAAGTAAAATAAATTTAGAAGATTTGAATTTTTTTTGTCACAAATTTCAACAGATATTTACTATACTTTGCAGAAGTGTTACCAGTTTTTAATTTTAACAGAATCTCATAACCAACACAACATATTCACGAGAAAAACAGAAAAATGCTGTATGAGATAACTAAGGTGTCTTACATGATGTTAACATGTACATGTGGAATTCAGCATTTGCATGGTGTTTTTTTGTTATTATTTTAACAGATGGAATTCACACATACTGAAGATTCTATGGGTTGTGAGCATGGGGCATTAGTGTCTGAACCCCAAACTCATCTTAAGGAACCACATGCTGAGTACTTTCCTGTTATTCAGAGAATTTGTGGTAGTAGCATAAATGTCTCCCAGTTCTACCTGATTTCCATTGTCTCTTACAAATACTGTCCAGTTTCATATTGTTTTTCTACCTATGGCTTTAATTCTGGTTTGGAATGCTGTCAGACTTTTCTAAGGGCAAAAGGCTGCAAGAAACATGTTCTATAAAGACTGTCTCTGATATGTGACTATAGTTGGTTAGTTCATTACCAATGAGTTAGAAGAACATGCTACCCACATCTGAAGGGTAGACGTGCAAGCCAAGCATGGAAAGAATGTTACAGCTATAGACAGAGGTAGTATGAGAACTGGGCCCTGAGTGAACCAATAGGAGGAAGGAGAAGAGTGTAAAAAATATTGGCCCAGTCACTGTATCCGTGTCAATTTCTCTTACAGTTGGCTTACCCTTTGACCCTAAAGACCAAGATAGCATGTTCCTCTGAAATGTTGGTAACAGTATACCATACAACACTGCATCACATTCAAGAAAACAGTAACTTTTGTAATTATCACCTTGCAATGCTCATATTTCATGCAACATTCTGTATCATCATATTGGAGCCACCATTCCCATACCACCTGGAACTGCATACTTCTAATATTACTGTTTTCATATTGCATATTCCTAACAATTCTGTTGTTTGTTATGTATATGTGTGCATGTATAAATAACAATTTTATGTATATAATTCACGATTATATGAGGAAAAGTCAATCATTAGTAGAACTTTGTGCCTCTGAGTTCTTTTAGGGTAGAGAGTAGCTCTGGGAATTACAAAATGACTGTGTACTAGAGATTTAATTAGGAAAGACACTTTGGATGTAGGAAATGATCCTGTTTTTGTTTTTGGTTAGTCGTTTACAGATATCTAGTGTTACAGAATACAGACCTCCTGAATCAGTAAGGTTTGTTGGATTGTGTTGTATTGGAACTTCTAGTTGCATAATTATAATTCTGAGAGTAAGACATGAAGTTGACATGCTGTGGTTTTATAGATATTATACTTGAATAAGTTAGTTTCAAAAGGGAATGTGTCTGCTTTCCAGAGACGTATTACCTTTTCCAGCTAACCAATTCAATTGATGATAGTCAAGAATAATTTCACTTTAATCATAAGTGAACATTAGTGTTTTGTAATTATCAAGATTCAGCTAATACTCAGTAGTTCATAAAGTTCTGACTGATGTTAAGTCTTATTTATTCTTTTTTAAAGATTTTTTCACAGTCTTCTGTGCTGTACATTTTGATATTATGTTGTGACTCTCATGGGGAAAAACAGATTCTGCACTATGACATGAAAGCAGACATATTTTAGGTTTTATTATATAATACCTTTATGTTCAATAATAAATATATTGATACATTCTTTGTTTTATGCACCATTTATTAGTGTGACCTGTTAAATTGTATCTCTTTTCCTTTTCCTCTTTTTACGCACATTTTACAGGAGACAGGATAGCTCACTCCTTATAGTGACCACACTATAGGTTGGATGGCTGGAGAATCAGGGTTTGATTCCCAAATTGGCAGAGATTTATGTAATGCCGTAGAATTTTGGCAAGGGTTTTTGTAACTTTTAAGTATTAAGTTATCTTGGGTTCACAGTTAGAGAAGTCAGGCGAAGGGTTAATGTTTGTAGTAGAATGCAGGAAGTAGCAACGTCAGTAGAAAATTTTCGCATTGCTTAGACTGCTGATTCGTGCAGAAGAGACGGCCAAGGCGGACAGAGCCGACTCAGCGAGACCGCCTGAGGAGAGCCAACCCTCTCTCTACCAAGATGACCAACCAGGACGGACCTTTAGGGGAGAATTCGCTCAATTAAGGGGCAGAGCTTACCCCAAAGACAGGAGTCAGCAGAGGAATGGTTATAAAGAAGCTGACACAACTGGAGAAGCTATCTTTTGATCAATCTATATCAATCAATCTATCCATGTATCTGAGTGTACAAATGTAAAGTGAGTACCCAGCCAGAGGCCAGACCAAATGAGGGGACACCATCAGCTTCCTACACCAAATAAGTCGAATTGTTCATATCGGTCATGGATATAAAGTGTGATATTATTAAAGTGCCATGTTACACGGTTAGGGCAGAGAGAGTAGGCCCTCAGCAGGCTGGTGAACCCAAGTGTGTGTTTATCTAAATTACAATATGTACGTAGCCAGCAACTGTCAGCTACGAAAGTGATATGTAAGTGTATACTTTTATATTAGTAGACGAAAGTAGAATCCTCCACTTCCCCCCCCCCACCATAACAATTTATTTCTTCAGCATCCAGATTGGATTTCAGGTCCACCCAGCCTTCTATCTAGTGAGATGTTCTAGGAGTAAGCCACTGACCTTGTGGTTGAGAAGTCTGATTAAGCCAAAACTTTGAGAATGCAAGGCATGTCATGTCCCTTCACTGGTTAAGACTCCATGCTAAGCCATGGGTATCACACCTTTGTAAATTCCTTCCTGTGGATGTTCCTATCTAATACATATCTATAAGAACTGCACTTATGGGAGAATGGAGAATGATGATGCTCTGTTATACGAGGGAAAGAGTGAACACAGAAGTATGACAGTAGCATTATGGATACCAGTTTCTTTCTAATACATTTATTTATTTACATATAAACATAATATAACATCTACAATAATTTAAAATAATGGTATTAAAATAAATATGTAGTAATAATAGTACCATAAACTGTATCACAATTAATTTCTTTTCTAATTTTATGACACAAAATATGCATGACAAATAAGATTAAAAATAAATTTTATTTCATATTTAATGTTAAAACACAGATTCTTTCATATAAATGGCTTCTTTTCTCAACATTAATCTCAGTTCTAAAGCACCAGAACATGATTATCTTTCCTGTATGCCAATTTTTTTTTCTCTGTCTCATACTAAAGAACACTAGAATGGTATGCAACCAGTCACCTGGCTTCGTAGTTGCAGATTAAGCCACTCCCTTTGGTATATTACAAAAGGCTCTTCTGGCATTCATGTGCAATATGATTCATACTGTGGCTAACAGAGGGCACATCCACTTTCCAGAATTTGTAATAATACGAGTATCATAAGTTCATGGGACGGATGTTTGCAGTTTCACACGTTCACAGCCTGGCACATTACCTACTGGTCCTGCCATTTTTAATGAAAATTGGATTTTGAACTTACTATGAAGTTTAAATGAAACCCATTCATTGACTGTTCTGGGAAAAGGAACAGAGGTAATTAAAGACGGTTCCCATGGATATTTGGGGCAGATATCACACTGACACATCAGCCATGGATCCCCTCTGCAAAAAACTCCCTGGAGTGCTCCTGGAACCACTGCCACACCCTTGATATCATCCAATCAAAATCAGTACCACTTCAGCAATTCCCAGTGGCAGATAATATGGCCACACATGCAAGTGGGTTTCATCTGAACCACCCTCATACATTGAGATGGAAGATAAAAGTGAAAAACACTCAAGAAGTGCTGTATGCTTTAACTCTTCTGAGCTTCGACAAGCTGCACTTAAAATTTCTCTGCACCTGAGTGACAATGGTCATAAGAAATAACACTCCACAATGGTAACAGTCCACTTTACAAGATGGGCACTGGAACAAGTAAACTTCAACCCATCAGGCAATGGGATTTGCAGTGAATATGTTAAATGTATAAATATTACTGTATGTACATACTAAATAAATTACTATGAATACGATATATGGATATTTTTCACAACGCTCTGAATGAAAAACTGAAATTTATTTTCATCTAATCATGCATAAAATAAATAAATTACTATGAATATGATATATGGATATTTTTCACCACGGTCTGAATGAAAAACTGAAATTTATTTTCATTTAATCATGCATAAACATTATGTATACATTATGAATTATGGAATGCTAATGTCTGCTACAAATAACTGTCATGATTTGTTTTTGTTGGAAGGAAACATTACTACCACAGCCAACATATACAAAAATGACTAGAATGACCTCTTTGTTCATGTTTCCATGAGAATACATCAAAAATTTAAAGCACAAACACTGTATGCCCAATATATAGTGGAACCCCCATTTCATGTTCTTTGATAAAAGGTTTTCCCTCATTTAATGTTGCACTGATCCCAAGTCACTGACCACAGCATTAAATTACTCCAATTTAAAATTTTGCTCTGGTCTGTGTTCATATTGTAATGTGTTTGGAGTAGATACTTCCATGGCAACACAATAACAGTGGGCTGCTGCGTAGACAATGCTGAAACAACGAACATGTTTCCCCAGTGATGAACAACAGAAGGTCGTTGAGTACCAACCGATGAGACGAAACACGTTACCACCGTAATCTACAGAGATCATTCCCGAAGCAACGGATTGCCAAACAAGTGAGATTGAACCTTGGCAAATGGTGTCTCATATCCAGTCCGCAGAACACCTACATAAGTCGAGAGCAACAGAGCTACAGGACTACAATTCAGATCTAGCCTTCATACAGCACACTTGGAACCTAGTCACCATACAAGACAGTTGGAAGATAGCCGCAGCACAATACAATTAAGGTGATAACAATATTATATTTCAGCATCCTGTTACACTCACACAATATATATGGATAAATACCGTCTTAAGTGCAACAAATTTTATTGTAGTTTTTACTACAATACAATACAATACTACAATAAAATTTGTTGCACTTAAGACGGTATTTATCCATATATAAGGTGATAACAATTGTACGGTGTGTAAGAGTGAATGTCCAATAAAGATTCGCTGAATCCAAGACCCATGTGAATTTGTCGTGTGACACACCCAACACGTGACAATATCTACTGCTCGCCAAAGAAACATTAAGGGTGATTAGACTACACAGTTTTCAATAAACTCAAATTAATGGTGCACAAATATAATGGTCTGGTAGGGCATGGAATAGTCCTTTATCCTATCACCAAGGTTTTTCTAAGAAAAGACTTAACAATATATGTGCAAAACAAAGGTATCACATTTAACAACCAAGGACCTACAATAACTAAAAATTAATCAAATGTAGACATACAATATTTGTGCTTTGATCCAGTGACTGAAATGGTGTTTGAGCATTTTCAAACAATATCTTTCAGATAAAACATATTTTGATTTATGGTATCACATCCCAGAGGATAGTACCTTCAGATTAAAGGTAAAAGGTAAATTTGTCCCTGAGCCATGAAGACATATGGGGGAGGGGATGTATAGTTCCAAATTTTCTTGACCTCGGCACTAGTTGGAAGTGAGTGGTCAGCTTCACGCCCCAGCCGCATTACCTCTGGGGAAAGAGCCCCCTATACCCACTGGATAGGAGTTGGGTGGACCCCAGAGCCAGTCTGGCCAATATGGGGAACAGAAAATTCTTGACCCTACTGGGACTCGAACTCTGACCCCTCAGTCATTCGTCCTGTAGCCAGTCGCTATACCGACTGTGCTACCCCGGCTCTCTGTCTTCAGAGTATGCTACAATTATAGACATTGACCACCACCTGAGATACACATCACATTCTGAGAGCCGGCTCTGCTCCCATCTTCAAATGATTAGGTGTCATTATAGAGGAATATTCTTTGTTTTTATTATACACATAAGCTGTATCTGGAATCCTTTGAATACTACACATGTATGCTAATCACTCATAACTGGGGTGCCCACTTAGTCCCAAGGCCAAATGTTGCCACTAATAAAAAGGTAAAGCTATCCACGTATCTCACTAAGCATCACATGTGAAGACATAAGGGGGAATGAAATCATAGCTCCATGTATTCTTAACCTTGGGCCAAGGTAGAGGCGAGTGGTCAGCTTCACACCCTGGCTGCTTTTCTCCTCTGAGAAAAAGTCCTCAGTACCCATTACACAGAAGGCTGGATGGGACCCAGAGCTGATCTGGACACCGTGAGGAAGAGAAAAATGTCTTGCGCCCTGCTGGGAATCAAACCGCAGTTCCTCAGTCATCCAGCCTACACCCTATGAGATTAATAAAGAGAATAAAAATGTCAGTGTAATGATAACTGATTATATAAAGAACAGAGCAGAGTCCAAATGTTATGTGTTTTAACACTTTTAAGATGGCGCACGCTTGAGTCCAGCAAGCTCAGTGTTGTGCTTTCCAGTACAAATACCATTACCACCAAATTAGGATTCCGACATCACTGCCACAGTACCACAGTACCAGGGAATTTAAATTCCCTCTTCTCAGATGATAATCATAATCCATTCCAGGCCTATTCATATATGCTACAGACATTACAGAACATTATCTTTCCATCATTTCAGAGGTCATCCCAAACTTCTTTTTCCATTTCATTGACATTTTAAGATCCTTCTGGTCTAGAAAACCGAGATTAACGGCCGTGGGGATCTGTTGGGCTGACCACGCAACACCCCCTATCTACAAAAGTTGGCACTAACTTCACCAACAAGCGGTGGTCACTTGGTCAGTAAAGTTCGTTTGCGGACTACAAGTCATGGAGTTTGTTTTTTGTTTTAAGATCCTTTTGCAATCCTGTTAGAGCTCATTGTGTCAATGTATTATTTCCAATTTTGTGATGTTCTATAAATTATGTTACTTCTATGATCTGTAATTCTATCATCATTTCTTCATTTCTTTTGCGGTCAGTGGTCTACATTACAGCATGCGTTTTTGTTGGTATCAGTCTTCTCTTTCATTGTCCATGATTCAACAGCAAAAGACAATGTTGATTTATAAAGTGTCTTATATGTTTACATTTTGTACGCCTGTAAATTGATAGTGGTTTGAAGATCTGATCTGCAATCCCCAGTATGTTTACAAATGTTATAATTTGTACATTCAAATCCCTTTCTTATTCACAGGCTACATTACATCTCAGATAAGTACACATATGAAGTTGCCCCAGTTCTCAAAGTTTTAAATGGAAAGGTTTAACAAATAGTGGTGTAATTAACCAGCCACTCCTACAAATGTTTTTACAGATCCATTACTCAAGAGTATATGGAGTGTAAATAGAAATGTAGGTCAAGTGACTGGCAACAGACAATCTGAGTCTTTGTTAATTAGTACAGCTTGCATTCAATTCAAAATATATGACATAATACTATTAACTACTCTTTAAGTAAAACAACTTATTTCAGGGCTATATTGCACGAGCTATTAAAAATAAATAACTAAATAAACTCATTGGATTTCACATATGGCAGATTTTGAAGCTCCAGAAGGCAAATGAGAAGCTGCAGGACAGTGTGCATCTGACAGTGTAGTGGCTGTTGGAGAATGTAGAATCTCGGCCTGCATGAGGGGCTGCTGCTCTTCTTGCTCAGCACGGCTCAGTTTCAGTCCAAGCACTTCTGCTACAACCTTGTGAAAACTGAGTGCAACCTGCAATAGAAATACCGTTCGATAAGTATTAATATATTCTCTTTGTTTCTTAAATCATGAATTTACATCTTGTCAAGAGAAAGATTTTCCTAGCACCAAAGTAAGAATGACTAAGTTACGTGGAAAGAAGTGGCCATGGCTTATATAAATGTTTATTTTCTGAAAAATGGGATTTCAAATCTTCTGGTACTACAGCGCTGTGGTAACAGTTTACCATCCAGGAATAGTGTATCATAAATCTTTTGGTACTATAGGGTAAAGACGAAGATAAAGTTATCTCTGTGTGTAATTAATTAAACACTACACTGTGAAGACGTGGGGGAGTGGAGTTATAGCTCCACCATCCTTGACCTTAGCACTAGACAGAGATGAGTGGTCAGCTTCAGGTCCTGGCTACTTCACCCTCTGGGAAGGAGCCCCCAGTACTCATTGGATAGGAGTCTGGGTAGCCCAAGAACAAGTCTGGACACTGTGGAGAAAAGAAAAGTCTCTTACCCCTGCCAGGAATTGAACCTGGACAGTCCTGCCCATAACCCATCATTATACAAACTGAACTATCCCAGCTCTTGGTACTACAGAGTTACTGAGTGGTTTTATTTAAATTTCGGGTTAAGATCTTTTTATATTACAGGGGGTGGTGGCCACAGTTTAACTAGGGGGGTAACAGTATTAGTAATGAAAAATGTGACACTTGGCAAGATGGACCACACACACATGCACCACTTCAAAAAAGATACACACACTCAGTAAGGGTTAAATGAATGTTACCGACTTAAAGCAATGGAATGTAAAGTGAGTAGTGACACTTCTTTCATATCAGCCTCAGTTACCAATGATTTTGCGGGGTAACTGTGACTTTCTTAGGTCACATGTTACAGGTAGTAAAGATGCCATCCTCAATGAGGTTGGACGAACTACGGCTGTGGTGGGGACGCATCATGGATGAGGGATGCGTTGGGACACAGCTTTGGGACACCTCCTCATGGTCCCGGAGGGTCTTGACAGTCTTGGGGTCTGGATTAGTATGACCTACTGGGACTGGTGGCTAAGTTCCCATAAAGGGCAATGGCATTATGAGTGGAGCCTCCCAAGTGGTGGCATAATGACACTCGGGTATCACTATGGTCTACCTGGGACAAATGCGGGAGAGTAATCATATGGGGGTAGCTTCGTCTCCCTAGAGTACCATTAAGGTGCCGCAAACCTTCGGGCTCAACAGTCTAAAATGGTTCGACCAACCCATGTCGAGGGGTGGTAATGGGAGCGCTCATAGGTAACCCCCAGGGGCGACTCTCTCATGCAGCTTTCCCTGGTCGCAACCTCATGACTAGCTCGTACCCCTCTCCCCCCGAACAGGCACTCTAGGTCCTGGAGGCTTGTGAGGGTCTTATTCATAACAGGACCAAACCACCTAAGCCAAGGTGTGAGGCATCATGCTGAGGGCTGCATGGCACTGGGGTGATAATTAGCGGGTGTCGTGAATGATACCCTTGGGACACCAGGCAGCACCCTGTTGTATTTATGTCTTCCACCCATATGGGGCACTGCGGGTGGTGACCTTTTAAATCCCTGTGAATCGTGGGACAAAAATGAATAAAGGAGCCAAATCAAAAACTGGTCATAAGGACCTTAAACTGAAGAGGGACCCCCCTCCAAGGGATCCCTACGAGAAATGCTTCAGCAGGAGGCTGGAAGCTCTAGTGAACCATTAAGGGGCCCAGTTGCAACCAGTGAACCTGCTGTTGAAATTTCAGCCAAAGGCAGGGATGAACCAGTGGCTCGAAACCTGCCTGAGGTAAAACCAAAACCTCTCCTGGGAGTCAGTAGTACTGACACACCAGTGCAGGGAGCTAGTACTTCTAGCACACCTACAGCAGGAGAAGGACTGGGACACCTAGTCTCTGGAGTAGGTGGACTACGTCTAGCGAAGAAGGCATTGTCTGGATGCGGTAGACGGAAATTAAAAAAGGCAAGAGCTGAGGCAAGCAAAGCAGGAACTGGGAGCAGTCAGCAACCAGGAAATGCAGGCTTGCCAAAGCAGGGAGAAACCCCCACCGAAAACCTTAAGAGGCCAAGGTCAGAGGGCAGTACCCCTACAGAAACGGCCAGAGCTCCGAAAAGGCCCAGGGACTTACAAGGAGGCTCTAAACAAACCAAAAACCAGTAAATGGAACTCACCATCTCTCCAGTTCGTGCTGACACAACATGAGAACCCAATCCATTCTCTTGAGTAAATTTGTGCTGTCTGTCAGGACGAACCTTTCTCTTGTGCTCTAAGTCACCTAGCATATCACATGTGGACAAAACAAAATTAAGATATACAACTTACATACCCTCCATGCAGATTTACTATCACATTTAGTACCAAAAAAAAAAAGAAAAAACGTTTCTTTCACTTACACAATGTTCAGATTTCCTGAATAAGTCCCTGCATCTAAGCACCACACTTTGTGTGTGTGTGTAAATCCCCCCCCCCCAAAAAAAAGTAAGTAAAGGTATCCCTTTACAGACCGTGGAGGCCCATAAGGTTGTGAGATGTTCAGGCTCCTACATATTCTAGACAATTGGTTCACAGATGGCAGTAAGGTTGTCAGCATTATGCACCGGCCACCCTTTACCCCCAAGAACATTCTAAGAATATTCCTGGTACTCATTTCTGTTAGAGGCTGAGTCGACCCCAGGGCCATAGTGCAGCTGGAAGGATTAGGTCGATTGAAAAAATTCCAGTGACCTCATCGGGATTCAATCCCGATGATGCTTGTAGCATAGTGCCTCAACCAACTACACTACTGTTTGCCCCCTGTGTGTGTGTAAAACATAAATGGTTGGTTTAAAGCTAATTTATTGACACTAAATTTTGATAAAATATATTTTATACAATTTTTGCCTAAGAATAGCTATCCAGTGGATATGCATATTGGCTATGCCCCTCCAATCACAGTACATATTTTCTCTCTTCTTCTTTATGGTTAAAAACAGAGAACAATTTAAATCTAGCTCTGAGATTCACAGCATTAATACAAGACAAAATAATGATTTTCATTATCCAATATGTAATTTAACAGTATTTGAAAAAGGAACATACTATTTTGAAATCAAGGTTTTTAATGATCTTTCTTCTAGTATAAAGAATATAGCTCATGACACGAAACAATTCAAATTTGCTTTAAAAATATTTCTACTTTCAAATTCATTTTACTCATTGGAAGAATATTTTAACTTCAATACTAATTAACGATCTTGGTCTGTTATACGCTGAACGCCTAGTATGAAGGGCGTTCCATATATAATGACTCCTATTTTTTGTGTTAATATGTAACGTCTGAGCTGAATGTTGGTGGTGTTGTAGTAAAGGTTGAACCTTCTCGCCAATGTACTGTTAGTTTGGTTGTCGTGTGACAGACAGTGACATCAGAGCAGTCTACCAAAATGGCACCTGACAAAGAAGTGCGTACGAAACAGAGATGTGTTATTGAATTTCTCACTGCTGAACAAATTGCACCCACTGACATCCATCGATGCTTGCTAAAGGTGTATGGAGACGATACAATGGAAGTCAGCACAGTGAGGCGGTGGGTAGTGCGTTTCAACACTGGCGAAATTGAAGTGCGCAACAAACCACGTCCTGGGTGTCCCTGCTCAGCTGACACTCCTCACAATGAACAGCACCTCGATCAGCTCATCCATACAGATCAGCAGATAATGACCAGGAAACTGTGTGCACAATTTAATATTCGCTGTAATGCCTTGGAAACGATGCTGGGGAAGCTGGATTATCGCAAAGTTTGTTCCAGGTGGGTCCCGCGGATGCTTACACAGGACCACAAAACTCATCGAATGGAAGTCTGTCAGGATCTGTTGCACCAGTTTGAGGCTGAAGGTGACAAGTTTCTGGGCAACATTGTCACCGGAGATGAGACATGGTGTCACCACTACAAGCTGGAATCCAAAAGACAGTCTATGGAGTGGCGACATCCGGATTCCCCAAGAAAAAAGTTCAAGACACAGCCATCGGCATGGGAAGTGATGTGCAAGGAGCCTGGTAAGACTGTCAATTCTGAACGCTACAAGACGAAGCTGACTAGGCTGAAAGTCCGCATTTCGCAAGACAGGCCAGAGAAGCAGACACCTTTAGCTTGCAATACGATAACGACAGACCCCATACCAGTTTGGCGACTACCGCACACATTGCAAAGTTTGGCAGGACTGTCCTACCATACCCACCTTATAGCCCTGATTTAGCACCTTTAGACTTCCATCTCTTTGGGCCTATGAAATATGGACTACGTGGGCAACATTTTCCAGACAACAATGCTGTCATTGCAGCTGTAAGAAAGTGGCTGCCTCTGCTGGCGCAGACTTTTGCGGGTGCGGCATATAGGCTCTTATTCATCGCTGGCAAAGGTGCATAACGAATAGTGGTGATTATGTGGAAAAATAATTGTAAGTAGCTGAAATCTTGCTCTATTTAACTGCGATATTATGCTTTCTGTATCTGTTGCAGTTTTCATTAAAAAAAATAGGAAGCATTATATATGGAACGCTCCTTGTAGTATATTTATACGTCTGATTACTGTAGGTCGTTTCCTATTAGTATGTTGCATGCTTTCACATATATATTTTATAAGTGTTTAATGATTTACTCATTGTGATATGTCCTGGATAACATGTGTAACTAGTATAGATTAAATATAATTAATTTTTATCTAAATAATTGATGGCATTTGCCATTGTCTTTGACTATTTCTATATTCACTGGTCTTCCCGCCATGTAGGGATCCATGGAATGTAAATAGATGAATGAATATATATATATATATAAGCAGTGGAGGTAAAGCTCCATACATTCTTAACCTCAGCAACAGATGAGTAAGTATATTAGCTTCTAGCCCGAATCATTCAACTCACCCTCCCTTCCCAATGAGTGAGACCTGAACATGCCTAGACAAAGTGGCAAAAAGTTGCCTCCCCTTCTGGAAAATGAACCTCTGGTCACGCATTCTGTAACCAATCACTTTACTGCTCATGCAGTATTTGTAGTTTGTAGTTGCAGCACCTAAGTTAAAATAAATATTGCTACCTGATTTGTTACACCTTTCTATTCTTAAACAAAATATGAATTCAGTAACAAATTTGATTATTTAGGTCAACATAATGCATCTGTCTCCTTCCCACATGTCACTGCCTTACAAATGAAGAAATGTTTCTTCTTGTTTAAAATAGTAACAGTAAAAATATTTTAAATATTTTTTGACAGACAGACTGGATTCCACATGAAGTCCATAAATATGACTTACATTTATTAGCAACAACAGCTATCTTTGGTTGGTGCTCCTGTGAAACTACTGTCCTGCGTATCATATCAAGCCATTCTTCCAATGAGTCAAAACTTACAGGGTTTGTAATATCAAAGACTAATAAAATCACCTGAAACAAAAACAAGATTGCTTCCTACAAATGCGCACCAATATTTATCACAAATTTTCTTTATAACTAGTTGCATTTCAGCTTAGCCAGCAATCTTCAGTGCCATAAAAGCAACAGCTGGCTTCATGGTACTCCCTGTTATCTTAATTCTGAAAGTAGAGGATGGATAGACTTGAGGGGGCAAAAGGGTAGGAAGTCTGGAAGGATGGAAGGAAAGGGGGTGATAAATGAGAAGAAAGGGAAGAGACAGAAGATGTGCATGAAGTGCAAGTAGGGCTAGAAGGAAAGAGAAAGGAATGAGAGGGAAGAAGAGAATGAGAAGGCAAATAAGAAAGGGGAAGAAATGGGAGAGGCAGAAGAGAAGGAAGGAAGGAAAGGGAGGAGGGAAGATGAGGGGATGTAAGGAACCAAAAATAAAGAAAGTAATGATAAAACAGAGAAATGAGAGAAGGAAAGAGGTTTCTGGTTTTCCTTTAAACATTTATGCTGACCATTTTTCATATTATATTTGCAGGTAAATATCGATAATTTGTTAACTACCACTGAAAGACACATACAGAAAGAACCAGCAGTATACTTACAATACTAATGGAACTTGCAATAAGGAAAAGAATGAACATTTCTCTCACAAATTCCAGGTAAGCTGTAGAAAAATCAGTGCACAATAATTTCTATCACAAGATTCCCATAAGTCACAGCAACTTTTTGTTTTACATTGTACTCCTATGTGCCATTTTCACTGTTTACTTTGGTGTAATATTAGCATTCCTTCATGGGCAAAAGGGTTCTCAGCTCAAATATACTTGGGAAACAGAATTCTAATTTCTATCAATTACAGTAATTGAGTGCTCTCTACTTACATCAGCCCCAAATATATATTTATCCAACATATTCCCTGCAAGAGACTGCCCTCCTACATCCCATATCTGAAGTGTAATAGTTCCAGCTCCTGAAAGAACTGTCCTCTTTAAAAAGAAGTCAACACCTGCAGTAGGAAAGTACTGGCGTGTAAATTCATCATGACAATAACGAGATGCCAAACATGTCTGGAACAGAATACAAAATACCTGCTTTCACCTTCATTACTACATGTACCACCACTGTCAGAACTTAGTTAGTTAGTTATTTAGAGAGGGTGGGTTTCCCCACGCACCGCGACCAGTTTGATCTATCGTGCTTCCCTCTATGATATTCTACCAGTCTCTATACCCTACCGATAAATGGTGCGTACCATCAGTCCCGCCGAGCAAGCGAGTTCGGCCACTTGCTTGGCGGTGTCTATAATGCTTCCCCCATCTATCAGAGGCCTTAGAGACTATTGTTGGGCGGGAAACGTCCTGGAATTTGGCTCAGTGATCCCCTTTGGGGATAAGGTTCTTTTATGTGCCGTAAAGTTACAACATGGGACACACAGCTTAAAGTCCCGACCAAAGGACTTGTTCCCTGAATTTTTCCGCCCTTAAAAATTTGACGACCTCCACCAGGTATTTGAACCCGCGTACCACGAGTCATGAGGTGGGAACGTTACCTCTATAGACTACGGAGGCCGCTTACTGTCAGAACTTAATAATATATGATTATTCACACCACTTTTCCACTGATATCTTTCAGTACTGGAAATATGCATGCCTATTTTAGACCAGCTTCAAAGCTATCACAATCTATTTATTGTGCATAAGACTAAATATAAGAATTGTAATAAAATAACTGTGATGTGATTTCCTATATTATGGCCTGAAGACATAATCAAATATGTTACAACTTCCTGTCACTGATAACCAAAACTCTTCAGCAACAGTTTATGCTTAAAGTTGGCAGCATATCTATATACCCTATTAAGTTGACAGCATAATATTCTTAATTAAAATGGATATACAAAAAGGAATGTACTGCTGTAATTCTTTTGGGGAAATCAATTTCAGAACTATTACGAGTCAACAGATACAAAAGTTGAGAGGTTAAGGGAATATTCCTTTTACATCAATGAGATAAGGGCTGAGATACTTAGCAAGGTGCCAACTAAATATGTCTAAAGGATAAAAAGAAGTACACCATCACAGCAAGACCTTTTCAACCAAAGAAGTATCCAAAACTCTGTCTCTAAAGTGGCACCCGCTACATACATGCACGGCACATAATGTTCCTCTTAAAAATTTGTATTGGTACCGAATTCTTTACCTTTCCACTGCCTGCTTCACCGACTACCACTATCTTCAGTTGTTTTTCGACGGCTTCATCCTCGGAGTCTGACATACTTTCAAATTACAAAGGCCTCTATTACTGTACAAACATAAGTTCTGTGTGTGAACATTCTAAAGCTACATTACGGAAATGAATTCTTCATACCTCAAAACACTAGCACTAACCATTTTATATAAATATCACAGACGTCACAGACAATCATTCTACACACGGATTACTAAATTCTGGAAATTTCTCATGTCAGATTACAGAGCATCGTGTACACCTTGAACCCACCGAGTATTTTCAATGACGTGAGTATGGCGAAAATGAATTTAATCTGTGGCGCGTGTGTTGTTTTTTATTTGTGTTGCCATGATTTCTAGGTTATGTACATAGCTGTTAAATGTTTGGTCATTCGAATGTTCATTTCTAATTATGGAATGCCTAGATAATTTTACCGTGCAAAATGTCAGAAATAAAACAACTCGCCAAGATCGAAGTAATTTTTAATAATCTACGTGAACATCCAAGTTGTCCACATGGTATCTTTATTGTATATTTTGTTCTTATGACATATTCTGCAACTGTATTGCATTTCTAGTACTGCCTATACGTGATATATTATATGTATGTATTTATTTCGTCTCTATAGATCATTGTTACATGATATAGGACAAGTCAGTTACTGTACCTTGGCTGATAACAATAATAGAATAAAGTTACAGTACTTCAAATTGTTTACAGTAGATTACAATAGTTAAGATTTCACATAGTGTGAGGTGGAATCAATATTAGGTCCACTCGGCACGTCGGCTTCCATATGTGCTATTGTGCCTGTACTGGTGATAATGTTTATGGAGAATGTGATGGAATGAGGATTGGCAGGGGAAACCGAAGTACTCAGGGAAAACCTGCCCCAGCGCCATTTTGTCCATCACAAATCCCACTTTACTAGACTGCAGTGGTGGGAAGCCAGCGACTAACCGCTTAAGCTATGGCGCGGCCTTTGAGATAATACTGGTGAGTTTGGTGATAGCACTGGTATAACGTTTCACTGTAGACTCTACACTGCAACATCTCATTACATCGGTTCTCCCTTCTTGGTGCAGCTTCTTGGCGTCTGCAATCTCTCCAAAATAGCCCATTCAGGTATATCTCCGACTGTGTTATCTTGGTTGCTAGAAGAAAGAAAGGAAAACTGTGTAGTAGGGATTCCCAAAACCGATTATTCATGAATTGTGTGATTATAATTGATTATTGTTTGTCTCACACGAGAGAAACTCATCCACTTTATAAAAACAATGATCGAGTAGGTAAGTTTTCAGAGCGTTTTTGAACTTATATAGTACCGGTATTTCTTTAATATATCGTGGCAGATGATTTAGCAGTCAAAATCCTACATTGTTAAAGTTGTTCTTGCATAGACTTGTATTACATGGGACAGTGTGCAAGTCATCTTTTTTCCTTGTGTTGTATGAGTGTAATCCTGAGTTGGTTGTGAATTCATTAGAATTGGATTTTATGTATATTAGAGTTTCGTATATGTACAAAGATGGTAGAGGTAATATACGTAACAATTTGAAAATTAGTTTACAACTAGTTGTTTTTGGTACCTGGGTCATAGCTCTTATAGCTCTCGTCTGTAATTTAAAGATCAATTTTGCATTTACTGAGTTGCCCAAGAATACTATTACTATTACTTGTTCCACATGATGGATGTGTATCAATTACTGAGTATAGGTTAGCTGAAATATTGAAGGGGAAGAGGTCCAGTCCCCAGTCGGTGGTTTTGGCATGTTTGATTGGTGCTGTGTTAGTTGGAATGAAAGCACAATAGACCACTGTAGGTCGCGGTGCAAGGGCCAAGAAGGCCCACCCCTTATACATTCATTCGTTCATTCATAGTTGGAATAAGATCTGACCAATGTATTTATATTTACTGATAATTTTGTCAGACTTCTGTAATATGAAAGCAAGTACATTGATTCTTAAATGATAACACACTATGAAACTGAGACAAAACACTTGCAAATCTTTGTAATTGATATCTTCCATTCTCATATTTAACTGCTGATAATGGTTTTTCCTTTCAGGACCAATGTTACTCTTCAAACGTGTTGTCGATGGTGAAGAGAAAAATTTCTTTGCATGTTCAGCATGCCGAGATCGTAAGGATTGCAATTTCTTTCTGCGGGCTGATGAGAAAGTGACACCAAATAAGAAGAATGCTTGGGATTTGGAGCGAGAAAGAATTATTCCTAAAATTAATCATCCTAGACTTTATAAAAAGTTTGAGATGTTACTTGAGAAATCTCCAGAACAGCGGGCTTTCTGTCATACATGCAACAGTCTTCTCTTATCCAGCGAGACTACAAAGAAGCATGTTGGACATGATGTAATACTTGGTATTTCAGAACACCTGTTAACACATCCAACAGAGGTAATGGGATTGTCTCACATGAACCAGATTTTCTTAAATCATATATTGCCAAATATCTAACACTCTTCTGGTTATTAGAGTACTTATTTTCTACCTTAATTTTCCCAAATTTGATTTTGAAGCCCATATTAGAAAAAGACATTAAGTTATTGCTTAAATCATCAGTGCAGACACTGTCACATCCTACAGAAGTTATGTTTCATAGAAGAAGAATCATGAGTCACTTTTATTTTCTGGAATCAGTGATTGTAAACAAAATTGTGAATTGAGCTGGCTGAGGCTAGAATACAAAGTGGGACCGTTCCAGTTAAGCATATGAATATTACTGTCATTGAGTGATTCATACCATGTTTAATGTTGCTGTTTCAGCTTTAATCTTTATAAAGTGAAATGAACTGAGTATATGACCATAAATGGTGGATAGAAATCTGGTGGTCATCATTTAGGCCACAATAATACCCTAGAATTTGTCTTACAAGACTGAAGCAAACCACATAACACTTCAGATCTTCCACTGACCTGCCCAAGTTCAAACTGGGTATCCTGGAATACAAGCTACACAATTCTGTCATTATTCTGTTATGTTCCAGCTACTTAAACCTTTGGAGAGTGCCAAGAAAGAGGCACAGTATTTGTTCTCATCTCATGCTACCAGGACCATTGTGAATATAGCGCGTGGCTTGGGAGCCATGAAAGTGTTATGCTTGGGTGCTCCACGTGTTCATGAACTGGTGTGTTCGGAGATGTCATCAGACCTAGATAGCTTGCTGCTGGATATAGACTCTAGATTTGTGAGTTTGGTGCCTAGGAAATTATCTTTCTTTGTAATTTATTTTTCAGTATCTTACATCATTTAATATTGTGACATGATTACATAGTCCGTTACCAGGCAATGGCTGGGTAAACTTGTTAACAATACCCAGTCCATTACTAGGCAATGGATATGCATGTAACAATAGACAAACTGTCAGAAGCGTTGTTTTGTGTGAGACCTGTACCAAAGTTATATAAGGAGAAGAGAGTTGAAGTTGAACGAGTCATGAGTTAGTTGAGAGACAACCACCACCTGGTAAGGAACATGAATGTGGAAACAGAGGAGTGCCTGTCATTGGGAGCCATTACTATCAGCAGCCAGTGAAGACATACAAGACATAGTATGAGCTGTAGTGAGAAGTAGAGTGCATGAATTAGTGAGAGCGTTGTGATTACTTGTAGTTACAATTTGTATGAGACCAATAAATCCAAACCCTGTGTCTTCTCACATGACAATATTTTATCTGTATGATCCTAGCTGACATTTAGCAATGTTGCTATCCTGTTATATCATGGAGGCTACAGAGTTTTCAAGATATTGTATTTCAGCATCCTGTTGTATTGAGACATTATCCTATTTTACTAACTTATCCATCAATAATACAATTTTAAAAAGACATTAGGAATATGTTGTTCACTAAAAATGAATTTTAATAGTATGACAGTTAAAATCAATAATATGCCCATAGGCTATTATGTTAGCATATAAATTTACACATTAAAAGTGTGTGAACATTCACTTTTAAATGTGTAAATTTATATGCTAACATACTGTAATAGCCTACGGGCATATTATTGATTTTAACTCTCATAGTATTAAAATGCATTTTTAGTAAACAACATATTCCTAATGTCCTTTTAAAGTTGTATTAGTGATGGATATGTTAGTAAAATACAGAGTTTTCAAGTTGTTTGTCAGAGAGATCAGATGTTGCAAGTGGTGATACTAGCAGGCATACAAATATATTTTGCTAGCATGTCACTTGTGGTAAATAAGTTATAAAGTGAAAAATTCATGAACAAAACAAGAGGTATTGTCCAGTCAAACATCGACTGGTGGATGACTGCACTACTTGGTACTATATTAGTAAATAATACAGTAATTAATAGTTAATGAAGCAGGTCTCTGGCTATAAGGTCACTATTTCTCCACCTTATGTAGTTCTTGTCTTCCTTCACAATTCACACAGATTAGAGTCCACCATAATGTGACACAACAGTAAATATCATACGTTGATATTTGTTAAAAACCGTTATCTTCTATAGAAATATATTAATATGTGTCCGTTTTTTTGTTTTCCAGCATCAGTTCAACCCCCCTTCACGCTTCTGTTGGTTCAACTTATTCAATAATTATTTTTTTTCTCAAGAAAAGGGCGCACTTGTTTTAACTGAATTCCTGCAGCATGATAATGGGCGTGGCATTGTGGTAGTGATGGATCCTCCATTTGGAGGCAGAGTAGAGCCTTTAGCCAAGACTATTCAAGAAATCATGCGACTACACAGAAAACTCTGCCCTGACATTCACGCAGATATGTTAGGTATGATTACCATTAATATTGAAGTTTTTACAAGATATGTTTGGAGAATGATTGCCGCTGTGGCCTAGTGGTCAGAGTTCCTGGCTACAGATCCAGAGATCCTGGTTCGATTCCCAGTGCTACCAGATTTTCTGAGAAGTAATGGGTCTGGAACGGGGTCCACCCAGCCTCATGAGGATAATTGAGGAACTATTTCAATGAAATAGCAGCTCCGGTCTAGAACACCGAGATTAACGACCGTGGGAATCCGTTGTGCTGACCACGTGACACCCTCTATCCCAAAAAGTTGGCACTAACTTCGCCGACAAGTGGCGGTTGCTTGGTCGGTATAGTTTCGCTTGCAGACTACAGGCCACAGAGTTTCTAATGTTTCGAGAATTAATTTTGGACCAGATTACCTTAACACAGAAAAATTATTTGGATTGATAAGTGATAACACAGTCCCATCAGCTGACAGGTTGATATTTCCCATCAAATGAAGGGCTGTTTCCATTGTGTATATAAATATTATTTATTCCTGTACATGTCACTTCAGTTTGTTGAAGCCTGAAAGAGTCAAAATGTACATCAGTTATCAGTTGTCACTCTCTTGTTCTCTTCCATTTCTGTTTCAAGTGTAATAAGTTCAAAATCAAGTTTTCATGGAAAAGTGACTGCCCAGCAGGTAAAATCCCAATAAGTGGGAACAGCAGTGAATGTGTAAAGATCGTTATCTTTAACCTGTTCCAATAGTTTTTTCTTAAGCCTGGAAGAGGCCAAGAGTATGGAAACAAATTAATATTCTTGCTGTTGTTTATGGGTGGTACTTAATGAATATATTTTGAGCCAAGTTTGCCCAAATGTAATTGTAACTGGATGGGAAACCACCATTCTTTGGTGGGGATTGGAAACTAAAATTACTCGTATTCATATATGTATTCATATATTCAGGTACATGTATGTCATCTAAGAAGCTGAGGATGGGCAAGACAAAAGTTGCACCTTTTTTTTATTATTATTCCTTGCCACACCTCATTTCACTGCCCTACAATATGTCCTGCTAGTGTTGCTTCTACCTAGTAAGACTATACATCTGCCGTGATGGTATCATTTATGTTAAGGAACTAAATATACAAGGGTGGGGTAACCTCCAATGGCATGACATTCATACAGCATTTCATGGAAATCTGTCAGCTGATTAGTACAGTATTTTGGGTGAGGGGCAGAAACTGGCACTCAAAACACTTTGTTTTCATAAGAAAATTGATATTAAGTTGTGGAAATTGCAGGACAGTCATTGAAAGCTGACAGGTTTAACTTTCACCGCCTTGCTATTGGATAACTAATGACCAACCACCTTATTTGAATCATAGAATAGGTTAAACAAATTACAGTGTGTTTCTGTTATATATTATTTTGCAGTTCTGTGGATTTTCCCATATTTTATGGAACCACAGGTCTTAGCGAGCTGTCCAGATTTTACCATGCTGGATTATAAAGTGGATTATGACAACCATCCTTTATTTGCCTCAGGTAATTATAACTGTTCAAGGAAACTGAACTGTGAACTGCTTTTGGAATTGGTATATGTTCCTGTTTCTTTTTGTTCCATAACAGAGAAGGGCTGTATGGTTTAGTTAAAAGAAAAAAAAAAGCTTGGATATTATCTCAAAACAGGCCATGACTGACTCCAAAATCTCTACTGTTCCACTTGTCATGTTATTCTGTGTTCTATAACATCTGCAGTTAGAACAGAACAGTATGATTAAAGTGTCTTAAGAATATGTAAGTAAATAAATAAAATGATTACATCTCATAAACATGTTTCAAACAATATCTCCTGGTAACTTTAAACTTATTATTAAATTCAGGCTCATGTAGTTTTCATTAAATTTCATGCATTTTTCATACACTGATGTTGTAGTTACTTCACATTTTTCTCATTAACTACATGGACATAATGTAATACACTCATCTCTCGATTATCCGGGATAATGGTGGGGATGGAAATCACGATTAATCGAAAACCCGGTTAAGACAAATTTTATTAAAAGTAGTACTGTAATACTGTACCTTCATAATACTATAGGCCTACCTGTATTTAAATTTATTCAACTTCATTTTTATGTCATCTCATGGCCTATTTAATACTTTTTTTACATTACACTGAAGTATGAATTAGTTATTTCAATCACAGTGCTCAACAACATCCAACACTTAACACTTAAAAAATTTAATATCGTCGTTTCCTTTTTCGCGGCATTTTCCTCTTTACGGATATCCGTACGAAGCCTACGTAATATTAGCTTGTCACTTAATAAACTGTCCTCTTCACTCTCAAGATAGTCTAGTAAGGATTCCAAATGATTAAGAGTAGAACTGTCCACCTCTTCCTCATTCTCACTTTTGTTTTTTCAAATCTCAAAGAGTTTGTTCTCCAATACTGTATTGCATTGCTAATTGTTTAACTACACCTCTTTTTCCCAACTGATTGATAATTTCAAGTTTCTGTTGAATACTTAACACAACACGCTTCCTTTTACACCCTGACATTTTGCTAACACACTTAAAGATCGATACAAAGAGACTAACTGGGGCGATGTATCTCTCTTTGAAACTTTCCACAAATCCTTGCATTCTTTCACCCCTACCCTAGAACATTGTGTTAGCNATTTGTATATGGCTTCACACACACACACACGCACAAATACTGTAGGATAATTATTTCTCAGGATACTTCCTAACAAACCTTATATCTCTTGTGTCTATGGATACTCATCCTTCAGTTTCTTGATTCTTGTATTTAATAAAGGTAGTTGCTTAAATTAAAAAGTCAGAACCTCCTTTTTCTACTCCCAGCAAATGTTGCTTAACCTTTTGACAGGGGATGGGAAAAAGCCAGCATGTTAGTCTAAACAAGCTGAGTAATGCTTTCAGACCAGCCTAAGGGTATATATTAAGACTACAACAAAACATACTAAAACTGTGTTATTTCTTTGTGCACTTATAAATATAATTTAATTATTAAGATTAGGTTCTTCTGGAATGTGATGCCATGTAGTGCTGTAGAAAGTTACCAACATTTGAGAGGAACCTGCTTGCACCATATTCAGGGCAGAAGAGGAAGATGATGCCACAAGGTTCCTTCACAACATTCATAACTATCTACCAACCTATACTGCATCACATCCCCTTAGATGGTAATTTTATTAATACTTGTTGTCCATGTGACAACTGTGCCAGTGCATGGACTAGCTCAGCAAAGCCAGTGTCACATTGTTTACAGTATGAATCCCGTTAGTTAGTTAGTTAGTTAGTTAGAGAGGGTGGGTTGCCCCATGCACCGCGACCAGTTTGATCTATTGTGCTTCCCTCTATGATATTCTACCAGTCTCTATACCCTACCGATAAATGGTGCGTACCATCAGTCCCGCCGAGCAAGCGAGTTCGGCCACTTGCTTAGCGGTGTCTNGAGTCATGAGGTGGGAACGTTACCTCTAGACTACGGAGGCCGCTATGAATCCCGTTACTGTGAAGTTTAAATCTGGCCACCAGTGGCACAGCAGCAAGAGACTTGAAAGCAGCCGATAAAGTCAGTTGTTTGTTTCTCATTGAGCAGGTCCTAAAGGCCGCAAACACGGATCTCCAGTGCGAATATTTACAAATGCAAATCCAAAGGATGTGCCACTCCCTGAAGAAGAAGGCTATCAATACTGTGAGATCTGTCAGCGATGGGTTAGTCAAGAAAATCGCCACTGTGCACAGTGCAATGAATGCTCTTCCAAGGTGAGTCATAGGTGTTCTGTTGTTTAATAATATAACAGTGTTACAGCCAAGTTTTTCATTGCACCTAAGCAATATTCGATTGTGAGCATACATCAGCATTGCATTTAGGTATACCTTCATGTAAGAGTAGATAGTTCATGTCTGTAGTACATCTACAGATTTTTACTTAAACGTTTTTCCATATTGTGAACGTTATTTGTTCTGAAAATGATATAGAATTTATTTCTTCACCCAGTGAAGTGGGGCATGCAGTAGTGTAGGTGGTTGAGGCACTATGCTACAAGCTGGAAGATTACGGTTTCATTTGGCGATGAGGTAATTGGATTTGTTAATTGACCTAATCCATCCACCTGCACTTTGGCTCTGGGGTTGACTCAGCCTCTAAAAGAAGTAAGTACCAGGAATTTGCCTGGGGGGTGAAGGGCGGCCAGCACATAAGGCTGATAACCTTACCGCCATCTGTGAGCTGATTGTCTAGAAAATGTAGTAGCCTCAACATGTCACAGTCCTATGGAACCTTCACGGCCTGTTACAGGGATAGCTTTACCTTTACCCTCTGAAGTATACAAGTTACTATATATACCACTTGTTTTAACATTAAGAACCCATATGTTTTGTTCACAGTGAGTATTTACAGAACATTTCAACTAATTGGTCTTTGTACTGTATATGCAGTATGTTTTCTGTAAGGTAGGAACTGAATATTGAAATATTATTTAGATGAATTTCAGATTTCAAAGGGATAACAAGATTCAGGAAAAATAATATATGTGAATTCTGAGTTATATCTGTAATGTGATTAGTTTTGCAACAGCAGAATTGTATCTGCAGGAAATGAGTGTCACGGCCAATTAAATACACCTTGTGCACAACTGCAAAGAATGTAGATTCTAAAGAGTTCTAACAATGGTGGATGACACACAGAATTACTGGGTTTTTTAACTTTTTCCATCATACGGAATTCTAGGTAATAGAGGACACGATGTTTTGGAAACTGGATCTGTTTCCATTTTCAGGTGAGAAAGGAAGACACCTACTCAGTTGGGCCCCTTAGAAAGAGGTCCAGTGATTGAGATTAGCTCTTTCAAAGGGGCCCAACTGAGTAGGTGTCTTCATTTATCACCTGAAAATGGAAACAGATCCAGTTTCCAAAACATCGTGTCCTCTATTACCTAGAATTCCGTATGATGGAAAAAGTTAAAAAACCCAGTAATTCTGTGTGTCATCCACCATTGTTAGAACTCTTTAGAATCTACATTCTTTGCAGTTGTGCACAAGNTGGACGTACATATATTCATTGTAATGAATGTATGAGGTGTGTCAAACCATCGTGGAAGCATTGTACCACTTGTAACCGCTGCTGTTTGCCAAGTCATGTGTGTGGAGAGTTTGTTCCATCACAGTTATGTTTTAATTGTGAACAACCTGGACATAAGAAACGAGATTGCCCTACCTTCAGCTTTGATGCTCCTATTCCCATCAAGAAGGTCTGTAATATTTTTCATATAGTGCTATTATCAAAATGTTCACTTGATTTTGTTATCTCATGATGAAAATGATAGCACAGTTTTCATGAAACAACTAATGACCCAAGTAATCTACTAACTGACAAAACTTCATAATGACACAAATAATAACAGTTACCTCACAAATTATGTTGGACATTGTTCAGTGTCTGGCATGTAATTTCTTTCCTTTAGGCTCTCCAAGCGAAGTTATGTGTAAGTTTCTCATTTCTTCCATGTTTGTAGCATTTTCCACCCATATAATTTGCCTTTGTTTACTATTATAATACAGAGCTACTATAAATGATTCATTCGTTCTTAAAACGCTATATTTTCCAAAGCAATATATGTACAAATATGAATATATATAAAATGAACCGTGAACTCACCAAGTTTTCTTCACACTCTACAAATGTTCTATATGTGCGCCTTGGGTCACACGACACACGTCCAGGCGGTAGTCGAGCTCGTTCCACACATTTTGTAGCATCATCCTGTCAGTGGTCATCACTGCAGCACTGATGTGTTCCCTCAGCTTTGCTAGTGTTCTTGGCAGTGGGGGTACGTAAACATGATCCTTAATGTACCCCCAAAGGAAGAAGTCACAAGGCGTTAGATCAGGTGATCTGGGGGGGCCAAGTGAACAGAGCTATGTCATCCTCACCGACACGCCCAATCCAGCGTGTCCTTAAATTGCCGATACCACCGCAAAATGCTCTGTTTACATGGTGGTTCTTTTCTGTGCTCTCTTTTGAATGCACGTTGCACTGCTATAACAGATGAACATCTCGCATATTCCAACAAACAAAAACTCTTTTCTTGCTTTGTCGACATTTTGTAAAGGCACTGAACTCGTGCTGCCAACTGGTGCACACAATACAAACTTTGTGAGTTACAGTTCTTTTTATATATCAATCATATTTGTACATATAATACTTTGGAAAATACAGCATTTTAAAAACGAATGAATCATTTATAGTAGCCCTGTATTAGAGGAAATGTATAAATTATGAACTTTCTCATTCTGTAATGCTCTTTCTTTTCAAACACCTTCATTTTGAGATCTTCCCTTAAAGTGAGATGTTAGCTTTCACATCCATACTTATATGTAAATTTACCCTTGTACTTCGGGTGAATGTATGGCGAATGGAGGCATAGGTGCACATGTTGCGAACCTCAGCAGTAGTTGGAGGTGATTGGTGAGCTTCATCCCAACCGTTTTACTTCCATGGAAAGAGGCTATTGCATGATTTGGATAGGAGGCTGGATGTGCCCCACAGCTGGTCTAGACATTATAGAGATGAGAGACATATCTTTCCCTTGCTGGGAAAGAAACCAAAAACCCTTGGTAGTCCAGACCATAGCCTAGTAACTATACTAACTGAGCTCTCCCAGCTCCCATAAAACTTTTATCTTTCTTCCTCTCCTCCTTTTACCCTTCCTGAAATATTATTTATGTTTTAGAGTTTATTTACATCTCTTGTTAATATACAGTCTCACATGATTTCTTTTATCTCTGCAGATTGAGTCTGCTCCACATTGTAAGAGACAAAAACACACATGGAATGACAATATTGATGAAGATGAGAAGCAAATATTTATAAATGTGTCAAGTAAGAAACAGAAGGTGGAGAATGCAAATAGTAAGAAATCAAGAGCAAATATGAAGAAGAAGAAAAAAAGAAAATCTAGAATAAACTTAAGTATGAGAACAAAGTTGCAACTGTAATTAGTATGTCTCTCACCACAGAGTTTCTCAGCCTCTTACATGGAAATATAGTTCAGTATCTCACAGCATACCAATCCTGCATTCCTGTATGTTTGTATTTGTTGTATCTCTCCTCATCTTCATCCACTAGCATCATTTCTGTTTTATATGGGTCCGTGGATGAAAAGTCTCCAACCTATATTTTCATGCCACAGTTGTTCCCTTCTAATACCTGGGTGAACCATCTTGCTCTTTGCCTCCTGGGGGTATATTTCTCTTACGTTTTAATTCTAATGTCCTCATCAGTATCCTTGTTCTATCCACTTTTTTTTCCATTGCCAAACAATTATAATCTTTTCTCTTCTAATTCTGTTAACAAATTTCGAATTGTAATTCCTTTCCTAAGATTTCATTTCTAATTGTCTTTTTTCCCTGAGTATTTCTTGAAAATTAATATTTGTGTCTATGTATGCATAAACTGTATTCAAGTTAATCTTTATATTTTGCTTTTCATTTATGTTTTTTTTTTCTGTGATAGAATGATTTAACACATTAACAGTAATTTCAGAATGAATAAGTGACAAGAGTGGCAGACCTGGAACACTTAGATTAAAAATGGCTATTCTGGAAGATGAAGTATATAACAAATATAAGAAAGTATGAAAAGTATTGAGGCAACAACAGTTTAAAGCAGAAAACAGCAGCACAGGCCAATGGGGTGACAGAACAGGGTTGAGCATTATTTTATATTATTTAATGAACTGAATTTGTATGAACATATTGTAATTGAGAATGTCATAAACACTTGACTTAATATGATGGCACACTGATTGTGACAACCTCCTGTGTCATATGATTGCAGAAATATTGGTGAAACTTCATGAAGTCCAAAGCATATAATATTAAGTTTAAATCCTTGTATATAAGATACAAAACATTTTTGTATGTTGTTATTCACTATGCACTATGAAAAATTCTAATTTAAGTAAATTTCAGATGTACATGTAATTGAAAAATAAAATTGATATTAAATGAATAATTTTCATTTTTTGATGAAGCAATCTGAACCCTTTCCTACTAAGGCAGCGTCTACACGAGTGCACAGAATGTGTCCGTTGTAACGAACGTACTTTATGACGGAAGTTGCTGAGGACATAATACAGTTGCAGAATGTGGTGCATAGGTTTTTGTCTGCAATGAAGCCAGAAGAAAGCATAGCATTCGCCTGTCTTGTTTGTTTCTATGACAGACGTCACAACGGACGCATTTTGTGCACTCATGTAGATGCTGCCTAAACTGGACCCCTTTCTGGTTCTGTTGAGGCACATCCATGAATTTTACCTAAAGGAGATAGAAGGTATCTTGCAGTCTGAAATAGCTCACATGAAGTAATACCCCAGCTTCAGGTTGAAAGGTTGATATAAAATAGAATACGTATTATTATTTTCCTTCCAGTTACATACAACTCTGACACTGCAAGAAATTTACAGAAAATTATGTCTCATTCTCTGGCATATAATGCATAAACTTTATCCTATGATGAACTATTAAAATAGTTTGGCCATGTAAAAGAATGGATAAAAAAAAGATGCTGAGAAAGGCATTAGAATTGAAAGTGAAAGGAAAGAGACCTATGGCATGCCCCAAAACGAGATGGTTTAGCCAGTTACTGGAGGAAATTAAGAAGAGAAGAAAGAGCTAGGAAGATATCTAAAAAGAAAGATTAAAAAGAAAAAGGAGAGATAAGAGATTTTTTATCCATCAACCTATATAAAGTGGAACAATGTTTCAAGAACAACAAGAACATCATTATGTACAGAGATGTTCAATTCTTAGACAATTCCTAGCAGGGGTAGAATTTTTCTCTGCCTACAAGCTGTGAGAACCACTCCAACTGCTGTCCATTGGGTACTGGGAGCTCTCTTCCTGAGGGTAAAGTTACCAGAGCATAAAAGTGACCACTCATCTCCATCTGTCTTGGACCATGATGTGAGATGGACAGATAGACTACTGATGTTTGGAAAGCATGATGCATGTGTGATGTGTCTGTGAATTTCAATTACTGTTGTACGAGAAAAGGTAAAAAGGTAAAGCTATCCCTGTAACAGGCCACAAAGGCCCACAGGTTTGTGAGGTGTTGAGGCTCCCACATTTTCTCTAGACAATCAGCTTACAGATGGTGGTAAGGTTATCAGCCTTACACGCTGACAGGCTGCCTTTAACCCCCAGGAATATTTCTGGGACTCATTTCTGTTAGAGGTTGAATTGACCCCAGGGCCATAGTGTGGCTGGAAGGATTAGGTCAATTGAAAAAATCCACCTCATCAGGACTCAAACCTGTGACCTTCCAGCTTGTAGCATAGTGTCTCAACCAACTATGCTACTGCGTGACCCACTGTTATACCTGATATATACTTATTCCATTCATATTTTTGTTTGATGGTGTTAATGTGGAATTATTCTTTATTAGATCAGAATCTGCATATTTAGCCTTCTTGCTAGTCTGCTTACTGCTTTCACATGCTATTCTTCTTCTTTGCATTCAACAGTGGACAGCTTGGAATGTGTAGAAGAGAGGAATATAAAATGGATGGCAGGGCTAATACATCTCTGCTTCGAATTTTAAGTAGCACTTCTCTTTCATACAAAATAACAACAGAATGTGGGGGATGCAGTGTGACAGGAAAAAAACATTTTTACTGCTAATGTAAATTCCTTTAGATCAACAGTGATGTATGTAAGACCCATTCCCATGAAATTCACCAAGTGAAACATTTTGCAATTAACTTCTTGCCATGCCACATAAACCCAATTTAGTGATGGTTGGCCTGTTAATGGTTGATTCTTGAGTTATTTCATGAAGCTGTTTCAATGGCAGATATTCATATATCATCAAAAGAACTGGGAAGATGATCTGGAGTGATGAGCAAATACGAATTTGGAAGGACGTGTTCATGGCCAATTTCAAGGTACTTTAATGGGATTTGCCTGAAACATTGAGGAGAAAAACCTTGAACATTTCAGGTTAATAAAAACCAGAGCCAAGATGTGAACCAGGTTCATGCCACATGTATAACTTCTTTATTTATTTACAGTTTATTTAGTGATGTTACTAGCTCCAAATTTGGGGGAGAGCTAGAAGACTGTCTATAAATATTTCCTTCTTTTTTTTTTTCTGACCTGGGGGAGGGGGAGAAGATGCCTGGATTTGCCATCTGGCTACATGCCCATGGATTACACTACATCTCCTATTTTTTATATGGCATACATTCTGTATCATAAAATTACTCCAAGCACTGACCTAAGAAATCTAATATGTAAAACTTTCACTCTAAAAAAATGTGAATTTAAGTTAAAGAAAAGTGAACTAAAGTATATTGGCCAATGTAATGATTCAAAATCCAGTGTCTATATAGAAAATAACAGTCACATAATGTAGCAATGTATGTTTTCTTGGACTCTGTGAATCATAATTTGGGCATCATGTTTATCCCACTCTCTATTTCCATCTCTGTCTTACATCGCAAATCACTTATAAACCTTGATTAAATTTGTTGTTGGAAGTTTAATGTATAATTGAGTGGAAGATTTGATCCACATCGGTCATAATGTGTAAGCTGTGCACAGCATTTTATTGAAATTTTGTCCCTATACAGTCTGTTCTACTGACAGTGTCCTTAAATAAACCATTTACATGGTTATATACCATTTTTGCTTCAAGACTTTTAATATATAGAAGACATACTATATTTAATCTCTGTTGGGTTGTCTGTATAAAAAGGCTGGTCTCTGTAACAAGTTCCACACATTTTCAAGCCACAGACTGAAGATGCAGCTTGGTACAGTATCACTTCTGACCATCCTCGTGGGACTTTGTACAGCATGTCTAATCACCAACTGCCCAAAGGGAGGAAAAAGGGCAGGGCCCCACAGTCAAGAATCACATGCATTCAGACAGGTATCTGATGTTACTGTTTACTGATTTTATGACACTGTTGTGTATAGCAGAATTTTGAATTCCCACTTTTTACAAGCTTCAAGTTTCATTCCACCTTAGGGTATTTTAACCCTTTAAAATAGTGGTTACTGTATGTACTACTGACATCAATACATACAAATTCTGAATACTTCCCACAGTGCATGTCTGTTTCATACGATTTTCAGAATAAATTATTATTTCCACAAAGAGCTTCACCAAATTGGTTTTGGTAATGAAGAATTGGTGCATTTTCCACAAGAAGGAACTGAATTTTTAAATATCATTAGATCAATTTCAGGATTCAGAGGGTTAAAGACATAGAAGTAAAACCTCTATAAATTGCGTTGTCTCTATTAGTACAATGTTGAAGCCAATTTTCATGAAAAAATTCATAAATTAATTTGAAGGTTATTAAGGAGAAAAAACACATAAACACGTGAGGCAATATAAATACTAGTATATTACATTAAAGTTATATCTGTGCTTAACTAATTAAACACTATACCATGAAGACATATGGGGGAGTGGATGTATACAGCCACATATTCTTGACCTTGGCACTAGTTGGAGGTGACTGGTTAGTTTCATACCCTGGCAGCTTTACCCCAAGGAAAGAGATCCCAATACCAACTGGGTGGGCCCCGGAACCAGTCTGGACATGAAGAAAATATTATCCTTATTTGTATTTGCAGTCTCCAAGAGGTCTCCCTCTTAAAATGTGGTAGGCTACTTACATATGAATGTTTATTATGTTGGCAGTGTGCCCGATGTGGGCCTGCAAAGCTGGGACATTGCTACGGACCTGCAATTTGCTGTGGGCCACAAATTGGGTGCCTCATAGCAACTCCTGACACTGCCCGATGTCTGAATGAGGCAGCATCTCCGGTCCCATGTACGGCACCTACAGGAGCCCAGTGTGGAGAAGGAAAGGCTGCAGGAAGGTGCACTGCAAATGGGGTCTGCTGTACTCATGGTAAGCCAATACACAGCAAACCCTCACTGCAATGTACTAACAGGGGGGTTAGGATGTCCGTTATTGCCAATGCCTGCTATAATCTAGTGTAGGGGTATACTCAGAATTACATCATAGGATATATAGTCAATATGTGCAATGAACATAGAAACATAGTGTTACTGTGTAAAGGTTTTTATATTTGGTTTCTTTTTTATTTTAAATAGTTTTCTAGCTATAAAGCTTCTGTAGTGTCTCAACATCTCACAACTGTACATAGCCAAATTTTGTCTGTTATAAGGAAAGTTTACTGTAGTCATAAAACAGCCAGTGTGTTACACATGTTGTTCAACATCTAGCAATGAAATAGAGTGGATGGAGCTAGCTATATCTGCACTCCCTCATTTATTTCATGATGTGCTTAGTTAATTACATGCAGAACTTCCTTTTACCTTACAACTGTGTTGACTGCCTTAGTAATTTAACATCCTATTATAAATATGCTGGGTAATAAGAAATTAGTGACCGCCTCTGTGGTCTAGTGATCAGAGTTCCTGCCTACAGATCCAGAGGTCCCGGGTTCGATTCCTGGCGATACCAGATTTTCTGAGAAGTAGTGGGTCTGGAACGGCATCCACTCAGCCTCATGAGAATAATTTAGGAGCTACTTGAGTGGAAAAGTAGCGGCTCCAGTCTAGAAAACTGAAATTAATGGCTGTGAGGATTTGTTGTGCTGACCACTCGACACCCTCTATCTGCAAAAAGTCGGCACTAACTTCATTGACAAGCAGCGGTTGCTCGGTCGGTATAGTTCACTTGCGGACTACGGGCCACAGAGTTTGTTTGTTTGTTTGACAAGAAATTAGTATATTTTCGAACTGGCTACAGATACAGACATGAAACAAGTTGAAAAAAGTATGATAACTCATACTCTTTATCTCAAGATCTTCAATATCTGCTTCATTAGCTACTCTGCAAATGTCAAAATGATGTTGGAATCTTCCCACCTATGCAGCAACTGTGACTCATCAATGTTGGCTGTGGCCTGTGAAATTTGCTATCGAACCTCTCGAAGAAACTGTGGCAATTATAATTCAGTCAACGCTCCACTTTCTTGTCTATAATTGGGATCTGGTACAAAAGATCCTTTTGTGGCTTCAGTACCAAGGGACCCCTCTCTAAGAATAAAAAATAAAAACTGGACAAGTAGGCTAAAGCAATAATGCTTCTGACTTGTATACGGGTGATGCCTGGTTCAGACCTCAGCCAGGACATTGACTATCACGACTGAAATTTTCCTCACTCTTTCCAGAAAATGCTGAGATGGCATATTAAATTATACTATAGTTACTTCCATATTATTTCCAGTTCATTATTCACCACCATCCAATCATTCAACACTATATAATCTGAGCTTTGAAGACAACATTAAATAAACTACAAATAAATACAGTAAATGTTCATTGTAATGCTACAACCAACTACTGAAGAAGTTTTTGTGGTTCAGATATTTACCTATTTCAATGTCCAACTATTTATTGTGCCTTGATTTCAGAATCGTGTCATATTGACCTAACCTGTCGCCTGACCGTCAATGATGCGGCGGAGTTAACAGATGGAACTGCTGAGCAGACAAACCCATTATTCAACTTGTACAATGCTATAAGCAGTTCATATCAGCAAGAAAACCCTGGTTTTGTACTTACACCTCCTGATAGTGAATAATCTTCTAGCTAAAAATTCTTTCACTTGTACTTTCTTCTCAAGTACCAGATAGTAACAACAGACTACAGATAAGTCCTTCACTACAAAGAATAAAATGAAAACTTATTAAAATTATTGGCAGAGTGACTGTCTATGTATTTACAAGGTATAATGTGCCTTAAAGCAATTCACTATATCTTTGATATGGATAATACAACAATACAGGAATCATACACTATTTTTCTACCTAATCCTCAAGAAGACTGAGAAATTTATTATATTGTGGCATGTTTTCCTGTCTCCTGACCATGGAAATATCTTTTTCTTTCAACCACTGTTCACTGCATTTTCCACATCAGTTTTGGTCCCTTAGATACCACTTCATCAGTTTCTAACAATGAAGCAACAACAAGATGGTGCAGTCTTCATGGAAATTGTGTAGAAAAATAGTTTATGAGTTGCAGTATGACACCTTATCCATATTGAAGGCTCTATGGAATGCTTCAAGACATATGCTTTGTTCCATAAACTTACTTTCTGACTGTCCTACATGTATGAACTAATTAGCATCATTCTGTTTTTGTCAAAAAATGTGATGAGACACACATTCCATTTTTTTAAATGGAGCAAAAATATTCATATTTCTGCCAGTGAGCTGAAAATGTAACATAACACAGAACAAATAAAATGTAGTTACATGCATATGTATTAATATATCAGTGATATCATGTATCTTACGATCAATAAAAGGATTGATTAATTATGATTTATTTATCTTAAAGGTAAAGCTGTCCTGGTTCCACTGTACTCATATTAACTATACACTGTCATAACCCTGAAGACCACAATCTGAATTCTCGCTTCGTCTATACACTGCAGCAAAGAGAAACACACAGCCTTCTGCCAGTAATCATGCCTCAGTCACTTTACTATACCATCTCAGTTTGCATGCACAAACATCACAAAACAAAACAACTGGGCTAAAAGCATATACTTTATTTCTTCTTAATTCATAATTCATAATTATGGTATTACATTGTGCAAATAAAGTTTACTGATAAACAACCAGAGTTCTCATGGCTGAATATATCTTAGTAGTGCACATGCTTCATTAAATGTAGATTATCTCACACAGAATCACCTTTTTATATAACTCTACCAACATATATGAGCAAAATTACATCAGTCATATTTTTATATGGGAATTCTGCTGCTCTGTTACAGCATTCCGGAGGTGTTAGCCCCATATACTTACTGTTTTCTTCTTATAATTCTCAAATTCTGTTGACAATTATTGATTGGTGATACAAATGCCATGTTGGACAGTGTTCCCTGCCGAAGTATATCTGATACACATGATGTTGCAGGAGTTGGCTCTACTGGTGATTACACCAAAAGTCTTGATCTAGAGTTTACTGCAGTATATTAGCACTGAAAATGGCACAGGTTCAATTGAAACTGTCATCATTAACCTCTCCATACAGCCGAAGTGTACTGATCCTTTGTGAGATTCTGGGAACACAGTGTGCCAACAGAGCACTGCACTGGCTGCTTGCCGGTAGTATGGTACTGCTGGTATGCGGATCTGCCAACAGCAGTCTCTACATCATCAGTTGTCATAAGTTTCATGAAAAATTATGTAATTTTCTTCTTTTTTCTGCAAATTAAGAATCTTCAAAAGAATAATTATCTACATAAGATCAAGCTCTGACGCCATGAAGTTCTGTAAGTGGTTATCAACTGCCCCCATCTTCAGGATACCTCGAGGATGGAGAGAGTAGGATCCTCTCAAACTCTAGTAACCACCTATGAAACTATGTGGGTTCATAACCCAGATGATTGCAATCTTAAAAACAGATCATCTTATGTTCAGATAAATATGTCACTAACAAAATCCTTCTGCAGAAAGTCCTGCTCTAATGAAGGAAGTCAAATAACTACGATAACACATTTTCACATCTCACATTTAAGAAGGGCTGGGTATGACAGACAAAAGATCAGACTTGCTTTATTAAACGACCATCAATCGAGGAGCAATGTTCATTGCCATTAATTCCTGGAACAGCAATTTTGCAGCATATGGTAACCTCACTTGGGAGATCTAAAAAGAAAAAAAGATAGTCAGTACAACATATTAGTATACAGAACACTGAAATAGCCCTATACTAATGTTAAAAGTAGATGGCTTCATTGCAGAATCTAAAATAATGCAAATACAATTCTAATATATGAGACATCAAGTTCACAGATGTGAGTAACTCTACGACCCTGACATGAAAGCAGCGTGTTCCTCACAAGGGAGGTCACATCCCAGAAGACAGCAATCTTCTTCCTTCCTGTTCATCTTTTAATACTCTGTAGAAACTTCATCTATACTGCTTGTATTCTGCTTATGTCTCACACAAGCATTAATGATAAGCATTACAACCATACTCATGTGTTGAACTAACAACATCAGATCAAAAGGCATATACCTTCTACATATCTACAAATTAAATTCTTAAATTTTATGTTAATGAAGTTTAACTATGTAACTTTAATCTGAGTATGAACTTTGAAAAGATTTCTGGAAAAACATTAGTCGAGAACTATATGGTGACAAAAAGTAACAAAACTTTCTTGAGCAAAAAGTCATGTCCAGAACAGAAATCAAATGTTTCAAAGACCTTCTCTGTTTCCATCATTATGGACTAACATCATTCCTTGATAGATACAGGCACATCTCTGAAATATTGGACTTTTGTTCCAAATTGACATTCACAGTTGTTACATGTTACTAGACCTTACCTGAGTCTTGTTCTTACAGCCCTTACACTCAAATGTGTTATTGCGGAGGTTAGCTATAGCTATCAGGCCACAGAAGTTGCAGACATGGATTCTGTAAGGGTCAGATACCTCAAACAATCTCTCTCGTAAGAATTGTGCAGCACCATGCGCGATCTGGCAGTCTCGTTCCATCTCGCCAAAACGCAAACCACCATCCCTTTGGGGGAAAGAAAATATATTGACATTAAAACACACGTTAAAACCATAATATCTGTTCACTCTATAATTCCATGGTACAATAATGCCACACAGCAGTTTCAACACTACAGAGCTTAAGTAACTGACAGCATCATTAAATAAACTACTTGGTGGGGACTGAGCAACTGATAGTCATTTGGCTGGTCCAAAATCCCTTGTTTAAACAAGGTTCTCATTAATATCTTGTCAATTCAATCCAGTTCATATCTTCACAATTTATTCCTCCAAGATCTGTTTTAATATTATCCTCTCATATATATACCCAGGTTTCCTAAACACCTTCACATAAGGTTCCTTAACCAATATTCCATTTTCATTCTTGTTTCCTTGAAGCATGACGCTTTTCCAGCCCCTCCTATCCTTCTCACTGACATGATCCTGAGCCAATTCCATTCATCTGCCATTTTTCCAAAGGTTTCCACAATAAAATGCTGTCTACACTACTTACCTCCTTATCTTGTTCATACATACATACATATCCTCCACCTTCCATAAACATCCATACAGGCAACAGACCCAGGATGTGGAAATAGTCACCAAACACATACACAAAGTCACTCAAGCCACACAACGAAGATCACCCACATTAACTACCTAACACATACAACAATAAGAGGCAAAAAGATAATATCCTGATTAACAGACATACGAGTAATTCACAAGTAACCACAATATAACCTGAACCAATACAACCCCTCACATCTCCCATACCAACTATATTAAAATATGGCATTAAAATATTCAAATTTATGTACATTTGTAATTAAAATACTCTTTTAATGCATAAAAAGAGTTAGCATGTAAAAATCTTTTCAGGGAACGTTCAAAGGATTTCTGGTTATTAGATAATTGTTTGAGCTCTTTAGGCAGATGATTGTAGATTTTTATACCTGAATAATATGCACTTTTTTGAACTTTAGTAAGAGAAGTACTCGGAAATAGGTTAACATTCTGTCTGGTACCAATATTATGTACTTCCGTATTTCTTGTAAACAAATGTATATTATTTATAGTGTGTTGCATCAAGGAATATATGTATTGAGAACACAAAGGCAAAATTTTCATTTCCTGGAAAGTCTCTACATGAATCTCTCTTCTTTAATCCCATCATAATCCTTATAATTTTCTTTTGGATCATAAAAAGGTTTGTCATGTATGAAGAATTGCCCCAGAAGATAATTCCATATGTCATCACAGAATGTATATAAGCAAACTAAATCATTCTTAAGCTATTTAATGATATCATAGGCTTAACTGTTCTCATAATAAAGCAAGACAAACTCAATTTAGTAACAAGGTAATCAATGTGATTCTTCCAACACAGCCTATTATCAATATTTAGGCCTAAAAATTTGATACACTCTAAGTTAGTCAGTAAATTTTGATCAATATTATTATGCATATTATGATCCCCATAGTTCATTAAAGTGAACTGGAGAGTGTGGGTTTTATGAATATTTAATTTTAACAGAGTGGTTCTGAACCATGTATTAATATTGCAAAATACTCTGGTCATGGTTGATTTGTAGTCAGCGTATTCTGGATTAGTCACTATTACACTTGTATCGTCTGCATATAAGAATATGTTTGTTCCATTAATTGAAACCCTAGTTATATCATTTATATACAAGAGGAGAATACATGGGCCAAGAATTTAACCTTGGGGTACACAACATTTTACTTCGGCCCAACTAGACGAGCTATTAATAGAACTGTTAGGGCCAAGGGTTACTCTTTGATATCTTCCATTCAGGTAAGATTTAATTAAGGCACCAAACTTGCCAGTTATTCCATAAAACTCCAATTTTTTGATAAGTATATCATGATTGACATAATCAGAGGCTTTGTGTAAGCCACAAAATATTCCTCCAACAAACTGTCTACTATTCATTGCTTTTAGCATTTCCTCTACTAATTTGAAAGATGCTTTTTCTGTAGATGAATTAGGTCTAAAACCATACAATTCATACAATTTATTATATATAACCCTTTCAAAAACCTTAGAAAAGGCTGACAATAATGAAATAGGCCTATAGTTGGCTGGTTCATATTTATTACCGCTTTTGAAAATTGGCTTAACGACAGCAAATTTCATTCTGTCTGGAAATGTTCCCTGGGCAAGGGATTGGTTACAAATGTAAGTTAGTGGCGAAGTTATATATGGCATACTTGCTTTTAAAATTCTAGTGGAAATTTCATCATAACCATGTGAAGACTTGGTCTTCAAAGATTTGATTATCTTTCTAATCTCAGTAGTTGAGACATAATGCCATTTGATAGATTTAAAAGTAGACGTGTATTTACTGCCCAGATAATATAATGGATTGATGTCGGTTGGAGTTCTGTTATTGCTTAAATCATCTATGATTGTCTGAGCTACTGAGATAAAATATTCGTTAAATATATTTGCAATGCACTTTTATTCTGTATCATAATATTATTGACTTTCAGTGATTGGGGTTCATCCTTCTGAGTTTTAGATCCAGTCTCTTTTTTAATAATTGACCATGTAGTTTTTATTTTATTTTAAGATTTTGAAATTTTATTATCATAGTGTACTTTCTTAGCCTCTTTAATAACTTTAGTAAGTACTTTACAGTATTTCTTATAATACAGTTTAAAATGTGGATCATCATCTTGTCTATATTTAAGATATAACTTCCTCTTTTTTCACAAGAAATTCGTATCCACGAGTTGCATTTAAGTTTGGAAGTAATATTTTTTTTTAGTTAAACACGAATAAAAAATTCTTAAGTAAGTATTAAGACATATGAGTGACTCTCAGAGTTCACTATCCTAATAATATTACATGATCTCAATAAAATTTAAAATTCCTTATTACATAATATCCTGAACAGCTAACCAACTTCATCCATGTTATACTCAAATATTTTCAGTTATTAGCAAAGACAGCCTGTTTAAAAACCAAGAGAAGACTACAAAAGACAGGTTATATTTCAGTACTAATGATAACTCACTTGTAATTTTGTAAAGCATTTATATGTATGAGTAAATAGTACTAAATGTTCCAGGGATGTATATCTACACTTCAATCTTGAGACTGTTCAGTGATGTGAATCAGTCTATGGGTTATGATCTTTTCGGAGGGAGAACATTATTTACTACAAAGTATCCAGCAGCTACAGCTAGAATTGTACTGTATGTATGCAGAGAGAACAGAAGATGTGACAGATGGGGCAGCATCAGTATTCCTCACCTTGCCCTTCCTTCCATCGGTTGTCGCACCAATATCTGTACAGGCCCTCTTGCTCGACTATGGATCTTGTCATCCACCATGTGTTTCAGTCTTTGATAGTATGTTGGCCCTAAGAAAATCTGGGCATTTATCTTGCGGCCTGTGTGCCCATTATACATCACTTCATTGCCACGCAACTGATACCCATACTCCTGAAGAAGTGTTGAGATCTTCTGCACGTTCACAGCGTCATTGAAAGGTGTTGCATCACCAATTTCTCCTTTGTTTGAAGACACCTGACAGGTATCAAAACACAGAATTATGGGCTCAAATGACACTTCTTTGAGGGGATCCATTAGAAATTATGTAAGCCAATGATAAGTAAAACCTAACTGACGACAACTGGTTTCATCATAATTAAGTAAGAGAGAAGAGATCAAAGGGAAGAGTCTTAAAATTATGAAAACATTATACAAAGAATGGTCACCAGGATAGCACAGTCAGCATACCAACTGGCTACAGGATGAACGATCAAGGGGTAGGAGTTCAAATACTTGTAGGGGCAAATATTTTCTCCTCTCCACATTGTCCAGACTGGTTCTGGGGCCCGCCCAGCCTCCTATCCAATGGATACCAAGGGCTCTTTCCCTGGGGGTAAAATGGCAGGGGCATGAAGCTGTCCGCTCACCTCCATCTAGTGCCGAGATCAAGAGGTGGATTTATACAACCACTCCCCCATATGTCTTCAATGCTTAGTGCTTAATAAGTTATGCACAGGGACAACTTTACCTTTATATAAAGGATACAAACTGTATTTAACTGTCGCACTAAAATGATACAACTTTTGAGGGTTTCACAGTTGTGATATTCTGACTGTGGTCTCCGGGAAAGAACACACTGTCTCCATCTTCATGGTCTTTCCTTGGTGGGACGCTTAATGTCCTGTTGTTACAGAGGAAAAATGAGGGACACTTCAACTTTGAAGATAGTGGCAGGAAGTGTCTCCAAAACGTTGGCATCCACATATAGGACTGCACAGTGTCACAACCCAGAATACCACAGTCTGAACTAAAAACAATGTTGAGCAACCCTTCAACTGCTAAGTCCCATCATACAACTACCTACTAGACATGCTAAGGATCCTTGTGGTAAAAGCAACTGCACAGAAAAACCTGCAGTATGTTCCTCAAATGACTTCAGATAACAACAATATACCATGCAAAAGTCCATTCTTTCCTCTAAACATTGTTATGTCACACTCAACCCCATCTGTTCAGCTGTGCTGGTTTTAACACAAGTATCCCTAGCCAATTTAGTCAGCACCAGATGCACAAACAGTTAAGAACAAAGCAATCAAATGTGGCACAATAATGTGTTCTTTGCATCAAAGGAATTGCATTAATGCATAATGGGAAAGTTTCATCTGTTTAGTTGACCGTTTCGTTTTTGAAATTTCTAAACAGATATTGATAAAATCTGGTACTGTGAATCTCCAATAGAATTTTCTTGGAAAATTTCGTTTCTATTCATGTTAACCTAATATACATCCTACTTTACATGAAGTTCAAATTAAAAGCAATTGATCTTTTTCAAAAACAGTTCATCATTCAAAAAATGGGCATGAAATGAATGATTATGAACCATACCTTTTGTTTCAAACACTTAAGTGACCTAATGGAGCTATATCTGAAGTCAAATTCACACGGACTTACCTTCCCTTGCAGACATTCAATCAAGTGACCAATGGTCATACGAGAAGGAATGGCATGAGGATTAATGATTATGTCTGGAGTTAAACCTTCACATGTAAATGGCATATCCTGGAACACAACAAATGTTTTATTAAAACTTCATCATCATAGCCAGTAGCCTCGCTTGTGACTGAACCCACTATACCTTCCATATATAGGTCTAGACCATTAACACTATACCAATCTGGTCAGTATGTTACAAACCTCTTGTCTGTACTGGATACCACAGGTACCCTTCTGACCATGCCGGGAGGCAAATTTATCTCCAATCTGAGGGATTCGAACTGACCGAACACGAATCTTGCAGAACTTGTAGCCCTCAGAGTTAAGTGTCAGCATCACCTGGTCCACAATTCCTGTTTCACTGTTACGGAGGAATGTGCTGGCGTCTCGTTTCGTAAATCGTTTTGTTGTACCTTCCAACTGAAAATTTCACGAATATGAATATCATGGATTCAGATAGAAAGCACTATATTTTCTCAACCACATCAGTAGGATGAGTACTCAGCTTCTTATCTTGGTTACCATTACTACCGAGAAAAGAGCCCTGAGTACTACTGGCTATGTGAAATATTGGGTCAGAGTCATGCTAGACAGTATGAATCACACCGCTATCAGGAATCAAACTCTGGACATCCAGCTCATAGTCTGTCACTTTACTGACAGATGTGTTATAGCTGAAATATTTTCTTTAAAGAAAATGTGATTCAACTTTCGCTTTTGCATATGACTATTAAATAACTGCCCATAATTCATTCTTATACTGTGTCTAAAACACCTCTGTGGGTGCACCATCATAAGAAAGTTACTAGCATCTATTTCCAACATAACATGTGACAGCGTTACCTTTTAATTCTTTCATTAAAGTTTTAACTGAAATATACTGATAGACAAGGAAAGCAACCATATCCTGGGCCAAGAACAGATATTTATGCTTCTGTTTCATATAATTGTTCAATAAACAGATCCTCTGACTTGTGATCGGAAAGAGGCAGTCCTATTGCAAAATCCATCCTAACAGACATGATGTCATGTACCATTCCAAATTTTCAATCCATTCATAACCAGTCTCCCTTTATTCCAAATCAAGCCATAAGAATATTATGAGAGAAAGAAGTTCATACCTCATCTTCAGCATCTGGAAGAGTGATGGTCTTGCCAATGACAACATCATCCCCTGAAACCCTTATACCTGGTGCGATTATTCCGTCATCATCCAACTTATCATACAGAGCATTTCTCATGCCCTGAAATTAAATAAAATATCCTTTAACGTTACAGAAACATTCAACATATAAATAAAATATAATATAATTGATGGAATGATAATATTTGGGGGGGGGGGTAAATAAATTTTATGACGCTACATATCACTGAATAGTAGGATGAATGATGAATGTTGAACTAGAAAGGATTTGGAAAGATGAGGTAATGGCCTAATTGAGATACCACTCAAGCATTTACCTAGAGGATTAGGAAAAAAAATCAGCTAACATTTGGATCAAGCACCTTCAAAATATAGGTCTACATCATTACTGCTACACAACCATTTCAGCAGATCATAATATTAAATTGGAGCTAAAATCTTCTTGGGTGAACAGCCACGTCAATGTTGAGTTAAGAACCAATGTTTCAGAGATCTCAGTTTCCATCATCAGGGTCAATGTCAATGTCGACCCTGATGATGGAGACAGAGATCTCTGAAATGTTGGTTTCTAACTCAACACTGACATGGCTGATCTCCCGAGAAGATTTTAGCTCTGCCATGGAAGCTTCAAATCTTACAGAGATAGGCTGTAAAGACCTGAAGCCATTCAAGTCTGCTGAAATTGTGGTCTGTTGGTCAGTTCTTATGGATATGATGAGCTTCTGAATTCCATATGAGGGAGTGTTCTAACCAGATGAATAACTATGATCTTTCAAAGAAATATCCAGCACAACAGATTTAGTGGGTTGGTCAGCTGGGTAACAAAATTACATCAGCAGTTCTGAATAATGGTTACGTGTACCCACAGGTAATATCTGAAGCCTCCTAAGAATTATGTGTGATATATACTTCACATATTGTCAAACACAGGATGAAAGAGGGTAAAAAAGTCTTCAAAACTTTCTTTTGTATAATTTTTTCTGTACACAATAAATAAATTTTCTTAAAATAAAAAAAAAATCTCCACACCTTGTCCAGCTAACAGTACCTAATAACACAGTTTGAGATAAAAATTTAGATTGCCACTAAACAGGTGCTCATGAAGTTTGACTCAGAGAACAAGGAGTACATGAAATTTCACACCAAAACAAAGCAGAATGTTGTGAGACAAAATATCAGAGACTGTATCAGGTGAAAAGCACAACACCTAAAACTACCAACTCCATGGTATATATTCATCTTAAAAAGTGAACAGTTTACTCAGCTTCTGAAAAAGTTCCCAGGGACATAGACGTTCATTGCCACGCTCAAAAACACCAATAATTGCATAAATTATTTTAAATTTAAAATATTACAGACCTGGCACGTGTTCCTAGTAGGTTTCTCAAACTGTTCCTCTTGGTCACCAATCCGCTTTGATTCTGCATCCTTATATGCACGGAAGAAAACGGATCTGAAAAAACAAAAGAAGTTAGATGCAGCAATACAAACCTTCTGAGATGTGATGGCACTATGGTTGCTGCCTGCCTTCCCAGTAATCCACGCAGAACAGAATGTTCAGAAACTGGATCAATTTCCACCCTCTTAGTGTACAGGTGGGGCAAGCACTGAATTCAGTTTGCTAGAAATAGCAGAACTCTATGTCACTAGACTTCCTGAACTTCTCATCTGAAGATAAAAATGAGATCCATTTTCCATAATTCTGCATTCTGTTTGGAATAAAAGACGAAGTCCAAAACCCAATAATATTAAGTGTAATATACAATCATGATAATTCTTGACAAATGGTAAAACTATCCTTTTACTAAATACCAAATTACATAACTTCAAATTTTCTAGTTGCAAGATTATTAGAGAACGGAGCCATACCTGAAGAAACCTCTTTCAACAGCTGAAGCGTTCATGATGACACTGTCTTCTTGATTGTACCCTGTGTAGCACAGAATGGCCACAATGGAGTTGATGCCAGCTGGAAGCTCTCGGAAACGCAGGTACTCCATGGATCTTGTAGTAACCAATGGTTTGTGTGGGTAATACAGTACATGGGCCAATGTGTCCATTCTCACATGGAAATTGGTGATATATACACCCATGGCTTGTTTCCCCATAGCACTCTGCAACAGTGATAGTCTTAAGATTTCTATCTACATATACAAAATGCTGATGAGAATAGGCAGATGGCAGAAATCCACATGAGCGATATGCTGTTCTTGCTGTCCTAATATTGAACCAAGGAGATCAAAATGAAGTATTAACTCCATCTCAGCATCGGCTACAAATGGCTCTTCTGAACATGAAAGTGCAAGTCAGTGTGAATATGCTTGTATCCAGTGTTGTCTTCCTGGAACATGTTTCATGGTAACCCCATACTCAGTTGTAGCAAAATTACTGAAACGTACAGTGCACTGTCAATGTGTAACTTTTGACGAGTTAGCTGGTACACATTAAATGTTTGCCAATGTGACTATTGCATACAAACTAAAAAAAAAAATTAGTCATATATCTGATCTCTTAGTAATGTTGTACCTGATAAGTGTTCCTGGGGCTCTGATTGTGATCTGGGAAAGGAATGATGGAGGCACACACTCCCAAGATCATAGCTGGGTGAATTTCACAGTGTGTGTATGTCGTACAATATGCATATTCCTTGTCTTGCCTCAGGTCATCTGGCGACATCGCAATCATCACAGTTTCCTCTTCTAGTGTGTCTATATATTCCACTACCCCACTGGCAACCAATACTTGCCACCTGCAAAGAAATTAAATAACTGATGTATGGATGTACGTAACTTCTGTGCACATTCTGGGTATATGCAATCTCATATGAATAAGTTCAATTCGTGCATAGTTTATTTAATGATGCTGTTAATAACTCAAACTAACTAGCATCAAATGACTGAATGCTAGTGAATCATGAATTTGAAAAGCTGCTTAAGGAAGCAGTCATGGTCTAAATTAAGGTATGTTCCTGGAATTTGCCTGGGGGGAACAAGGTCACAACAGAATACTCATCCAGACAGTGTCCTGGCCAAGATTTGAACCAGTCACCTCAAAAATGCAAGTCACAAGCATTACCACTTCAACCAACTTGCTTGGTTGAATTCTTTTAGTGGTAACTATAAAATAATTAAATTATTTGAGGGGAGAAAGCCACAAATGGTTAAAATGAATGGTACTAAAGGTAAATGAATTTCATATGTTTCAATGAAAATTAATGGCAGCAAAACCATAGGAATAACAAAAAGGAGCAAAAAGTTGGAGTTACTTAAATCACTCTTGGGAATGTGACTATTGTATATGTTGAGGATATCTGTACCTCTAAACATAGATAACAAATTTACAGCTGCTAATTTCCTACTTTATAGGGAGATTTGGTTATAATAATATATTCATGGAGCTATGACACTGTGGTCATGGGCAATTCCAGCCACACATACATGTGTGCAGGTGTGGTGGGCTCAGGAGTGGCACCCACTATGGTTATGGCCATTCTAAGAAAAAAATGATGAACAGTTATGGGCCCCCACATGGAATAACAGATTGGTGGTGGTCATACGTGCAACAAATGTCCGTGTGGTGAGAAAAAGATCTCTTCCTTCCTGATGGGGCTGAAGGAGAACAGCAACATTTGCACAAATATGTACTCACCCATAATTGTTGTACTCTCTCTCCTTCAACATATCGATATGTTTCTTCTTCAGGAGTAAGTTTCCTCCTTCCACAATTAGCAGAGGCCTGCATATGCGCCCTGCATCTGTATAAATTCTAATTTCACGATCACGAATGTCTCGGATCATGGACACTTCACTTACAATGATGTCCATCTGTCTTCGTAATTTACGCAAAGTTGCCATCAACTGTTCTGGGTCACGATGGATACCAACCTGAAAAGTTTTGTCATCAGATTTTGGATACTGGGACTCCAGTACTGACTCCACAGAATAATAACACAGAACAAAACATTGCTTACAATGACATGGACTGATTAGTCCTCAGAAGATTACTATAGGAGAACCATAAGTTTAGGTCCGAATTTGAGCTTGTCAGAGCAATAACTACGAACAGTATTATCTTTTAGGACATGATGCTGCATGGTCTAGGAGAAGGTCAAGGATGGTTTAGAGAAACATTCTGTCTCCATCTTCACAGCTGAAGAGTAAGACAAGCAAGTAACCAGCAAGAAGCAGAAAGCAAGAAAAGCTGAAGAAATTCTAGCAGACTACATGTTGTCACGCCCCAGAAGATGACAGTCTTAAATACATTTCATTTAATGTTAATGTAATAATGAGAACACCATGTATATAGAAAACGAGGGCTAAGGATCATACAGAATTTTAAAACTACAGGGGAAAGAATAAGATAAAAATTAAGAAGATGTAAGAAGAAAGATGCTGAAGACATTACAGATATTAAGCTGTCTAATGCATTAACATAAAGGAAGATATACCATAATAAAAGTTCATTCACTTGTTTTCCAAAATGAGTGCACATATCTTTCAGAATGGAAGAGGGCTATAAGGAATCAGTGAACTTTGTGTAATAGAAGTAAATCAAAAGGTTGCAATGACTGAAGAAGACCTTGGAAAAGGTAGAATGAATATATGAAATCAGAACAGGTTTGACTGCCTATAACACGAAAGGAAAAAGAATAAATAGTACAAGACACATAAACATATTATCAGAAGAAACATTTCTGCCAGTGATGTTATTACAGTTACATTATTAAATTATAAACAAACCCAGCAGCCATTAACGAAGATTTTAGTGGCATCAGCAATTGCTGAAGGCGCTATTTCTTCCAAGTTTTCCATACTCCATTCCTCCAAGAACTCGAGGATTGGTGATGGCTGTGATCCAACAGAAATGTAAGCCATGAGGGCCAAGTTTTTCACCAGCCCTGTTGGAACAGGACAAATGTTACAGGACAACGAACAGGAACTACAGAACTGTAATAAAAAGACTCATTACAGAAACTGAACAATCACTGTCCATTCCATCCTCCTCATCATTGATCTTACCAGTGATCATTTTCTGATTTTCATCAGTTTTCACACAGATAACACAGTTCACACTCTTATGTCCTTAATGTGATCAACAATGAACAATGTCCAATATAATTATGATGTACAGATTCCTTGGCTTAATTTGTGATATTGAACGACTATTATACAGCTGTAAATGTGAATGGAATACCAACAACAAATTAAGCAGCCAGTACAAAATTAAGATCACTAAAAGGTTGTACTTACCTACAGCAGCACCCTCTGGTGTCTCAGCTGGACAGATCATGCCCCACAGTGTGTTGTGCAATTGTCGAGGTTTGGCCAGTTTGCCATCGCGACCAATTGGTGAGTTCACTCGCCTGAGATGAGATAATGTTGAAGCAAATGTCAAGCGATTTAATACCTGTAAAATTAAGCAAACGAAGAATGACTGATACAATGTTCTTATGCCATACAAGTATTGCTGTTCTTTGAGATTTTCAGGCTGGTGACTATTCATATTACGGTCTTCTACATTATGATACAATGTAGGCTGGTAGATGGGTACCAATGTTTTAGTGGAACAGGGGCAGTATGTTCCTCTAACACAATGGCACTCACCTACAGTGTCAAAACTCTTTAAGACCTCTACATACCTTCTTTCATCCTTTGTGAAACTAAAGGCCTCTAAATACAAATTCATCCTCAAGAAATGTCCTGGGGGCCTTAAACAATATTTAATTCTACCATTACAAGTAGGAATCAATTCATCATCTCTTTAATGTTTCTTAATCAACTGCAGGTGTTGTAAAACATCAAAGGAGCCGAGACAATCAAGACTGGACAGCAAGTAAGGATTTGGAATATACTCATGTTCTATCCCAACATTTGCTTAGACAGACTAAGAAAACCCATGAAGAAATAGAGAGGCAGAAAAAAGTAATGAAGAAATAATGAAAAAAGGAGAGGAAGCAAGTGGAGAATAAATAAAAAATAAATGGAGGATAAGAAAGGAATGATGAAGGAAAATAAAAAATATAAGAATGAAGGGGATAAAACATGCCAGACAAAAGGCACAAAAAATAACTGCTTTGCTGTTTTAATATCCAATCCTCCAGCTATGCTCAGTGTTGATCTTTCTGCTTTCTGCCCATCTACCAGTAGTATACTATCCATTTCTACTGGGGAGGATTAGAGGAGATTATGTTACCTCCTATGATATGGTGATCATAAGAGTGATGGTCAGCAGAGGAATGTACAGTGTAACACAGGTTCCAAATCACAGGTACAGTCTCACATTCTTCATATCCCTGAAGTTTTATCTTTGGTAGAAGTGAAGGTTACACTATGCGAGCAGAAAAATCTAAACAAAGATCTGGCTGGAGATCAAACTCAGAACCCTCTGAATGAAGAGTCCCCCAGGCTCACCAAGTTCCCTGTACACACTCTCTTACCTGAGACACTCCGGCGCGGGCTTGATGCGCTTTCTTCTGATCTCCCCAGTTACCAGTAGCCAGAGAGTATCGTAATCCGTCGGTTATAATCTTCGTTTTGATGGCCAGTTCCAGGTTGAAATCTTTCCCACGGTCAATAAATTTCTGGGCATATATACGAACCTCTTTCATCAGATTTTTAAACAAACTGGAAAAGATATATGTTTAAAGCCAAAATGCTATAAAGTCTCTGCAACAAGAATATAAAATACATGTTCAGTTATTACCATGCGGATAATGTATCATAAATGAATAAAAAAAAAGGTAAAGCTATCCCTGTAACAGGCCATGGAAGACCATAGAGTTGCGAGACGTTGAGGGTCCCACATTATCTAGACACTTGGCTCACAGATGGCGGTATGGTTGTCAGCCTTAAGCGCCGGCCACCCATTACCCCCCAGGAAGATTCCTGGTACTCATTTCTGTTAAGAGGCTGAGTTGACCCCAGGGCCACAGTGCAGCTGCAAGGATTAGGTAAATTGAAAAAAAATCCACCTCATCAAGACTCAAGCCTGCGACAACTTTCAGGGAAACCTCCCAAGTAGTTTCAAAGATGAAATGCATGGACAGACAAAAAAATATGACACCCTACAACACTACCATCTTATACACATAAGCATTAAGTTTAGCTTGTTCTAAAATAGAGACAAATTTATTAGTTTTTAATTAGATTAATTAATTGGCTAATCCTCTAACATGTAAACATTTCCTTTGTCGATTAATTGTTCAAATGGATACCACTGCTTTTTTTTCAAAACACCACATATTAAAATTTACTTATGATAATAGTCTCCATAAACTACTGAAATTTAATAAAAATTATTAGAGCCATTTTCAAGAAAATTACCATTATGTATTTTGGGGACAACCTGAAGAGCCCCAGTTTTTGGAGCTGGAAGATTCAGATTTTCTGAGCATTCACCTATGGTGGATAAACTCCTCAATATTGAATACGAATACAATTGGTGCAACTAATCAGGTGTTCGCTAGGCGCACATCCCTGTGTATATATATCCATGACAACATTCCAGAAACTACTTTTTTGCAATCATTCAGAAAAATATAAATCCCTTAAAATCTCAAGAGTGATTTGTGACTTTGTCATATATGCTACATATGAGGAAGTAATACAGACAAGCAAGAGAAATGTCCAGATCATACATACCCTCTGAAAAGGAAAGCAAGCAAGGGACCAGCAAGATCCAGCCGTTTATTTCCGTAGTGATCGCGATCATCCAGCTCCCGACGGCCCAATGCAGCCAACAGTAGCCGGTGTACCATGTACCTAGTTAATTAAAATGATCATTCATTTAACTACTCAGCACATTTCAAATTTTGCTTAAATGTGCTACCATGTGATGCTTTGTGTAGTTTCAGGCCAAAAGTGTGCGGCTTTGCATTCCAAAGTCAAAACAAATTACTATACTTGCTCCCCACAATACAGCCCTGCCTGTATCCATGGGGCACCAAGACAAATAAAGGCACTGGAGCTGGGGTGTATTGTGATGGAACAAGGTGGAAGTATACCTTCAGCCTTGGTCAGTACACAAAGGTATTCCAGGCAGAGGTGTGTGCCATTAAGGCATGCACAGTTACGAATTTAGATAGGAACTATAGAAATAGGAACATCTATATTCTCTCAGACAGTCAAGCTGCAATTAAAGCACTTGGTTCACACCAAATCACTTCAACATTAGTGTGGGACTACCACCAATTCCTTGTACAACTGGCCAGACATAACAGAGTTCAACTGATATGGGTGCCAGGTCATGAGGGTATTGCAGGCAATGAAACTGCAGATCAACTGGCAAGTCCAGGATCTGAACAGCCATTCATAAGACCTGAACCAGCTAGCAGCATCTCAATTGGAGTTGCCAGAAAAGTGATCAGGGACTGGACTGATAGAAATCATAAAAAATACTGGGAATCCATAATTGGACTCAAACAGGCAAAGGGTTTTATAGCAGGACCCTCTGCCAGAAGAACGAATGATCTGTTGAGATTAAACAGAGATCAACTAAGATGGGTGGTAGGATTACTTACGGGACACTGCCACCTAAAAGGGCACCTTTTCAAGCTGGGACTGACAGATAACGCATCTTGTGAAAGGTGCCTACAAGAAAATGAATCAGTCACACACATCCTGTGTGACTGTGAGGCCATAACTGCTTTAGGATTTCATCACTTGGGTCAGTTTTTATGGAACCAAGTGACTTTTATGATGCACCCATAAGCAGGGTCCTACACTTTATTAAAAGTATAGGATTAATAGAGGACTAATCCAAGGGGAAGCAGAATAGATCATTGAAGGTCGCAGTGCACGGGCTGGTTTTTATGGTCCACCCCTTACGTACATTACATACATTGTATTACATTACATTACATTACATCCACGGGGCAGGAAACCAGATGGGCTCCTAATGCAAGTTGAACCTAATATGATAAAAGGGGTAAAGTTTCTTACATTACTATCATATTGTGACATGTGAACCCACTGCTAGAGAACACACTGACAAACATGTTTCCATGGAGATGGATACTTGGAAATTAACTTGGTACAGAACAAATTTCTTGAGATATGAAAAGGAAAGATGTTTCCACAGAGATAGATTCTTGGAAACCAAAATGTTGCTTTGGAGTCAACAGGTATTTCTGTGGATACTAGGGATCAACACACATTTCCTTGGATACTGATATGCTATAACAGAGGTTGTTCAGATCAGAATGAAGTTCAGTCGTAAACCGGAACTGAGGCAGTTGTAGTTCAAGCCAGTTGTAGTTTGAACCAGCTTAGACAGAAATCAGATCACATCTGAATTGAGCTGATGATGTATTGTGAGTTACTTAAGTTATTGTGATTACAAGTGATTGTAAAGGAGTTATCAATAAATCCAATCATCCTATCCAAACCTGTTATTATTAGTCACGATCATAAATACATGACAACACCATAAAGACATATAGCATGGCATTAAACAGAGGTGAACTATTTGCCTCACAATCTCATCACTTTACCCCCACAGAAACAGCTCCCCATACAAATTGGATAGGAAACCAATTTGGCTCCAGAGCCAATCTGGACACAGTGGCAAAGAGAAAAAATCCCTGCCCACAACCTGGAACAAGTCACCATATGCCAGCAAAGGGGAAAAACTCCTGCCCATGTGAAGAATAAAAACCAAATCATCCAGTGTGTGGCTAGTTGCTTAACTGAAGCAGCTAGAAAATGTCAATATATTATTAATTTTATCAGTATTTCTCTATGCTAAACAATTCCAGAATTAATATTTCGTAACACACAAAATTATGAAGAAAAGCTATAAAAATGTCTCACCCTAAGAAATAAGCTTTCTTGGTCTCACAGAAGTCTGATACCCCCACGTGAGGCAACATTTCCTTTTGTAAGATTTCACGAGCATATTTTATACGTTTGTCCTTTGTAACACCAGGACGAGCACCTCTGGCACCGATAAAGTTGAGTGCCACATTCTGTTCTTGAATCACAAATGCTTCATCCAAGGATGGCTTCACCTACAACAGAAAATGTTTCAGAGCTGTTAACAAAAACGACACTCATTACATTCATACTCACAAAAAACATCTTCATTGGCACAAGAGCCCTTTTTGAACCGCAGCCTTCCTTAGAAGGTTCTGCCAGATTTGATTCAGTTTTCACTGCTTTTCATTTCACAACAATTTTTTTTTTACAGTAACGCTGAATGTGGTCGGTCGGTTGGTCAGTCAGTCAGTCATGAATCAATGGAAACTATCTCTCATTACAGACAGTAATTTATGTAAAAGAAATAAAACTGTAACCAGCACAGTCATTCTTGGTTCTAAGTCAAGCAGGACTCATGACCACATTTTACTGTCTCCTACTTGGGAGTCATCCATTACCACCTCCCCCAACATGTAGGGCCAGATCTCTCTATTTACATCCCCCAGTGACAGGGTGGCCCAGTTATATTACCAGGCACTGGGTTCCCTTACCATTGCCTTCTACAATTCAGCGGGATACAGCAGAGATGTTCTTACTTGTCTCCATACAGGAACTCACACAAATACAGGGAGCTTATCTGAAAGTCTGCAACAGACTCTTCAGCCAGTGTTACTGACAGGACACACTGCTTGCGTCAACTTCACCATGGACATTCAGACCCAAGGTGTAATTAACAAGCCCAACAAAATCACTAATGAAATCTATCCGAACTATAGAATGCTGAATGGTAGGATGACTGATGAATAGGAAAGTATTTGAAAGGAAGTGGTAGTAGCTTAATCAAGATAATATTCTGGCATTCGCCTAAGAGGATAATGAAAACGTAGAGAAATGTGTCACATTCAATGGTGTTCAGGCCAAGATCAAAACCAAGCAACTCCTGAATACATGTATAGAGTGCTCCTGCTAGATCAACCTACTGGGTCCCCTCTCTCATCATTTATGAGTATGAGCATTCTTACCATTTCCATCATTTCTGGATCATCAAAATCATAGATAATGTGCTCCAGGATGTCTCTATCAGCCACAAAGCCAAGAGCTCTGAACACAATCATTATGGGAATTTCTTGCTTGATATATGGTAAGATGGCTATGATACGCTGGCCAATCGCTGACTTCTTGATGCTCTGAAGACATACGAAAAAAATACTGTTAAAATGAAAACAGAACTGATTAAACATTTCATGAAGCACAATAGACCACTGTAGGTCGTAGTGCAAGGGCCGAGAAGGCCCACCCCTTATATATTCATTCAAACATTTCATTATTATGAATGGTACAAATAATGTATGGTGCTTATGTATACATATCTAAGCTTTATCCAACAATGACACAGTGAACAGTATACCTCAGCCAAACTGGCCGTCACATCTCCATTCAGATGTTGGACCACATAATTATACATATTCCCAACCTCAGCACTAGATGTGGAGGGGAGTGGTCAGCACTCTCCCCCCCCCTTTACCCCAGGGAAAGAACCTACAGTCCCCAATGCACAGAAGACTGGGTGGGCCCCAGAGCTGGTTGGTTGAGAAGATAAAAATCTCTTGCCCCTGCCAAGAACTGAATTCCATGAATACTAAGGTGTAAAGCCGACAGACCTTGAAGTGACAAGAAAACTAACTCTATGGTTTTAGTCTGCAAGTGAACTATACCGACTGAGTGACCACTGCTTGTTGGCGAACTTAGACTGCCTCTGTGGTCTAGTGGTCAGAGTTCCTGGCTACAGACCCAGACGTCCAGGTTCGATTCCCGGTATTACCAAATTCTCTAAGTAGCAGTGGGTCTGGAACAGGGTTCAAGCAGCCTCATGAGGATAATTGAGGAGCTGTTTCAAGGAAATGGCAGCTCCAGTCTAGAAAACCGAAATTAACATCCGTGGGGATTCGTTGCTCTGACCATGCTACACCCTCTATCCGCTAATGTTGAAGTGACAATATAACATCTAAAATAAGTAATATATAAAAACAGAAAAGCCAGACAATGAAATGTAGACCATTTGACAAAATATATATGTATTTTGGACAGTAACTGATCTACTCATGAATAACAGTAACAAAAAAACGTTATATTCACAAAAAAATAGAGCCCACTGAGAGCAGGGAATGCTGCCTACAATTTGGTCTGCAATTTTTGTCTTCCCATCTCTTTTCTAAATAGAATGAAGATTAAAATACACAGTACTATGATTACAGCTCTTGTTTTGTTTCCTGAGAACATTTGGACATAACAGGAAGTTGAAGAAAATTTCATAATAAAGAACTTCATAATTGGTTTTTCCGCAGTATTATTATGGCAATCACAATAAGGAGAGTGATATCATCAATGGGAGAAATTAAAAATGCATACAAGAGTTCAGTCAGGAAACCTTAAAGAAAGAAACAATTTGGGAAATTTGAATATAACCAGAATGACATTATTACAGTTGATCTTACAAAAATGAAGTATAACAAAATGGCATGAATTGACCCGGCTCAGGATAGGAATAATAAGTGGAAGGCTCTATAAACATGTAACTGAACCTTCTGGTTCCATTAAGACTTAGTAAATTTCTTGATGGAATGTCTGTCAACTTCTGGAAAAGAACATGGGTCCACAGAGCCAATTAACAGTACCTGGCCGCCCCTGGCCAACATGTTAACCCAAAGAGTAGAAGTCGGACGTGAGGAATGCTCGAGGCAGGAGCGTATCTCAGCTTTGAAAGCAAATTTTCCATCTTTCATGCTGAACACATACACTGTATTAGTTGCCATCTTCTCCTGGGCAATCAATACCTGCAGAAAACAAAATAAAAATTCAGAATCTTTGTACAGTTCTAACACATCCTATTTATGCAAATACAGTCATACCATTTCATGGTAGAATATTACAGCACACACCTCATACAACAGCCTGATCATTGTATAAATTACTCCTCTATTTTCAGACTGAAAGTCTGGAATCAACAGTGCAACCTGACAGTGAATAATTAACACGAAAGGATGTGGAAAGAAGTGGTCGTAACCTAATTTCAGGTACTATCCTGGCATTTGCCCGTAGGAACTGTGAAAGATCATAAGAAACATGAGTCAGGGTAGTCAGTCTTCTTGTTGAGACGTGAATCGGGCGCTTCCTAACTAGAAGTCAGAAGCATTAACATGTGTGCCAACTTGCTCGGTACATAACTGATTATAATGAATGTTATATTACCTTCTCAGAACCATTAATAATGAAATATCCACCAGGATCAAGTGGACACTCATTCAATTCCGTAAGATCGCGATCTGTAAGCCCATTTAGCAGACAATATGTAGACCTTAACATGATAGGAATCTTTCCTGAAAGAGAAATTTAAAATAATACTTCTAAGCAATTTATTGGTTTATTAATACATATTACTTATATTACACATCAAATATGTAAGAACAAACAACATTTTTCGTACTGCAACTTTAATGAAGCCATTCACACATAAGGTAAAATAAAGGTAAAGTCATTCCTATGCCGGTCACGTTAGCTGAGCGGTCTAAGGCATGCACTGTCTTCGCTCGCTCAGAAGCCGGGATCGTGGGTTCGAATCCCACTCAGGGCATGGATGTTTGTGTGCGTTTTTCTGTGTTTATCTACAGGTAGAGGCCTTGCGATGAGGTGATCACTCGCCCAAGCAGTCCCATCGTCTGTGTAAGATTTAGAAAAACTGAAGTGAATGGAGTTCATGGAGGTAGGCCTAGGCCCACTGGGGCTGTAGTGCCAAGGGGGGGGGGAAAAGTCATCCCTGTCCTTAACTAATTAAGCACTACACCATGAAGGCATATGGGGGAGCAGATATATAGATCCACATTTTCTTGGTCTTGGTACTAGCTGGAGGGGAATGATTGGCTTCATGTCCTGGCAGCTTTACCTTCGGAGAAAGACCCCCTGGTACCCACTGGACAAGAGGGTGGGAGAGCAGATATATAGATCCACATTTTCTTGAGCTCGGTACTAGCTGGAGGGGAGTGATTAGCTTCATGCCCTGGCAGCTTTACCTCTGGAGAAAGAGACCCTGGTACCCACTGGACAAAAGGTTTGGTGGACCCCAGAGCAGATCTGGACGACGTGGAGAACAAAAAATTCTTGGCCCTACCTGGACTCCTTGGTCATCCAGCCCATAGCCAGTCACTATATCGACTACACTAGCCTGGCTACTAGCCATTCACATATAAAAATATAAACTTCTGATGCAATTTTCCTCCTCTAAGTGTCAGCAGAGTGGTGTATTTTATCACTCTGAGGACCAGCAAGACATTAATCTATCCTTGCCAATCAGCCACTTAAGACTGCCATCACAAAATGATATTATTACATGGAAGTGCTTGTACCCTAATCTGGGGTACTATCATGGAATTCCCCTGGACTCGACCATGATGTCCAGCTGCTCACAGGTATACTAACCTATAAATGTCTTTTGATGCTGTGTTTCAATAGGATCTTCTCCATCTTTAACAATTGTTTTTGTGATATCAACATACAGTGGAGCTGAGTATGTTAGGTTGCGGAGACGGGCCTCATTTGGCATCATGGGTGATGGGGCACCATCCTTTTCCCAATGTGTAGGCTTGGACAGATAAATCTGTTCAAACTTCAGCAGATAGCGAGGCTGCAAAAGAAGCACACTTGAGTACAAACTTTGTAAAAAGATAAGCAACACAAACTTAGACCAACTATTAGATGTGCGACACCTTAACATCACTTACTGTCAAATGCAAACTAAGACTTACCAACGCTGATCATTACATGGATGCTCCATGGGCTATTTAGTGACATTTTACAGCAAACTGTATGACAGGGTAACCACCTTCTGTAAACTATCAGGATTGCTTAAATGAAACTGATTCATTGCCTGGTCTGGACAAAAGGGTCAAGGCCAATTAGCAGTCCCCATGGGCACTGAGACAAACATTCCACTCACACGCCAGTCAATTGATCCCTTCCACAGAGAATGTCCTCAGCTACTGCTGGAACATCTGCACCACCATGACTTTTGACATCTTCATATGACCTGAATCTACAGAACTACAGCACTTTCTTCACTGCCTGGCTGAACAAACTTGCTAGAAGGGCAGTGCATGGGTTTAATTAAACAATCGTCATATGTACAGCCAGTGGTTGGTGGGGATCAAAGCATTTGGGGCTTCCACCTCCATGCCCCCTGATTTTTTAAGTTCTTTATTTATGATATCAGTATTGGGTCACTATATCATGACATGATAGGATGATTAACAAATGTGGAACAGTCAGAGGAATGAAAAATGGCAGGGAAAATCAGTGTGCTCTCAAAGAGACCTGTCCCAGCGATATTTTGTACATCAAAAACCCCACATTACTAAACTGGGATCAAACCCAGGCCGCTGTGGTGGGAAACTGGTCTAAGCTGCAAGCCCACTGCTGGGTATTCTCTTCCATCCACTAGTGACTTTTATCAACCAGCCCACAAAATGGCAATCACTAGTGGCAATTGTGTGAACAGAACAGGGTGGAATATATAGAAGTGAGCTTTAGAGAGAATTGTAATAACTTGGGAGAGATTAAGAAGAGGCTGAGATGTAGCATTCCCTTCCACAGCTTGAGTACAGAAATGACTGAGGAGTAACCACTTTTGACTGTTTCAGGGTACTGTAAGCACTAAATATAAGTCAGAAGTGATGAGAGAAAGTTAATGGAGGTGAGTCAGAGAACTTATGTCTATTTGTGGAATCCCCTACCAAATACATGGTGCAACACTGATGATAACATTCATAACATTCAACCAGAACTGCATGATAAAACAGTACAGTTACACTCGCTGATAGTGGCATACCAAGCCCATAATTTACCCAGATATGGAGACAAAAAATAAACATACGGGATTTTCAATTTCTCCAGATGTATGTTGGGCTTCAGCCTGAAGGTCAATCTGTGGTGAATCTTCAACAATACGCTGTACTGACATCTGTATGAACTCATCAAATGAATCCAATTGCTGTCGCACCAAACCCTTCTCATCAAAATAGGCATTGATAACAATCCAACAAGCTTCCTGCCACAATTCGGAGGAAATCTCTTCAGCATCATCTTCTTCATACTGATCTGCAATAATCAAATGCAATCATTCCATTAACATGATTTATAAAATACAATTAACATCAGTAACAAAACGGACCTGTACAGACTATGGACGGTAACCACACTTCTACTTTTGCTTGTTTCTTGGATAAGCTTGTGACACCAACACAAATGACATATGAAGGGACAGGTGACTAACTGACATAGAAATAACAATAATCTGTTTTAAGATACTATAACAAAATTTGTCTGGAGACAATTTGCACGAGGTGTCATGATAACCGCTATTCCGGCCGTGATTTGAACAGGAGACCATACCCTTTTGGGTTGGAAATGCAACCAATATACGGTGATGTTAGGTTATGACAGTGAACACCCATAATTTGCCTGATGTTAAAATATAACCATATTCAATCAATCGTCTCTGTGATTCGTACTGCAACTTTACCTTCATNAGAAATGCAACCAATATACGGTGATGTTAGGTTATGACAGAGAACACCCATATTTGCCTGATGTTAAAATATAACCACATTCAATCAATCGTCTCTGTGATTCGTACTGCAACTTTACCTTCATCATCATACATTTTTTTACTTCACGTTTCAGTAGCAAAATATCTCACAAATCTATAGAGACCTAACTACACACTACCAACCAGCACTTCGAAGACTAAACAACGAACGGAACAACACGCGAACTTGTCCGATGGGGATGCAACTGCAATGCTATTGCTGGGCAACATAACCGCCGTGACGTCATGAAGCATCACTGCTGCCACGGTGCCCGGAGGCAGCCCTGCCGCCAGTGCCGAGGGCTCGGTCGGTAAGAAGGTATGTTATCATACCACCGACCCTGTCGGTAAGAAAGTATGCTATTATACCACCAGCAGTTTTTTACTGCTCCCTCCCAAAAAATCACTGGTTCACACTACAGCTAGAATTAATAATCGATGTAAATGACCGATTATGTGAGAAATGAAGAAGTGTTAATTAGAGTCAGTGAGCAGAGGAATATCCTACACGAAATAAGCAAACGGAAGGCTAATTGGATTGGTCATGTTTTACGCAGAAACTGCCTTCTAAAAGAAGTTATCGAAGGAAAGATAGAGGGGCGGATAGAAGTGACAAGAAGACGAGGAAGAAGACGTAAGAAGATGCTGGATGACCT